GGTAAGTGTTCCCTGAAAGTACCACTCCCGCTTATTTTATTCAGGTGAAACAGCACCTGAACAAAAGCTGCTCATATATGCATTGCAGATTCTTTTGGTCGTCACATTTTTTATTTTTATTTTTTTTTTGCTTTTCCACACCAACTTTAAGGTGCATGGTTGCCTGGTTTCATACGTGGATTGATTGGTTGTTTACACTTAAAGGCACACTTTAAATATTTGGGGAAGAGGCGGTTCTGGGTTGTTACAGTGAGTTGGGCAGCATACCGTAGTGACCAAAATTGAGGAAGCCTTTTGGGGAAAGTGTATTTTCTAAAACTAGCTAATAACACCACTTTTTTTTGTGTGTATGGAGGAGTACCATAAAATGATATATCAATGGAAAGATAATTTAATCAAGAATGTAATGCCATAACTTTTATGAAGGATTTGCTATTAGAATAGAAATTACAGTATAAAGAAGAAAAAGTGAAACCCGTAGAAAAAACGAGATAGACAAAAATGATCCCCATATCAGTTAATCCTTAGTTGGGTAACCTTTAGCATGAATTACAGCCTTATGAGGTCTTCCCATGGAGCGAACCAAGTCTTTTAGTTCTGCAGCTGTTATCATGTGAAACCAAGATTGAATGATGGCTTCTATTAACTGGGTTTTATTGCTGGTTCGCTTCTGACTAACAGGTTTCGTTAGTCGGCTCCATAGATTTTTGGAGTTTCAAGATAATCCTATTCCACTGCTGGAATGGCCTGGGAATAGCCCAGATCTTCACCCAACTGAAAATCTAGGTTTGCCTACCACATCAAACCATAGTGTGTGGTTTCACACAACCTGCTAAGCCCACATTGACGCAAAGTTTTTACTTTGTCTTAGGTATGAATGTGCTTCCCTCCTGTTGATATATGGAATCTATATTTTAGTACTCTGCTTTGACATTAAAATCAACCAATATTTCATGAGCAAGTTTAGTCCTTGTTGCACCTGCTTCTTGGTGACCACGGAAGAGGCCGAGGACCAGCCGCTGTCTGGATGGAGGGACGAGACTCAACCTCTCGTTCGGCGACAGAGACCAGACAATGACATTTTTCATGAGTCTGACTACACGCAACTTTCAGCAAGCTTACACGGACTTGATACCATTTCTGAAGGTATTTTTTTTAACCCAGGGCTTCTTTAAAAACTCTGACAAGAACTGCTAAGATTCTTTTTTTTTTGGAATCCTAACCCCCAAATTACGAAGCATGTAGTATCTTTTTTTAATTCTTCATATTTTTCAAATGCTGGAAGTAAAGTTTAGATACAAAGATACCTAAACATCTGTAAAATGTATCAAGACTATGTCATGACTAGTTTGCAAAAAGGTTGTGATGAAGTATACAACTCCCCAGTCCAACATTGGCTTCTGATATCTGTGGGGCAAGTCAAGGACAAGTACCATATTTTTCAGAGTATAAGATGCACTTTTTCGGTGAAAATTTGGGTGTATATTATGCACCAAATGTAGTCCTGCCCACCTGCCAGCCCCCACCCTTTGGCCTCTGCCTCCCAACAATTTGCCTCCTTGCAGCAAACAGCAAACAGCCTGTTTCAGTTTCAGCTTCAGCACAGCCTGATTAGCACAAACTACTGATTGTCGGTTGGATTGGCCTCACAATCCTCAGCTGTTTCAGGCTGCAGGGATTGCCACTGCCTATTGCCGCCTCTGCGGGCCTCCGCTGTTTGCTGCACGGAGGCAAATTGCTGGGAGGCAGATTTTTTTTTTTTCTTGTGCTGATCAGGCTGTGCTAAAAATGAAACTGAAATAGACTGTTTGCTGCTGGGAGGCAGAGGCGGATTTTTTTTCTTGTTTTCCTCCCCAAAAAAGGTAGGTGCGTCTTATACTCTGAAAAATATGGTACCTAATTTTTGCTTTGTTGTTAAATTTCTAAAAAAAAAATAATGGAATAAAGCCCTATATATTTATAATAGAGCGCGCTTTGTAAAAACTAAAATAGCTACATTATCAGGAAAACTGAATATATTTATATTTAAGCATCAGGATCTCTTTTCTTAAATTATTATTTTCATTCGGACAGATCCCCCAAGCGTGTTCACCATGCCTGAAGCAGATCTGAAGAGAATTCTGTGGGTGCTTGCCCTTCCTGTCACCACTGTACTATATTTGACGATTCCAGACTGCAGAAAACCCTTTTGGAAAAAATGGTTCATGCTTGCTTTCTTCATGTCGGCAGTGTGGATTTCTGCTTTTACGTACATTCTCGTATGGATGGTGACCATAGTGGGTAGGTTTTCAGTGGGCTAGTTTGATTAGCTAGCCTGCCTGCTCCAACCAACACTTTTAAATGGCATCTCAAAATACAAAACTTGATTTCAGGTGATACTACTCTGCAGAGATCATATGTAAAACTGCAGATTAGAGTTGGAAGAATTAATGCCCAATATTCACACAATACTGAGGGCTGTGTACATATCTAGAACAGCCAAGGAAGGGTATGTCTCTTTAAAAAAATCACTTGAGGGTTGTGTCAAGCCAGTCGACATGTCCCAAAATGTATGACCATTTTAAATGTGTAGCTCCTGGCTTAGGTAACCTACACCTGAAAGGTTTTACCTGAGCATCTAATGCAAAACACTGCAGGGATGGACACCTGATTAAGGTAAAACCATTCTAATACAAGGATGATGTAAAAGGAAATGAAACCTAGAATCTTTAGACTGATTAAGAGTATGGCCTATAAATGAGCAAATCTGGACAGGAAATGTTTTAAGCTAGTAAAGAAACTGACTTGCCAAGTATCAGCCCGTGGCATATTTTGACTCTGCGTTCTTGAATAAGCCACAATGGCTGGGTTACTGAAATAAAAGACACTTAAGGATTAGAACGATGCATGAACTGCGTTCTTCCAGCCCAGCGTTTGTCAAACTGACACTGTGACAGACTCTTTTCCATAATCCCCCATTTAATGTTTTCCCCTGTATGTTCGAGAAGGAACTAGAGTCCTTCCCCACGTCAGATGCCCCATCACACTGGGTTGCAGTCTTTGCCTGCAATTACATTATCTAAAAGGAACCTATCCAAGGACGTCAAAACAACTTTTAGATTGTTTCTCATCTATCACTACGCGAGTAAAATAAATTTGAAACAAGTGTTGGGCAAAAATCTAGATTTTTGCCTTTAAAATGTGAGCCGTTATTGCCTCTTTTAAAGTAAAAAACTTGTGCCACACATGAAAATATATATATTTATAGCAGGAGAGGCTGCATTTCACTTTCTACAAATCAAATGTCTCCCTTGCTATTCATCTGAATTTGGTTTTTAGAGAGCAAGGATTATTAGCAGGCTCCAGACCCCTCTTCCTATGAGAATGTAAGCATTTTTTTCCAAGAGTAGATTATTGAGGGAGGTTAGTGCCTCATATGACTTCAAACAGCTCATGTGATAAAGATGCCAAAGTAACTGAAGGGATTAGGCTGCTTGTAGCTATTCTAAAGAAGGGCTGAGAATAGCAGGCTTCATTGGTATTTGAAGGAAAGGTTATATAGCTTTTCATAGTATTCAATGACCAAGTTTTTCAAAGCTAAATAACTTCCTCTGTTCAACTCATGCAGTTTATCTGCTTTCAAAATAAAATTCTAGTTTAATTCATTAGCTACCAAGCTGCTTGTATTCTAGTCAGGTCATTTTGATTTTAAAATGTGATTCTCTTTAAAATAATATGTATGATTGCTTCCCAATTCATTCTCAAGGAAATGAGATATTTGCTTTTGGATTTTTCTGATTACAGGGGAAACCCTGCATATTCCTGAAACTATAATGGGCCTTACGCTACTAGCAGCTGGAACCAGCATTCCGGACACAATTGCCAGTGTTCTCGTGGCTAGAAGAGGTAAGCCCTTTCCATCTGTTAAGCTATCATGGCGAAGTTGGTAACCATGTTACGAAATGGGACATCTTTTCCAGATTTTGACATCTTTTGATACCTACATTCGCTAAATTTAATAAGCTGACTACATTCAGAAGTGCAAGTGGCTCTTCCAATTCTTTTTACCTGATAATTACTGGGATGAGACCATAGCCTTTTGTTCTACTTGGGAAGTGAATGGTCCCCGTTAAAAGACAAAACACTAATTTCACTCTATTTTGGATGAGCCTCGCTGTGTCACTCTTAACATTGATCTGAAGGCATTTTCAAACTTGTTAAGACCACAGATGACAGTCCTGTGGACAAGATGTAGCAAGTGTCTTTTAAACATAAAATTGGGTCACTTTCTGTGAGCTGGGTGTTCATCTAGATTTGATTAATAAATAACAAATGAAACACTACTACTGCAAACTTCTTAAGGTTGACATGTTTAATATGTTCTATCTTGCAGGGAAAGGAGATATGGCCATGTCGAACATTGTAGGATCCAATGTGTTTGATTTATTGTGCTTGGGATTACCTTGGTTTATAAAAACCGCCTTTGTTGACCCATCGAGTCCTGTGCTTGTGAACAGCAGCGGATTGACTTATACGGCCATTTCTCTCATTTGTTCCATCGTTTTTATTTTTCTGGCTGTTCATCTGAATGGCTGGAAATTAGACAAAAAGCTGGGAGCCATTTCCCTTCTGATGTACTTAGCCTTTGCCACGTTATCAATTCTGTATGAACTTGGAATCATAGGGAACAATCCTATAAAGAATTGTGGCAACTAATTCGTTTGGCTTTTGGTTTTGTATAAATTCGCAATCGTGTGGAATAAGGAATGGAAAGGGTCAATCTCTTCGTTTCGCCAAGAAATAAAAACTCCAACATCTCCATGAGCTGTAAAACTTATTTAGAGAAAAATCCACATCATGACATTTTTTTTTTAAAAAAAAATCACAGTTAATGATGAATGCGATTCAAGAATTAATAAGAGTAGCAACGACTAAAGCTTGTAAAACAAACGGATGGGGAGAGAAATGAAAAACCCGCAGGCTTTACAATCGCAAGACAGGCAAAGCTGACAAAAAACGAATTCCACTATACAGACTTTTATTAAACAGAGAAAATGGCTTGTTTTATTAAAAACAGTAGAACCATTCATTTAAACTGAATGACTAGAAACACTTAGCATGATTTTTAAAGAGGCATGAAACAGCCACAACTTCTGAGTACAAGAGAAGGTGGGGCAGTTTTAGGCCACTGAACAAGTCAGGAAAGTTTTCTCTTAAAAATCAAAATGTAGTAAGAATTAACAAGTTCACACAGTATATTAAACACTATACTGTTAAAGGCTGAGGGGGTGGGGATGAAGGGTTGTTTTAAAAGTATTGTATCTTCAACTCAAATAAAGCAGACAGTGCTACTAAAAATGACTTACTGGGAAAGGGAAGAAAGGAAGGAGCTACAGGAAACTGTCTAAAGGAATGTTCCCCAACATGTACTTTATAAATTACGCAATGCGATCCAAACGTACGTCAATTTCTCTGCCACTGATTTTTATGCCGTTCATTATTCTACAGGCCTTTTCTGCCGATTCTGGCGAGTCAAATCTGACTGTTCCACAGCCTTTTGATTTTCCATTCTCCATTTTTATTTCTGCAAACATTACATGACCTGAAAAGTTAAAGCTCAGTTTAGCCAACCATGTGCAGATAGAAGTAGAAATCCTGTAATTACCATCAATGGTTTATCTTTAAAAAAATCAAGTTTACCCACCCTGGGAAAGCTAGTTATCGAAGCAAAGGATTAAACCACAGAGACAAGATTAGATTAGCTAGCGGATTGTGTTATGCCATAGTATGTAGTCACACTGAAGGAGGTCTCAATGCTTAGGGCATCACTTCAAATCTTGCTACATGCCACCCCTTTAACCCCCACTCCCCCACTCCCTTCTGATCCACTCCATGTTTCCTGCTTTCATCACTACAAAGCAAATATTCTTGTTTCTACAGTTAGTTTGTCATGTAATTGATAATAGGTCTTGGTTGTACGACTGGACTTTTTAACATAAAACAGAGCTGAAATAATTTAATGGCTCTTTAATGTTTCGGTCACTGGGGTATATCCAAATAATGACACCTATGGCTATGCTGAATGAAATGTTTGAGTAATGTTAAATACTTTTGGTTATTCTGCGCCAGAACTTAGACACTGCTTATAAATAAAATAAGAACAATGTTAAAGAGGCCCTCTTGGGGCATTTTTAGTTGATCTAGTTAAGCCCCTATTCACATTAAGAAAGAAAAACAGAAGCCAGGTTTAAAAAAACAGAAAGCATAATGTCTAAAACTATATATAAATATCACCTTATGAAGAACACATGTGAAAAGTCTTGCTTTTTATATTTTTACCACAGAATACGGAGAACATAGTAGATTTCCTGCTTTTTAAGGTTTTAGAATGGACAACAGATAAGAACGTATTTTTCTAGTAAAATGCTATTAAATATAAGATAAACATATTTAAAGCTATTCATTTATATATACCAAAACAAGTTTTAGCTACAGATTACAACATATTGAAGAAAGCAGACTTATCTTTTATAAGTAAAGAAATAAATTGCATGTTAAGTCTTTTGATAGAAATTGCAAAATCATTTTTCTCTTTGTGCAAGTTTTCAAACGATACAAAAACCCTTGACATTTTCAGAAAAAAATTTAAGACATACCCTACTCCCTTTAAAATTCAAAAACAGTCTTTTGTTCTGAACCTGATTTCAGTGTGAAACTAAATAAATTTTAACTTATCTATTAAACAGAATATAAAAAGAATTTACCACCAGATGTCTTTATTTGATAAGAATGTCAAAAGCTAAATTGTTGCAATATTCAGATATATCTAAAAAGGTCTTACTTATCAAATATCAGGTTTTTTCATGGCATCCAACCACTAAGATAAAAAAAAGTTTTAACCCTAACTACGGTAATTTATAAGCCATAACAGCATAATTTGCATATTACACTATACCAAAAAACAAAACCATGCTATAGATTAGCATTATCCATGAAACACATTTACAGTATTTCAAGTACTATAGATTATTGCAATGTAAATGTCTACAGAGATTCTCGGTCATCCAGGTTTATGGTTATCCCAAAGGTGCTTTTTCAAGAGGCAACTGGACTTTCTGGTTTTTCTTTGAAAATGTTTCAATTCTCATCCAAGAAGTTTCTACAGAATGGAATCCAGAAAGTCCAGTTGCTTCTTGAAAAAGAATACTGCAATGTAACTAAACCCAGTCAAAATCTGAATCATAGTTTGAAAACCTCAGTTTGGGCAATCACATCTGGATCAACGAACTATAATTTAGGGTGCTCTTACTACCTTCTGAAATCACAGTGATGGTCCTGAGCCCGAACTCTGCAAATACATCTGTCACATAATTCATGGCCTAAGACAGAGGTCCCCAAACTTGGCAGCATAGCTGGCTGGAGAATTCTGGGAGTTGAAATCCACAAGTCTTAAAGCTGCCAAATTTGAAGACCTCTGGCCTAAGAGGAAGCTCGTGTTGGCCAGTTTGTTCCTCAAAGGAAATACCAGAAAGGAACTCAAAGCTTCTCAGAAGGGACAGCTCTTCTCAACCACGCACTTCAAGGGAACACGACATCCCGAGATGCCTGCCCTCATCTTGTGCAACATGGTGCTGCAGGTCAAGGCAGACATCAAGAGGCTCCAAGGAAGAGAAGAGTAGGAATGGGTCAGAAAGCCACCGATACAGACACTTGTCGTGGCTTGTTAACTCTGAGAGGCAGCCTTATTTGTGCCTAATACTTACCGCACTGGCTGAATTTTTCCTTAAGCTTCTGCCAGGTCAAGTCAAAAGGAAGCTGAAATGAAGATAAGCATAGAGTAGTAACCTTCAGGAGAAAAAGCGGGAGAATTATGCTGCTCATCGGTTTTAATTCAGAGGCTTACATTTCTGACAAATATTTGGTTGCCTTTGGTGCCTACTCGGTCTCTCACACCACTTCCCATGGGGCCAGGCACAAATCCTCGATCCATATCAAGGTTTCTCTCCAGGGCAGATCCCATGGTGGGTCCCATCCGATCAAAACTGGTGCTCATCCGATCCATCCCCATTCCCATTCCCATTCCACCGGTCATGCTATTCATGCCACTTAGTCCACTACCTGCAAAAGACAGAGAAGAACAGAGAGAGGAAAAGTGAGTCTTTTAGAATCCCAGGGGGGAAAAAAATCAAGTGGAATTGGGGTGTTTTTTTTGTTTTGTTTTGTTTTTGTTTTTTTGCAAAGGCAGAGGCGTTTCAGCAGAGGGAGCTACGTTGTTCTTGTCAACTGCACTGACTAATGACTAACTTCCCTCTACGGGTTTTTTTTTAATTTTCTTTTTCTATTATTATTCAATTAAGTCTGATTTTCGGAGACTTCCTGAACAAGTCCGTGCAGTTTTCTGGACAAGGTTTTTCAGAAGTGGTTGCCTATTACCTCCTTCCTAAGGACGGAGAGAAACTGACTGGCTCAAGATCACCTAGCTGGCTTTGTATCCATGGCGGGACTAGAATTCACAGACTCCTGGCTTCTAGCCTGCTATCTTAACCATTACACCAAACTGGTTCTCTAGAGATGCCAGGCTGATCCTGCTGCATGTAGAGATGCCAACTTTTATCAATTTTCTTCCGTCTTCCATTCAATCTTTCTAGTTAACTCTCAGTAATTTATGGCTGCAACAGTGGGCGGCCCAGGGAAATGGAAGTTGCCAAACACGGCAAGGTTGAATCTCAACTCAATCTATTTTGAGGCTGTCTCTATAATTTTAGTTGTCAATGCCCTGTAGCGAGTGAAAGCTACGGCTTTATAATAAACTCATTAAATCATGCAGCAATCCATTGATTCCAAAAAGAGGCTCACTCTATATGGTATTATTAGTTCGGTTACAGCAGCCTTCCAGATATTCTAGTTATTCTGCAACTGGGGCTGGACATCATGGCTTCACACACCATGCTAAACAGGCATGCTATGATTTAGACCTCTCAGCCTGTGTGCCTGCTATTTGCTCAGTGCAGGGAAGGACTGTATCTTAGTGAAACTGCACACACCCTTCAGATGCAATCTCTAAGGTCCAGATGTAAAGGTCTCAGGTTCAACCTCTAACATCTGCTTGGATATAAAGCCATCTCTCTTTGGTCTTATGAAAAAAAAACATTGGTTTTTCCGAAAATAAGCATAATGGTTTTCATGAGGATGGAACGGTCAATACATAAAGCCCTTAAGGAATGAGGATTTCCAGAAGGGGTGAAGGCACACAATCACACTTGCAACGCAAAGCATTAATGCACACCCATTTCATTCATCAAACAGCCATGCATGACAACTCAGTGAATCTTCCTTTTACACATTTAAGCCACCCGTGTAATTTATATGCACCTGAAGTATCATACAGCTAGAATTGTCCCTATAATTTTCCTCAAATTCATTATTTCTACAGTTGCCCTAGAAATACACGTCCCCTAAGCAGCAAAACTGATTCACATAAAAGCTTGGTTTCTGAAATGCTCTAATATATAGAGCTAAAAGCTAAACATAGATATATATATACAGACTTTAATAACCTCTGATTACAACTAAGCCCCATGATCTAGGAAATCCTATTTTTGTGGTGGGGGAGCAACAGCTGATTTTTTTTCCCCCTCGATCCACCTTAAATGCTAAGAAGCCTTTCTACAACTGGATTTATTCTTTGTTAGAACAGATCAACCTACTCATTCCAGATCCTACTGGGCCCATATTAGAAGCTCCCATGCCTCCTGCAAAACCACCAACCATTGCACCACCTAAACGAGGACAGAAAAAAATGAAGTTACATAAATCCATTTCACTTTAAGCTGGGGAACTCTTCCAAACGTCGGGGGGGGGGTTTATAATCATCCACTTACTTCTTCTGAGCATACTATTCAAATACCATGTTTGCCCAAAAATAAGACCCTGTCTTATATCTTTTTGAACCCTGAAATAAGCGTTGGCCTTATTGCCATGCGCTCAAAAGCCCGATTGGGCTTATTATCAGGGGATGTCTTATTTTGGGGGAAACAGGATAGATCTACATTTTGTTAAGTGTCAGGAAAATACCACAAGAGAAGATTCATTACAATTATTCTGACATACAAATTAAATAATCTGTAAGGCTGTTAAGCAGCAAAAGCACCTCCTAAGATTTTTAAAAAAATTAAGGCTTCTGACTTAGTTTTACTGTCTCAAAAATATAGTACAAATAAGATCCTGCATAGTGTCCCTCTCTGGAGTGAAGGAACAAGCTTTTTTTTTAAAAAAAAAAAAAAAACCATACTGAGAAGAGAGATAAAAGAAAGATTTTGAGTATGAAGTGGCATCATGCTCATTTGTGAAAATGACTTGCTTGCTGCATGCTGGTTATTAGATTCTTGGGGTAAGGGTGGGGATTGGTAGCCCAGAGTCATACCCATTCTCCCAAAAGTGTCTCCAAAGCCACGGCTCAAGGCCATTTCGCTTCGACCAAAGTCTCTGTCAAGAGTTCCTCCCATGCCACCACGGAACATATCTGCAAGGAAAAGACAGCATTTCAGCATTTTCTCCGATTCCCGAGAGATGCACAAATCACAATTCTGATGCTCCGATAGTACAAAATCGCTTTTCAGAGGTGGTAACTTGAGAGAATGAGGAAAAAAAAAATGAGCTAACTGCTGTTAAATGGCTAAGGAACTCAGTTGCTGTGTATATTTATTTTTGGATGTTTTGTTTTAAAAATTGGTCTTTATTGCTTTAATTATTTTTATACTTGTGAAATTGTAAGCCACTTAGTCATTGATTGAGATGGCCAGCTATAGAAATTGGATGGATGGATGGATGGATGGATGGATGGATGGATGGATGGATGGATCTATCAATCAATGTGAATGAGAAGCCTCTCAAACAGCTCTGTAAGAGGATCACTGAAATTTACTTTTCACAGAACTTTTTAATTAAGTAGAAGACAGCCTAATTCTATATTGTTTATTGTAACCTCTTAAGCCATAATACCCCATTTTTTTTAAAAAAAAAGTCTACTTTGGAAGAATAGGCTAGTCTGATTACCACAGGTAAAATAAAGCTAAACGTACCTCCCATCCCAGCAGCCATGCCTGTTCCTAGGCCACCACTCATTCCACTACCGAGGTTCCCTCTGAAGTCATCTACGCTTCCCATACCTAGAAAGATTTTATTTTTAACACGATTGCTCGATAGCTTTACATTTTGTATTGTAATGAATAAATGTTTACCTACCTCCCAGTCGGTTGACTCCACCAAATCCTCCCATATTTGCCATTCCTTTCATGCCACCAAAACCACCAACACCTGAACCGCAAGTGAAGAGTTTTTTATGAATGCCATAACATTTACACAGAAATAAAGGAGCAGGTGAACATACCTACCTCCGCTCATTCTATTCATTCCTCCAAAACCTGGTCCATCCACTCCCATTCCTTAAAATATATGAAAGGAATCAATGCAGAATTATAGCTTTTCTCTTTATTTAGCATACATCTGTAGGCATTTATAATATAGCAAATAGACTGATACATTTTCTTCCTTCTCCTCTCCCTCCCCCCTCCCTATTAATCAGCATTCAAGTGACTGTTAATCTAGACCGATACTGAATTTTAAAAGCTGGATGTCCAAACAAATAATATAATTGGGAAGGTTATAGCTAGTTCAGGGGGGAAAGAGTACCATAAAAAGTGCCAGCATCTACTTTTTCCCCTTTATCTTCGTCTAAGTTAAGAGACCTAACATGTCAGTCTACATTTAGCACCTTCTATAAAAGTCCAGATATTTTCCCCCTTAATCTCAAGATCAAAAAGAGAAAATCTGCTAACCTCCTGGAGTCACGTTCCCCATTCCACTCCCCATGCTTAGTTGGGTGGCGCTGATTGGCTGTCCCCCAGGACCGAGTCCCATTCCGATCCCTCCAAGTCCACCTTCAAAAGCAAAAAAAAAAAAAAAAAAATCCATAAAATTTTAAGGGCTATATTTCTCCAGAATGATGTTGTAGCCACGTAAGACTTGAAGACAGAGCTACTTTCTGAAAAGTGAATTGGTAACCAAAGCAAGATTAATAAATGTCAGGGTAATGAAGATTTAAAACTGACCAGCCCCTTTAAGACTGAGGATGAATCAGCAGGGTTATTGCCCTTTAAGAAGCTGCCTATATAAGGGAGGCCATTAGAGGGCGTCTCTCTTTCCTCATTGTGTTCTCCGTGTAGAATTGAAGAACATTGATTGCTCGCCTGGTATGTGCCTACCACGTGTATGTCTGTATATAGAAGTCTTGTATATAACCACTGTTTGTAATGACAAAACCTCTGTGTCCTGTATGTTGCTTCTGAGTTGTCTCAAAATAGTAGTCACACTGTAAACACTCTGACAATAAACAGCAAAGAAAAGGACCATACTCACGAGGTAACTGAGGTGTCTTGCTATCAGCTGCGCGGAAATCATCATGAGGAATTGATTTGTCATCCTAACAAAAAAAAAAAGTCAAGGTTTTTGAGTGATGTTTCCACAGCTGGGACACACACACCCCTTCCGTGGAAAAAGCCGAAAGGCACAACTCACCATTTTCACATGCATGGGTCTGTCAAAGAGGAACTGCCCGTTGAACATTGCTGAGCACACAGTCAAGGATCCTTGCTTTTAAAAATGAGAGATATTCAACCGAAAAAAACCCCATCTTTCTCTCACATTTACACTACTGTTCATATATATATGAGGTATCACCAATCACTAGTACAACAGTATCAATTGGAACTACAGGACCTACATTCCAAGAAGGGGTGGACAGAGCAAGGGAAAGACAAAATTTGATTTCATTAATATTTATAAATAATTAAATATAGCTAATAAAGATTCTGCCGTCAACACGTTTAATTACTTGTTGCTTTTTTCACATTTAAAATTATGCTTCAGTAGTTCTTGGGGAAGGGGCACAGGGCTTCAGATTGTCCACCTCTGATCTAATTTAACAATTCAATCTGCACTGCTGCATATGCAAATTTCAGGTGGGTAGAAAGCACTGAACTGCATGTCAACACTGAGAATTCTGATCGATGGCACAAGAGCAGATTAATTCCCTTTTAAAATGGTGCCCGTTTGCTGATGAGTTGGTAAAAGCACAGAGTATGCAGGTGTGATGAAATAAAGCCACCTTTTTCAAACACTAATTCAAATCAGGCGGTGAACCACTTGTGCGGTTTCTTCAATGCAGGAAAGCACTGAATTACAACCCCGGTGTTTATAAAAGCTATGGGGGGTGGGGGGATGTTTGAGGGAAAACTGGGATTTCTGAATTTCATTATCAGCTTCCCTACATTTCATAATGCAGGTAGCATTGCATCCCAGCTATGAGCACTTTCGCCTAACAGGAAATAGTTATCTGAAAACTAATTATCACAACAAAACAATTTGTATGCCAACTACGTCACTGATTTAAGTCTTGTTCAACCATAGTTTAAAAGCTCTATTATCAGAACACTTTTCTTACACACAGCAGTGACACACAACATCACAAATACTATTTGTTTTCCATATCATCTTCCTACTTTTTCTAATTATTCTGTTAGTTTTTCAAAAAGAGAGCAATTCCTACCACCAGGGCATAGCAAAAAATAATAATTAAATCACTAATAAACAGCTTTTACAGTTGGATTAGCAAAGTAGTTGGAAATAATACTCCGGCTTCTTCGTTTTCCTCAGATGATTAAGCTTTTCCCAAGCCAAACCAACTCTCAATCTACATGCTTGCCATTCCTTGGGAAATGATCAGGTATTAATTCAGGGTGCACACCAATTCTGATTAAATCGAAAATCTAATTATCTGCTCGGATCCAGTACAAAAATCCCTTTCTAAAAAAGTGGGAAAACATTCCAACGGGACAGGAATTTGGAGTTTCAAGATGGCATTGGGCATGGGCAACAATGAGGGATACTAGTGTGTCCACAGGTACAATTCCAGAAGAGAAATAGAGTTTTTAAACCACTACAAACTATTATAATCCCTGAATAGCTGCCAATCTATCCCTACCCCAATACTGCCTCCAACAGATACCCTCCAAAATATAAGATCAGTACTGAAACTTCAGTTACGGTTCAAAAGCTTGCTCTCTGTCAAAAAGATAAATTGCTGGCAGAGTTTACAAACAACCAAGCCCTCTCTGAAGTCAAATATGATAGGAACAATGTTTTTTATTTGCTTACAGACTAAACTTGACAACATCGTTCTTTGATCAGATTGGCTTGTGAGGATACATATTGCCTGAACGGCTTCAATGGGCTGCTCAAAAGTCACGGTTCCCATCCCCCGACTTTTGCCATCTTTGTCTTCTTTGATATCTGCACGTTTTACCGTTCCAGCAATGCTGAAGACTTCCTTTAATTTCTTCCAGCCAACCTTAAAGTCAAGCTTAAAAAGACAAAGATTCCATGGGATAGACGAACAAAATTTTGCCTCTTCATTCTGTTCATGCTCTCAACGCAACTGCACCTGTTCTTTCGTTTTTCAACATGCTGACAGAACAAAAGAAGCAACACCCCTCATTTCCTAATGAAGAGTTATTAAAAAGGCTAATAAGGAAAAGTATTAAAACACGATTATTCATTTCCCATCGATTACAATATCCACATGAGCAGTTCGTGAATTTTGAAAGCAGATTCCAAAAACATTTGAGCTAAAAATTCTTTTTTAAAAAGATAACAACTAAATCTAAGAACTTGGAGAAAATCAAAACATGCAAAGACAACATCAAAGGATATCTATCAATGCTTAACATCCCATTAAAATCAGCATAGCTCTTCTCTCTTAATGATAACAATTTTTTAGGAATCTCCACTGCTTTTCTATTACTTACATTGGCAACAAAAATGGTGGAGCCAAGCCTGCCAGCTTGTAGGTTGCTGATAATCTCAGGAGGAATGTTTGGGTTATTAAGTATAGAAGGCGGTAAATTCATTAAGCCAGGTGCTATATCTGGACCATGTCCGCCTGTAAACGGCCCACTCCCACGCTGCAGTGCCCTGCGGGCGTGCTCACCATCCAGATCCTACAAAATAGATAACATCAAGAAAATGTGCATCAATTGATCCTGAGTCAGTAGTAATAAATATTAAGACAATTTTAAATTCCATGGAACCTCCACAAAGCAGGTGGCATTCTTAGTAGGGGCAGCGGAAGGAAGACGTATTTCATGTTGATGGAGACCTAGCTCCCTCACTTCTATAAGTTGCCTTGAAAGAAATATCATCCATTGTCACTTACTATTGTGTTACTTCCAGGGGTCAGCAACTTGTGGCTCTGGAGCCACATGTGGCTCTTTCATCCCTCTGCTGCGATTCCCTGTCCATAGTCAGCTCCACAACTGATACGGCTTTCAGTTAGGACAGGTAGAGGAAAAAGGACGCCGCACTAGGAGGAGACACTATGGTGGGGGGAACCGGACTTCCGGTTGGCTCCAGAATTAAACGGGAGGCTTCCGGTTAGGGGCTTTGTGGCTCTTTGAGTGTTTACGGTTGCCAACCCCTGCCCAAAGATCACCCAAAATAGGTAAGTCAAACTAATGTTTTTTTCCAAACATCAAATTCAATGATTTTAGAGTTATCTGTTAATATCATCTGCCGAAGACGTATTTCATGAAGGCAGGATTCATAGACCGGAGATACTGACACCACATTCGTTTCCACCCTGGTTCACAATTAGGCAGTCAGAAGATACACAGATTCAAGTTATATAGTGTTTAAAAACCATCATTCAACCAACTCTAGATTTAAAGCTTGCAAGTAGATATATTACAAGTCTCACAGGAAATCAATAGTGCTTGACAAAGCACTCTTACTTGCAAGTTCCATTATTCAGGGGCCTGAGAATTTTATTAAATCTTAAGGCTGGAACCTACTTGCATTACCATTTTACATATATATTTGCAATTTTAAAGAATTTGCACTTTTTGACATCTATTGTTTTTTTTGTGGAAGTTTATTATTTTGCAAAATATCTGTAACTCTATTCCAGTTCTTTTATTTTAAAAGAAAGCTACAATGTTGTGCGGTAAAAATATAAACATACCTCTTTTATGTTAAGTGGTCTTCCGTTAAGATCATATTTATTCATGGTCTCCAGTGCTTTCTTTACAAATTCTTCATCTTTGAATTCAACCACACTGGATTAAAAAGAATTAAATGCTTATTTATCTGTTTACTTTTCTAAATAGCATAAATATTAAGGGGAAAAAACATAAAACACACTTACCCACAACCCTATATCCACGAGAAGGTTTGTCAATGCAGGAAACAACAAAAATAAATGAAAAATAAATCAGTAAATGTCGTTGCTGCACTAAGATTTTAGACAAAATGAAGAATAAAGTCTGAATAAAGAACAGAAATTTTTGGAGTGGGAAGGCCACTTTTAACTATAATTTATCCTACCACCATTTACTCAAAACATTTTAGTTATTTTGAAAGGCAAAGAAGGTGGGCATTCAATTTGTTTTATTGCAGGTTTTTTCTATTAGGATTCTCTTAAACCAAATCATATACAGAATGTGGAAATGGCACACAGACAGCTTTATCCACAAAAAACCTGAGAATATCCATTACTATCCTTGGACTGTTATCTTGAGGAATATTCACATTTTCTATAATAGGATGGCAGTTATTAACAATTGTTGGTGTTGTTGCCTTCTTTAAAAAGAAACATTTGATTTTAAAAAAGTTACTCTTTAACCAGCTTTGTTTTTTTTTTTTAATTTATTTATTTAATAAAAATTCCCAAGGGTCAAATGAAAATTGCAGTTAAATAAAAATCTTAAGGGGGAAATAATCAAACACCAAACAGGTTTTTCTGATTACATTTGAGTCAAACCTGCGTTTCTCGTGTTCACAGAGGAGGCTCAGACTTACTATAGTTTGAACGTTTGACCCTTTTAAGAAGAAAGACACAAAGCAGCTTTAAACATTCTTTGCACAAAATTATCTCCCTTGTTGCAGGTATCTCCTACCTAACAGCCAACTTCTTCCATTCTCTTTTTTTAAAAAACCTAGACAAGTTTTTTTTAAAAAAAAACCTAGACAAGTTCAATAATCCAAAATAGTCCTGCACTCTTTAGGCTCATCAAAGTTTATACTCAGCCTCTAGTTAGAATGCTACACTTAATTTATCATTTCAGTTAATTTTTTTTCCAGTCTTCAACTTAAACACACTGAACACAACAGAAATCCTAGAGTGAGCTGCTGTTTTAAATTAATTAGGTAAATGCCATTTATTTAAAACACATATTAAAAGGGCTTGTCCCTTGCATCCAACTACACAAATTTAAATAAAGGTTGACAAACTGTATCTGATACAGAAACCTCTGTCTGTAATATCAATATTAAAAAAATGAAACTTACTTTCCAGTTACTGGTACAAGTATTATACAAAAGTAAAACTGCTGAGGAACTTTAAACCTCTAGCAGATGTTTGCCCATGGCACTTACCCTTGATTTTCCTTCTGCATCCTTAAACAGCTCCACGTATGTAACCTCACCAACTACATAAGACATACAAAGGGAAAATACCAAGAGACAATGCATTTAAACACCAGTGTCTTTCTTTGCTGTGTCCCTTGCACAACTCTACAGAGAAACACCTATTATTCACCAACAATCAAAACCAGACCAACATACCTCCTGTCAAGGGCTATATAATTTAGCTAATTTTCAGGAATATGCAACAGCCACATTCTCAAAAGCTAGAAAAAACAACTATGTTTAACCTAATTCATACTATAGATCATATTTTGGCCAGTATGATATGGTTGGTGAACAAGTTCAGATATACAGATAGTCCCTTCACCTATCAATTAGAACATCAACAATAAACACTTTTCAGTGACATTTGTCATCCTGCTAACAACAGCTGTTTTAAGGTGACTTTCTCCCTGAATATCTTCAAATAGTAAAGAGGTTGCCTTCAATAGAATAACCAATTTACAAGAGTCAAAAAAATTTCACAGCAAGCCACACACTTTCTAAAATAGTTTCATTGCATAAAACCAATCGTGTAGTCACGTCACCTTACAACAGATACGCCTAGCACAATTAAAAGGTTTGTTTTGATTAAAGTACCTAGAAACCAAATATTCTTGGCATGATTTTGAAGCAATCGTATTTTCCCAGATTAATACAAAACTAGCTTTTGACATTTCGTGAGTTGAGATTTCACCTGTCCCAGACCTGCCCGTGGCAAGAAGTTTGAGAAATTCAAATAGTTCTGTCAAACTACAACAGTAGTCACACACTTGATAAGAGCTCCAGACAGACAAGTCATGGCAGAAGTGACAAGGCAGACAGAAATAATTCCACAGCCGGATTCCACCAAGGAAAAATACTGAAAAAATCTTTTTGAGAGGTATCCTTTATCTTTCATACTTAGGAACACACTAAGTAGTGCTTATATTCAGAACTATAGCTAGACATAACACACTCGCTTTAAAAATTCATTCATGAGAATTGGCATATTCACTACACTGTCCGTTGTTGTACTAGAATAGGAGGTTGGATACTTCGTTCGTTTACCAGACTGTCCTGCAATGCAAATGTCTCCAGTGAAAGAAAAAGGGGGAAATAGACATATGAAGCAGAAGTTGGAAAGGACACACCAAATTTGCATTATTTTATAATATTTCAGATATTTATGATTGTCCCTTTTTTTTGTGTCTGTGGAGAAGACGGCAAGAAGTAAGTTACCTTTCTCTCTCATAAGATCTTTAATGGACTGCCATTTCATGTCATATGGGATGTTGCTAATGAATACTCTATTACGATTAACACTCTTCTTTTCCCCAGTGCCTCCTGCACTCTTTTCCTTTGTGTATGGATGAAATCTATTCCTGTGTCCAAGAGACGGGATGGCCTTTGGTTTTGAAATATACTTTGCTTTCGCTGGTAGGGTCTCATCTTTTCCTGTTTCATCATTTTCCCTGCATTTGGAAAGAACAGAGTTACGATGGTTTTGGAATGTAGGATTATACTTGCTTTTAAGCCAGTGTTTTTCAACCATGGTACCTTTAAAATATGTGGACTTCAACTCCCAGAATTCCTCAACCTCCCATAATTTAACCCAGGGGTCAGCAACATGTGGCTCTGGAGCCGCATGTGGCTCTTTCATCCCTCTGCTGCGGCTCCCTGTTGCTGGTTGGCTCCACAGTTGATAGGGCTTTCGGTTAAGACAGGTAGAGGAACAAGGATGCCGCGCTAGGAAGAGACTCTGGGGGGGGAACCGACTTCCAGTTAGGACCTTTGTGGCTCTTTTGAGTGTTTAAGTTGCCGACCCCTGGTTTAACCAAATAAGCCACTTAAACACGAACAAAATTCTCAGAACAACTATGAGACCCTGGTACATTCGGGTTATACTGTACCAAGTGGTCATATAAGTACTCTTGGATCTTCTCACTCAACATGGTCAAGTTTTAAATGATGTATACAAGTGTGCAATTTTCCATTTTTCATATGAATGCAGTGCCTCTTAAGGCCAGATACCTATAATTTTACCAGCGGTAGATGTATTTGTATCTGCACTATCTTATGTTTTTATGAAGGACTGCCACATTAATGAATCCAGATTGTAACTGTGCATGAATGTATGAAACATGAAAACACATGAAGCCAAACCAAAGTATGTGTCTAAATATCACAGGCTGGCATGCTTAGATGCATCCTTACTTGTTTGAAAAGACCAAATGAATTGTTTGCAAAGTAAAGAAAGTTAATTTCTCTTCTATGAAGTTATAATCCCGAGGGACAGTGTTATTGCCATTAAAACAGATTCTCCTATGAACTTTGCAGATAGTCACATAACTGCTTTGTTTTTCAACAGATCCGGAGAGCTGACTTGATGAAAGCAAACATCCTTTTACAGGAGCAAATGTATAGCTGTTGTACAATTAGCGTAAGATTTCTACAAATGGTCCTACATTCCAGAGTTTTTTGTTGTTAAGATAGGAAGCTTACAAGAAGTACCTAGAAGTACAATAATGTACTATAATTGTATCAGATGGCTGATACAGCTGTCACAGCAATATCTTGTAATTCAAATGGCGACTTGCATTTGATTAATACTGAATGCCACCTCTTTATGAATAAAATGCCACTTGTTTGCTTTATAGAAGTGGGAAGAAAAAACAAAACCCTTTACTATCCATGATTATTCAAGGAAAAGGAAGGTCAAAAGCACAGAGATATCCACATTCTACCTAATTATAATAATCCTGCATCAGCTGGACATGTGCAAGTCCCCTCAGACCCCTTCTAAGGGCAGGGCGGCTTGCTTGTTACCTGTGGAATCCATCCCAGAATAAGGCTGAAAAACAATTGCAGGAGGTGAAAGCTTCTGCCAAAATAAAAGGCCAAAAAAGGTCAATGTTTTTTGGTTTAGTAGTTGCAACCTTCTAGCCGGTTTGAATTCAGGTTGGGCCAGCCAACAGCAAACATCCCACCGGAGGCTGGTTCAACTGGGGCTTATAATCAAGAATCAAGGTGTTTCGTTCATACCATAGGACCAGTAGTGGAATTCAATTTTTTTTTTTTTACTACTGGTTCTGTGGGTGTGGCTTGGTGGGCATGGCAGAGGAAGGATACTGCAAAACCCCCATTCCCACCCCACTCCTGGGGGGATACTGCAAAACCTCCATTCCCACCGCACTCCTGGGGGGAAGGATGCTGCAAAATCTCCATTCCATCCCCACTCCAGGGGAAGGATATTGCAAAATCTCCATTCCCACCCCACTCCTGGGGCCAGCCAGAGGTGGTATTTGCCTACCGGTTCTCCAGAACCTGCCGAATATTGCAACCCCTGCATAATCCTAGAGTCCAGGGCTGTAGAGTGATGGCCACAGGCTACGCATACCTTTTCCCCTGCTTTACTGTTTACAATCTTACTTGAGCCTGCAAACAATGGCAGGAGGAGGAGGAGGAGGAGGGGAGGCCCTGAGGCCTTGGAAGAATTTCTGCTCCAACCATCCCTTCCCCCGCCCCCCCACTCCCTTTCAAGATGCTAGAGAGGAGACTAGCATGGGGGGGGGCTTCATGTTTACAGGCTTGGGGGGGGGGACCAAGTTTTCCCCCTCCCCCTTCAGCTCATTGAACTTGACTCCCCTTTTATAGGGGCGAAAGGCTGTCCCTCCTCCCTCCCCTTAGGGCAGGCCCCCCCGCCCCCTCCTTCTATCCGCAAAGCCCCTCAAAAAGGCTTCCTCACCACGAAGCATCCCCCCCCCGTTTCTTTTCTTTTTTTTTTTAAACGGCCAAGCCGCCCGCCTGCCTTCTCCCACCACGAAGAACGGGGCGGTGGTCCATAAACACAGAGAGAGAATTAGAGGGGTGGGGGAGAGAAATTCAGGCGACTGCCTTCGGGCTCCTCCGTGGGGGAGAAAGGACCGGCTATTCCCCCGCTATTCCAACCCCACTCGCCGCGCGGCCTAGGCGGCCCGCCGCATCCCCGTCCTCGAGTAGAGGCTTCGGGCCCGGGCGCCACGCCCCCTTCCCGGCTCTAAGACCCGCGGAGCGGGAGCGCGCATGCGCGAACGTCTCCCCCGTCTCTTTCCCCCCCCTCTCTTTCTCTTAGGGCGCGCGCGCACGCGTACATTTTCACCCCGTTTGTGCTCCCGCCGCCCTCGGCCAGGCCCGCTCCGCCCGCTTCTTCCTCCTGCTGCCGGTCGTGGTCGTTGACGGTGGCCACCTCGGCTTCTCCCATCGGCGGCGGCGCGGCCGAGCCGGCCTCGTACTTGTCATCCTCCGCCATTTCCTCAGCCGTGTGCGAAAAAAAAAAGGGGACGCGGGCAGAGAAGAAGAGCGCCTCCTCCTCTCAGCCCCTCAGCCACTCGCTCCGCAGCGGCTGTGCCGTGCTCTCGCGAGAACCGAAACATCGCGGGAACGGGAAAGGGGAGCCTGGGAGCGAGACGGGCCGCGGCTCTGTTGCTATGGCGACGGGGACTCTTCCACCCACCTCCTTCCCCTCCCGCCTCGAAGAGGCGAGCGTGTGGGAGAGCCTTGCTCTTATCAGCTGTTCGATTCCCCGCTGCTTCCTCGCCAGCTCATTGTTTTATTTTTACTTATTGAAGTAATTTATATATAGTCGCCCAGATCACACATTAACAGAGTTGGAAGGGACCTTGTAGGTCATCTAGTCCAACCCCCCCCCCACTCAAGCAGGAGACCCTACACCATTTCTGACAAATGGCAGTCCAATCTTTTCTTGAAAGTCTCAAGTGATGAAGCTCCCACAACTTCCAAAGGCAACTTCTGTTCCATGGGTTGATTGCTCTCATTGTCAGAAAGTTCCTCCTCATTTCTAGGTTGAATCTCTCCTTGGTCAGTTTCCATCAATTATTCCTGGTCTGGCCTTCAGGGCTTTGGAAAATAGCTTGACCCCCTCCTCTCTGAGGAAGCCCCACAAATATTGGAAGGCTGCTATCCTGTCTCCCCTGGTCCTTCTCTTCACTAGCCATGCCCAGTTCCTGTAACTGTTCTTCGTATGTTTTAGTCTAATAATCCTGGTTGCTCTCCTCTGCACTTTTTCTAGAGTCTCAATGTCTTTTTTTATAGTGTGGTGACCAAAACTAGATGCAATAATCTAGGTATGGTTTTACTAGGGCTTTATAGAGTGGTAGTAGTACCTCGCTTGATCTTGATTGTATCCCTCTGTCAATTATCATTAGATTACTCAGGGCCCCCATGCCTGATGGTGATTATTAATGTCCATCATTGAGATGGACATTTATTTTATTTCATTATCGCATTTACATGCCAGTCAATCTCACACAATGGACTGTAGATGGGGCATTATTTTCTTGGTTTCCTCATACAGTTATTTATCTATCTATCTATCTATCTATCTATCTATCTATCTATCTATTCCTTAGATAGGATCCCTGTTTCCACACTGTCTCACATGGCTGTATTATCTATCTATCTATCTATCTATCTATCTATCTATCTATCTATCTATCTATCTATCTCTTAGATAGGATCCCTGTTTCTACACCATCTCACATGACTGTATTATCTATCTATCTATCTATCTATCTATCTATCTGTCTGTCTATCTATCTATCTATCTATCTATCTATCTATCTATCTATCCCTTAAATAGGATCCCTGTTTCCACACCATCTCACATGGCTGTATTATCTATCTATCTATCCATCCATCCATCCATCCATCCATCCATCCATCTATCTATCTATCTCTTAGATAGGATCCCTGCTTCCACACCATCTCACATGGCTGTATTCTCATCCGTTCCTTTTTCATTGTTTGTTCTAATTGTTCCATTACATTACTACTGTTACATTTGCACTTCTTCTCGCTTCTCTGTTTTTACTGTTGTAAGCTGTCCAGAGTAGCGAGATAGGGAGAAAATAAATTTAACAAAGTGCAACCAAAAACATAGTAAAAAGTCATATAGTGTTCATATATAGTGGATCTATAGTTCAGAATGGATCATTTGGGACCTTTGAATTTCAATACACCAAGGTGGAGAATTTGGGGTTTTTTTCCCCTCTGAAAATTCTCCCTTCATTTCTTCTTCTTGTGCCATATCCGTCATTGGACGTTGGCGATCATGTTGGCAATCCTATTTTTGTCAACAGCCACATGAAAAATGATTTTTTTTAATGTTATCTAATTCTGGGTTTTATTTAATTGACCAAACTAAGTAATAATTTTAATTAGCAATTTTATGATGTTTGTGTGTCTATATTTTTCTTGACTGTACACCGCCTTGAGTCCTACGGGAGAAAGGCAGTATAGAAATATAATAAATAAATAAATAAATAAATAAATAAATAAATAAATAAATAAATAATAGATAGATAGATAGATAGATAGATAGATAGATAGATAGATAGATAGATAGATAGTGCTGTTGAGTTTTGTCCAAACCAGTCCCTTAGGTTTTGAAGCCATGGTGTTCTTCTTCTGCCTGGACCTCGTTTGCCTTCAATCTTTTCCTGGAGGATTAAGTGAAGGATGCCGTATTTTTCTGGGTGTCATGTCACATGTCTAAAATATTCTAACTTTCGCTTTTTAATGGCTTTGATGGTTTCCCTTGGCTTTCCCAGGCGGCTTATCATCACCTCCTTTGTGATTTTGTTAACCCAGCTTATACTCTCCTTTCATAGCATTGTTTAATTGGGAGAAATGATTTGAATCAGAAATTTTCCTCCTTTGGTTGATGAGTTATTTTGTAAGGATCAGAGAACATTGTAAATGTTCATCAAACAGGAACACCAGAGGTACACATTATGCTGATAAGTAGACCATGATCAATTTGATTTCACTCTGATTTAAAAAAAAAAAAAAAGAAACCTTAGCTATCAGCATCTAAACGTTAAAAAGAAAAACACCTCTATACTATTTACCCATAAATACCAAGTTAATGGAAAAGTCTATAAGGAGTGGAAATTTTCATTTTAACCACCCTTTACGGTTTGAAAGTTCAGACACAGTAACTGGATGATGTACAATGAGTAGCAGATGAAGGCCAAAGTCAGATGTCCCCAAGCTGCTTTTCAAAACAGAACTCGACTTTCTAGGTTTTTGTTTTTGTTTTTTGAAAACATTTCGCTTCTCATCCAAGAAGCTTCTTCAATGAAGTGGGCTGAAGACTCTTCTTGGATGTGAATCAAAACATCTTCAAGGAAACCCAATGGTGCTTTTTCAAGAGGCAACTGAGCTTTCTGGTTTTTCTTTGAAGACGTTACTGGACTTTCTGGTTTTTTTTGAAGACGTTACTGGACTTTCTGGTTTTTCTTTGAAGACGTTTCACTTCTCATCCAAGAAGCTTCTTCAATGAAGTGGACTGAAGAAGCTGTCAAGTTTTGAGGTCGTCTCAAATAAATTGCATTTCAAACAAAGTCTTTGAAGAAAAACTCCTATTTATTAAGCACGACATTCTAACCTGACTCCAAACGAAGCCAACACTGACTTCCAGCCCCCAAACCCTCCCTTTCCGTTCCCCACTCCCCTGCACTCATTGGCCATCTTCCAAGTCATTCTACCCCTAATCTACTCCAGCTCAAAGGAATTCCCCCCCTCCCATCTCATCTCCTAGGGGATATTATCTCCAGGGAAAATAAGTAGGTGAAAAGTCAAACGTCCCTTTCCAGATGCCTTCGCTTCTCCTTCTTATGTCAGCACTAGAGTAAATGCAGGTTGAAGTGCTGACAGAAGCTTCTTGGATGAGAAGCAAAACATCTTCAAAGAAAAACCAGAAAGTCTAATTGCCTCTTGAAAAAGCACCTTTGGGACAACCATGGATGACTAAGAATCTCCATAGACACAAAGTCCAGATCTTTTATTTCACCCAGGACATTTGCAGCAGTCCAAATAGGTCCCCAAGAATTGCTTTAACTACTAGTGTCAACTCGCAAAGCATCCCTGGCCTGCTCTCGAGTTGCCATAGGCAAGGGGGGATGGGAAACCGACAAAGCAGCACGGCAGCCACAGACAGGAGCACATTCCAGACATATCTTTCTCAAGGCTGTCTCCGACAGCGGCCAGAGGGGAGTGGTTTCTACAACCCGCAAAATTGCTCCGTTGGCGAATGTGATTGATGACACACTCTGGGGGGAGGGGGAAACAGGGTCATGATTAGGGTCGTAAATTACGTTGGGTCAGAGTTGGCTTCATTTGGGTATCTGCCGACATGGAGCTCCTAATAAATAACTGGATTTCTTTTGAAGCTTGGCTCGAGGCTCATGATTTAATTACGGCATCCATCGGAACCCTGATAACTAGGCCACTCCAGAAATTGGGTAGTGGGTTCAAACCCAATCTGAGGGTTATCTCAAGTCAATGGTTCGCTTCATGAAGTCTATTTTTGTTCTTTGTTTAGCTGTCCACAAGGACTCCTTGACTGTGGCAACATCAAAATAAGCCGATACGCCTGTCTATTATAGGAATATTGTTTTTTTCTTGGCAACGGCACAGAAGGCAGAAACCCAGCTATTCTTCTCCTAAATTCCTGGAAGGAAGGCGGCCTGGGAGGGAAAGAATGGAAGCAGGAAAACAACATCCATTGGATCCAGCAAACGCTGCCAGTACCTCTGCCAGGATTCAAGCTAACACAGCTCAGCTGCATTCAGGATTGGAACATCAGAATCCAATTTAGAGGGGGACAAAGCTTCACTATCAAGTTCTGCATGGGAATACAGGTTAGACAGTCCTTGGTTTACGAATCCAAAACTTCTGTTGCTAAGCAAGACAGCGGTTAGGTCAATTTTGTCCCCTTTTTAGAATCTTTCTGGCCACCGTTGGTAAGCGAATCCCTGCAGCTGTTAAACGAGTAACGCGGTTCTTTAAATGCAGCTGGCTTCCCCATTGACCTCCCCATCAGGAGGTCACAAAAGGGGAATCACAGGAGCCCGGGCCACTGCAACCGTCATAAATATGAGTCGGTTGCCAAGGGACTGGATTTTGATCACGTCGCCACAGGGATGCTGCAATGTAAAACAGTCATAAGTCATTTTTTTTCCCCCAGTGCCGTTTAACTTTAGTCACCAAACAAACCGTCAGAAGAAAAATCCATTTGGTTCAGTTCCAAGCAGGCGTGGGCTTCAAAAAAATTAGCAAGGGGTTCTCTGCCCTGTTGCTGGGTGGGCACGACCACAGTGGGCATGGCCTAATCGGCCTCCTGCACCATAGGCAAGGGGCCCCTTTTTGCTCTCCACGGGCTCTGGAGGCTTTCCTTGAGCCTCTGGGAGGGCGAAAACGGCCTCCCCAGGCTCTGGAGGCCCTCTGGGCCCATTTCTGGCCTTCCTGAACTTCCAGTAGGCCTGTTTTTCACCCTCCCCAACCCTCTGCACGCACCCTGCATTTACCTGCATCCAAAACGGGCCACATGGGGACTCCGGGGAGGGGAGGGGAGGGCTGGGCGGGGCCAGCCAAGAGTGGGATTTGGGGATTCTCCAAACTGCACAGAATCTTAGCTAGAGGTTCTCCCGAACCCCTGCGAACCCCCAGCAGCTTGGTTCCAAGCTGGAAGGAAAACACTGGAAACAACATGGAGGCTGATTGGAAAAATCAAGAGCCTTGGTAGTACAGTGGTCTAAAGCACCCTGTTATTAAGACCAGCTGCCTGCAATTACTGCAGGTTCGAATCTCGCCAGGCTCAAGGTTGACTCAGCCTTCCATCCTTTCTAAGGTAGGTAAATTGAGGACCCAGTTTGTGGGGTCAATAAGCTGACTTTGTATAAATATACAAAAGGATGAAGGCTATTGCTTAGCGCATTGTAAGCCGCCCTGAGTCTCCGGAGAAGGGCGGCATATAAATCAAATTAAAAAAAAAAAAAGATGTATTGAACAGAACCACAAAGGCAGCGCGCAGTTCTGAGTCAGCTGAACAAAATGGTCAACTGAGTGGATGGATCTTTATAAGTTTCTGCGACTTTGAAGTTTGAGCTGTTCAGGGAGTGGTGCAATAAAGGGACTTGTGTTCTGCAAGGGTGTTGGGCAATTCCTATTGTGGCTAATGGCTTTCGTCCTGGGTTAGATCTTGGATGAGGGGGTTGCTTGTTCTAATCCTACCATTCTGCCTTTGTTAGCTGTCAAACTTCGCTGCGAGGGCTTTCTTGAAATATCCTGTCTTGAATCTGCCTTTCTAAAAGCCGGCTTCCTCCGGTTTCTGCTTGGGGGCAGGGAGACTGGGGCTGGTTTCTGCCTCCCTTTTTCCCCATTTTTCCTTTAGGGAAATATATAATATTCTGTTTTCATTAAGTTTTCATTCACTTAGTTTTCATTGCGAAAACTAAGATCATGGCATCCATCCCTCTTAATTCCTGGCAAATAGATGGGGAAGAAATGGAGGTAGTGACAGATTTTATTTTCCTGGGCTCCAAGATCACCGCAGATGGGGACTGCAGCCAAGAAATTAAAAGACGCTTGCTCCTGGGGAGGAAAGCTATGGCAAACCTAGACAGCATACTAAAAAGTAGAGACATCACCCTGCCAACAAAAGTGCGTATAGTCAAGGCTATGGTTTTCCCAGTTGCAATGGATGGCTGTGAAAGTTGGACCATAAGGAAGTTTGAGCACCAAAGAATGGAGGCCTTTGAACTCTGGTGCTGGAGAAGACTCCTGTGACTCACTTGGACTGCAAGGCGATCCAACCGGTCAGTCCTAGAGGAGATCAACCCTGACTGCTCTTTAGAGCAGATCCTGAAGAGGAAACTCAAATACTTTGGCCACCTCATGAGAAGGAAGGACTCACCGGAGAAGAGCCTAATGCTGGGAACGATTGAGGGCAAAAGAAGAAGGGGACGGCAGAGAATGAGGTGGCTGGATGGAGTCACCGAAGCAGTCGGCATGAGCTTAAATGGACTCCAGAGGATGGTAGAGGACAGGAAGGCTTGGAGGAACATTGTCCATGGGTTCTCGATGGGTCGGACACGACTTCGCAACTAACAACAACAATAATATTCTGCCTTTTTTTAAATATTTCCCAAAATATTTCATTCTTACGGGTGGATGGAGGGTGGGGGTGGCTTCCCACAAAACTGTTGTAAGTCGAGGACTACCTGTAAGGAATCCCCAGGTGGGATTCAAAAGCCAGCTCGACCACTCCCAGCACTGGGGAGGGGGAGTAATCCGAGCCCCTTGGACCCTCCCTAGTAACCCCGGGTGACTCCCTGCCAAAGCCCCCTCCCTCCCCGCACCTTCCCGGCTTGACAACCCCCAATAAAAGGCGGAGCTCCCTCGGGCCGGTTCGAGACCCCGCACGCAATCAATGAAATCAATAAGATCGAGCGATCCCTTCCGAGGGGTTCCCGAGGGAAGCAGGCAGGAAGCCGAGGAGTCTCCCCGGGGTTGGGGCTGTCTGGCATCTGGCTTTCAGACCAAGGAACCATCCGGCCAGGCCAGCCGCCTCCGCTGCAGAGAATTTGGGAATGCCTCGCACGTAGAGCCTTCGGCAGGAACTTTCCACGCGCTTTCGGGGCGCGAACCTGAATAATTTTGGGAAGGAGGCTGGGGGTCTCGCCTTCACCTCGACCCCCCCACACACACACACACCACCCTCCTCCATCACCACCTCCACGCTGCGAAGACCCCCCCCCCAATCCAGACCCCGCTTTTTGCCTTGGACCGAGCTGGAGACCCCCACCCTGAAGACAGACAGGTGGGACCCGGCGGAAGGCGCGCCCAATAGCAGCCGTGGGAGCCCAGCCTCTCGGGAGAAGAAGGAGGGGAGGGGAGGGGGAAAGGAGAGAGAAGATGAGCCCCGAAGATGGTCTGGCGGCTGGGCGGGGGTGAGCGGAGAGCCGGGCTTTGCTGACAGGTCGCAGCCGGGTCGACTTGAAGACCTTGAAACTTCGACCGTGGTGGGATCGAGCAGGCGACGGTGCTCTGCGCTCAGGATGTCTGGCTGGAACCGGGGTGAGTGGGTTGAGGGTGGGTGGAGGGGGGGGTTAGAAGGAGAGAGGAAGGGGCTGGAGAGCCTGATGGGCCAGGAAGAGGAAGGGTGGTGGGTCGGCTTGGGGTGGCACATCGGAGCCCTGCTCCAAGCAACAGGATGTCCCGACTTTGCTTTGTGCGTTTTTGGGGGACTGCTAACCCAGGATCGTGGCTATTTGCATCGTTTGCTCTGTCTCTGGTTATGACCAGGTAAGATCTGGCAGCGGAGTCCTGAAGAAGGCGGGGGGGAGAAGGAAGGATCCGTTTACCATTAAGCAGATCCCAATGCTGGGGGTGGGGTGAGGGGGGGGGGTAGCGTAGCGCATGTAAATATTTGCCATTTATAATGCCAGCTGCCGGAGTTACCGTTACCCCGCCCGATCCAGAGAGATTTAACCACCCGTCGCCTCGCCGGGTGTTACTGGAAAACAGATCCGGTTGGTTTCCATGAGGCTTCCCCAGGTGGATGCGGTGACAACTGCAGCATTTGTGAGAGAGTCGTTATCCCAAGAGGGAATCGGGTTGAAGTGGGAATCAACAATTGGTTTGTTTTTTCTTTTTGTTTTTTCCTGCCTTTGCACAGCTTGTTGTGGTGATATGGCATCCACTGGTCTGTTCGTAAGCAGCCTATTTAGGCTGAAGTCCAGGCTGGGTACAAAGATATGGTTTTAAGGGCATGCATAACCATCTCCAAGAATACTGGGCAAAACCAGGGATGAGATCCAGCAGGTTCTGAAGAACCCGTAGCGGAAATTTTGAGCAGTTCGGAGAACCGGTAGCGGAAATTTTGAGCAGTTCAGAGAACCGGTAGCGGAAATTTTGAGCAGTTCGGAGAACCGGTAGCGGAAATTTTGAGTAGTACAGAAAACTGGCAAATACCACCTCTGGCTGGCCCCAGAGTGGGATGGGAATGGAGATTTTGCAATATCCTTCCCCCAGGATGGGGTGGGAATGGAGATTTTGCAGTATCCTTCCCCTGCCATGCCCACCAAGCCACACCCACAGAACCGGTAATAATAAAATTTGGATTTCACCACTGGGCAAAACAATTCATGAAATTAAAAGTTCAGGAATTGCTACCTGTTAATATACGGTTTTCTATGGCCTTTTGAACAAACCCAGCAGTTGGCATTGGGTTGGCCTTGTCTGGGCTCAGAAGCTAAGCAGGATCAGGCTTGGTTAGTATCTTGGAAGGGAGACACCCCCCCCCCAAATTCTAGGACTGTAACTAGATTGAGGATCCTGAGAGGTGGCCATATCAAATCATTTGGATAACGGTGTGCTGAAAACAACACAAATGTTGCCTGATTGGAAATGTCCAGGGACTCAAAGGAGACTTCCTTAGAACATGCAACACAATAGCCATTTAGTGGATTTCCTTGAAGACACATTGGCGATTTACAGGGTTAACAACAGGAAACACAACAGAGAAGGTAGTCGGTGTTGGATTTTAACTCTCTGAAGAAGAGAAACAATGCTAATTCAATTCCATTCAATGGGTGGAGAATTGTGGTTCCTTTCTTGCTGTAAAGCAAAACATCATTTCTATGTTAGCATCTGAGTTGTGGCAAATATTGCATTTCCCCAGCACTCCAAGGCCAGTGGCAGCCTGCTATTGGGGAAAACGTGATTTGCTCACCAGGAAGTGTCTTGCTTGGACTGTCTGGAATCGTGGTTAAGAATCCTAACTGCCTGGTTGTGTCCATGCTCGGGCTTTACAAAGTTGTGTAATTCCCACCACATTTAGTGAGGTTCATATCCCAACTAACCAGGCTGGGCCCTTCGGTCTTAAAAGTGGGTTTTGTGTGCATCGCAGCACAGTAGCTCTGTATGTTTCAATTTAAGGAGACTACGAGTTCTTAGGCATGAAAGCCAATAGGGTAACTTTGGGCCAGTTGCTCTCTCTGTCCAATGCACTTCACAGGGCTGTTGTGGGGGAAATAGGAGGCAGGAGTAGGTATGTTCATCACTTTCAGAGCAAGAGAGAATGGGGCAGAGAGAGAGAGAGGGAGAAAGAGAGAGAGTGAGGAAGAGAGAGAGAGAGTGAGGGGGGTTGTCAGATGGGTGGGTGGGTGGGTGGGTGGATGGATGGATGGATGGATGAGTGGTGTAGTGGCCTACAGGTGGAGCTTTCACCTCACAATCAGGAGTCTGTGAGTTCAATCCTAGGTAGAGGCAGATATTTCTCTCTTTGGGCAGATTGAGAATATATCTGCTGAATATAACTCCGCATTGGTGACAGGAAGGGCATCCGGCCAGTAAATACTCAATTCCGTTCATAACTTCGTTATGGGTTGTTAAAAGGAGATTATGATAGAGAGATTTTATTTATTTATTTATTTATTTATTTATTTATTTATTTATTTATTGGTTCGATTTATATGCCGCCCTTCTCCGGAGACTCAGGGCAGCTTACAATGCGTTAAGCAATAGCCTTCATACTTTTGTACATACCTGCTTAGTAGGGCTTTCGCCCCCCCCCCCAGCGGTGTTCTTTTTTATACAAAATCAGTTTATTGCCCCCACAAACTGGGTCCTCATTTTACCTACCTCGAAAGGATGGAAGGCTGAGTCAACCTTGAACCTGGTGAGATTTGAACTTGCAGTAATTGCAGGCAGCTGGTACTATTTAACAGCACTTTAGTCTGCTGTGCCACCAAGGCTCTTACAGATAGATAGATAGATAGATAGATAGATAGATAGATAGATAGATAGATGAGAGAGATTATATTTTTCAAGAAAGTTAAAGGGTGGCATAAAAATCTGATAATAAGCGTATTAAAAATTGCCTTTTAAAAAGTAATAGGACTACACTATCCCATCCAATTCCATTAATTTATGAATAAGGAATAAGATGCAGCATTTTTCCTCATGTATTCCTCTTTTCACTAATGAACCACTGAAATCTTTACCAAGCCTGGAAAGGAACATAATGTAATGTTATATGTTGTCATGGCATGTCCTAGAATAATAATAAGGCTAAAGAATTGAAATCCTTGACTTGATGGCTGAACTCCAATTTTCATCCGTTCAGTGCTTCCGTTAAAGGGGAAAAAAAAAGTGTGCGCGCATGTTTTGTTCTGTTAAATGTCCAGAGTTGTTTTTTTTAATCGTGCCATAATATACAAATGAACTGGAGCAAGAAGTACAGGCTGCTTTTGACCTTCACGGCCACACAATTTCATTTCGAAACCACTCTTCCAAACTCCAGTAATGATGAAATATGAGACAAGTCAGGATGAAATACTTCCATATCTTTTAAAACTTGCTCCTTCTCTTTCAGGAAAAGGAAATTGTGGGATTAGTTTATGGTAGGGGAAAAGTCCATGATTGGATACTACTTCCAACGTTTGTTTTTTAAAAAAATAAAGGAAATCTAATTATTAAGCGGTAAACTGAACGAGATGACAGTGGAGCAACAGGTGAAACTCTGAGCTTGAGTAATAATGTCTGGTCAGAAGAGATGAAGAACTTCTAAAAGTCCTCCTCCAAAGTCAGTGGTGTGTGGGTGTGTGGGTGTTAGTTTGTGTTGCCAACACACAGAATCCCTGACCATTGACCATGTGGAAAAGAGCAGCAATCCGTCAGCAAAACATTTATGTCTAGCTCAGGGATCGGCAACCCGCAGCTCTGGAGCCACATGTGGCTCTTTCATCCCTCTACTGCAGCTCCCTGTTGCTGGTCAGCTCCACAATTGATAGGACTTTTGGTTAGAACAGGTAGAGGAAAAAGGATGCTACGCTAGGAGGAGACTCTATGGTGGGGGAACTGGACTTGTGGTCAGCTCCAGAACTGAACGGGGGGGCTTCCGGTTAGGACCTTTGTGGCTCTTTGAGTGTTTAAGGTTGCCGACCCCTGGTCTAATTTCTTTGAACCTCTTATTCTAACCTCTCAAGACAATAACACAGTTAACCATAAACTGATGACCAAGGGATATTGGGAACTTCTTCTTCTTCTTCTTGTGCCATATCCATCATCGGATGTTGGCGATCATGTTGACGATCCTATTTTTATCAACAGCCACACGAAAAAGTGCTGCTGAGTTTTGTCCAAACCAGTCCCTTAGATTTTGAAGCCATGATCTTCTTCTTCCTTGTTTGTCTTCAATTTTTCCCTGGAGGATTAAGTGAAGTATTTTGTAGTTTTGGGTTTATCATGCTTCTAGCAGACCGGGAGATTCTTACCACCCTTTCCCCATTTAAGGGGTGCCCATACTCGGGGGCATTGTTAGGTTTTGCTGCCATTAAGATGATTTTCCTGGGAAATATATAGTAAACACAGATTGGGTTTTTTTTATGCTTGCTTATGATTTTTCAGAGGAAAAAAAATACCACTGTGGAAAACAGTGTCTTGATATTTGGACTGGGTTATCCCAATTATTATTATTATTATTATTATTATTATTATTATTATTATTATTATTTGCTATAATTTATATGCCGCCCTTCTCCGGAGACTCAGGGCGGCTTACAATGCGTTAAGCAATAGCCTTCATACTTTTTGTATATTTATACAAAGTCAGCTTATTGCCCCCCACAATCTGGGTCCTCATTTCACCTACCATTGAAAGGATGGAAGGCTGAGTCAACCTTGAACCTGGTGAGATTTGAACTTGCAGTAATTGCAAGCAGCAGATGTTAATAACAGTGCTTAGTCCACTGTTAACTAAACAGTGCTTAGTCCACTGTTAATCATCTTGAGAAAGGAATGCAGCTAAAAAGGAAAATTCGGAACCAATGAAGGCAGGCGAAAGACACAGGGAATCCGAGAAGGTCCATCTGCAAATTGGCTGTGAAAAATATACAGCAGATGGCAGCCGGAAATTTTCCCAGCATATCCTGCCATCTCGGAATTGACAGCTTGCTGAATCCCCTTGGGTCATATAAGCTTGGCCACTGTAGGTTTGAAGCTACGGTACTTGAAAGGCAGAAGGAAGAAAAACATGTCAGCTGAAAGGTTTATATCAGTGCATCCCAACCTTAGCAACTTTAAGGTATGTGGACTTCAACTCCCACAATTTCCCAGCCAGCCATGAGAATTCTGGGAGTTGAAGTCCGCGTATCTTAAAAAGTTGCCAAGGTTGGAAAATACTGGTTAGAAGAATAGCAGAAAGAAAGGTGTGAAGTGGGGTGAGGTGAGGTGAGGAGAGGAGAGGAGAGGAAAGGAAAGGAAAAGAAAGGAAAGGAAAGGAAAGGAAAGAAGGGAAGGGAAGGGAAGGGAAGGGAAGGAAAGGAAAGGAAAGGAAAGGAAAGGAAAGGAAAGAAGGAAAGGAAAGGAAGCACACAGAGGAGAGAAAGAGAGAAAAGGGAAACAATGAGAAAGAAGACAGGAGGAGAGGAGAGGAGAAAAGGGAAGAGAAGGAAAGGAAAGGACTCAGGTATGTGGGTTGAATATAATGATAAAGTCATAAACAGTTGCTTGATTTTGTACATGGAATTCTTATCTGGAATTCAGCTCAGTACTTAAAGAATGCCATCCTAACCCAAAAGTCTCACAATTTCTTTTTCTTTTTCTTTTTTATGTCTCTACAGCTGTTCAAACTTCAGAAAACTCTGGAATTGTGCCTTACGTGAATGCATCAGGTAGCATTTATTATATCAACATATAGAGTCACCTTAATCACTGCATTTAACTGGGACTCCTAGCTCATCAGCTAAAAACAAATACACCATTCCTTTCAGTTCTTGAAGGAAGGATTATTAAGAAAAAAAATGAGGAGAAGGAGGAGGAGGAGGATTTTTTGACATGAATCAGTTGGATTGCGCTCCATTCGGAATGAAATGAAGAATAAAGCAGGAATGCAGGGGGAAAAAGAAAGCAGGAACGCGGAGCAAACCTTGAGGAAGGAATCCAGTAGAGGATTTAAATTAGCAAAATTATTGCAGGAATGAAATTGTTGTAGGAATGAAGGCAGCTCATAATAAGCTGCCACCAATAGATCAAGTTTACTCCAAAGCTGGGTCTCAATCAGTGCTAAAGTGCCAAATTCCATCACCGCAGCTGTCATAAGTTAATCATGTGTTATGCCATTCTGTATTAGCATTTATATGCAATTTTGATATAGGAAATGAATAGGGTAGTTGGTAAGACAGAGGTGCCTCGGTTGCCACACAAGAAATGGAAACCAATATATCTGGGAGGCACCTGAGGGAGGATAAATTAAGAGGAGATATGTCAGCTTCCTTCAGACATGTTGGAGTGCAGGATTTGAACAAATGGGTGGAAAATGCAGAGTTGCTGCCACATGGGGGAAGGCAAGGTGGGCTCGGAGATATAATGGGTCCTCAGATACCTTCCTTGGTGTGTCCTGGATTCATCTGACATGTTAAAAAAAAAATTGGAAGCTGGTATACTGCAAAATAAAGCACCCGTCTCTAGCTTCATATTTATTTCCCAGAATGCCTTTGGGCCACATCAAGAACTCAGAAGAGTCAAGAGAAGGCATCCAGGAGATGTTGCTGTGTCTGAGGGATGTTGAGATGTCCGATTGTAGACATCTTGGTAGCCATTTTTTAACCCATCTGCATCATCCACTCAAAAAATCTAACATTTGGGCCACATCAAGAAGTCATAATGGTCAAGAGAAGGCACCCTAGAGAGGTTGCTGTGTCTGAGGGATGTTGAGATGTCTGATTGTAGACATCTTGGTAGCCATTTTTAACCCATTCATGTCACCATCTCAAAAACTAATGTTCGGGCCACACCAAGAACTCATAAGGGTCAAGGGAAGGCATCCTGGAGAGATTGCTATGTCTGATGAATGTTGAGATGTCCGATTGTAGACGTCTTGGCAGCCATTTTGTAAACCCATCCATGTCACCCTCTCATAAATCCAACCTGAGGAGACCATCGAATCCCCTCAAAACTGGCCTGTCCCTCCTATCCTTGGATGCTGGGTGGGAGTGGCTAGACATCTGAGACCCCTTCCTCAGATCCAAAACAGTCTCTATTCTCTCGTTGTTGTTGTTGTTGTGTTTTGTACAGAGGAAGCGCGAATCCTGAATCAGCAGAATGTGAAGCCCAGAGATGAGCAGTAGCTACTGCAACAACGTGTCAGTGACCATGAGCGTCAATGAGGTGTCCAGTTTCCCGCTGACCCTGGAGCAGAAAACCGGTTTCGCCTTTGTGGGGATCCTGTGTGTCTTTCTGGGACTTTTGATCATCAGATGCTTCAAAATCTTATTGGATCCCTACAGCAGTATGCCTTCCTCCACCTGGGAGGGCGAAGTCGAAGGCCTCGATAAAGGGACATTTGAATATGCTCTTGCATGAAGCAAAATCCTCAAAACGTGTCCTGCCTTAATTCCGATATTTTTTTTTTCCTGAAGCGGTGGAATTCGAAACATTTGTAATTGACAGCCATGTTTGTGGCGGTAGCCTTTTTTTGGTTAAATAAAGCTTTATGGCAGACTCAATGAAACCACTTACATCATTAGATGTGGGGGTTTTTTTGACTGGGAGATGTTTCGGGGGTCTTCATTTGGAGAATAGAATAGAATAGAATAGAATAGAATAGAATAGAATAGAATAGAATAGAATAGAATAGAATAGAATAGAATAGAATAGAATAGAATAGAATAGAATAGAATTCTTTATTGGCCAAATGTGATTGGACACACAAGGAATTTGTCTTTGGAAATATTCTATACATGGCATATTGAGATATTAACTGGAATTAATTTGGCTTAAGTTTAATTTTAAATCTTTAAATCTAGATTTGACCTTACTTTGACCTTACTTGACCTTACTTTGTGGAACGCAACCAAAACACAAAAGTCAAAGGTCCCTCAGGCCCCTTGATCTGAAAAAGAGTAGGGGAGACATGATAGCAGTGTTCCAATATCTGAGCAGCTGCCACAAAGAAGAGGGAGTCAAACTATTCTCCAAAGCACCTAATGTTAGGAGAAGAAGCAATGGGTGGAAACTAATCAAGGAGAGAAGCAACCTAGAACTAAGGAGAAATTTCCTGACAGTGAGAACAATTAATCAGTAGAACAACTTGCCTCCAGAAGTTGTAAATGCTTCAACACTGGAAGTTTTTAAGAAGATGTTGGATAACCGTTTGTCTGAAGTGATGCAGGGTTTCCTGCCTAAGCAGGGGGTTGGACTAGAAGACCTCCGAAGTCCCTTCCAACTCTGTGATTCTATTCTATTCTATTCTATTCTATTCTATTCTATTCTATTCTATTCTATTCTATTCTATTCTATTCTATCCTCTTTGCTTATACACATCACAACAGGAACACACAAACCCTTTCGAAGAAATCCTAACAGAACACAAAGAAGCATAACATACCGTATATAGAAGGACAGGTAGTCCACGATTTTTGACAGTCCATTTTGTGAGCGTTCAAACATTTAACATCAATGAAAAAAGCGACTTATGACTGTTTTTCACACTTATGACCGTTGCAAGCATCCCCATGGTCATGTGACCAGAATTCAGACGCTTGGCAACAACTGGTTCATATTTATGATGGTTGCAGTGTCTTGCAGTGATTCACTGAACAACTGTGGCACTGTGGAAAGGTCACAAAATGAGGCAAAACTCGCCTAACTCAGGGGTGTAGTTCGGAGAATCGGCAAATACCACCTCTGGCTGGCCCCAGAGTGGGGTGGAAATGGAGTTTTTTGTAGTATCCTTCCCATGCCATGCCCACCAAACCACACCCACCAAGCCATACCACACCCTCCAAGCCACACCATGCCCACCAAGCGAAGCCCACAGAACTGATATTAAAAAAATGTGAATTCCACCACTGGCCTAACTGATGTGTCGCCTAGCATCAGAAATTTTGGGCTCGTTTGGGGGGTCGTACGTCAAGGACAACCTGTACCTGTTTTAGAATCATTAAAAACAGACGTAACTTCAAGGTCACCTCTCTGCTCACAGATAGGAGGGGCAGAAGTGCCAAAACTGCTTTGGACAGCTCTTCTACTCCATTTTAAGAACGGTTGGAACCAACCACCATTTCATTTAAACACTGTTAACTTTCATTAAAGTGTGCTCTAAGAACTATTCAGATAAGGCCAATCAGCTCAGACAGATCGCTCCTCATCTCTATAATTTAATATTGCACCGTTTGCTTTATAATCTAGACAGATGACAACTGAGGGAATTTGTGATTCTGTCGGCTAAATGAAATGCCACTCAAATCGTACCAGAATTTTATAAGGAAAGCCAAGAGGAACACATAGTACAAAAATAGGCTCAGATGAAGCCAGAAATATGAATAGAATGCAGCACAGTACTGTTTTAAAAGCACACGCAAAATGTATGTCCATTTTTGTGCTTATTCCTACAAATACTTAGATTTCTGAATGGGATTTTAGTAATACATGCGTTTTACAAGCAGCTTCCTTGAATATGTTTTGTCTAATCTTTCACAACTATTGTAAACAACCTAGAATTTGAGGAGCTAGAAACATCTCTCTTTTTCTGGTAAATAATCGAATAAGAATGATTTTGTGTGGATGTTCCACTAGTTAAGTGCATTTTGTACACATTTTTTTTTTTAAATGGAAGAACTATGTTTCAGGATTTGAATCCACGACATTTAGGTCAATTCACACATTATAATATAAGACAGAATTCTTTTATACAAAATGTGAGATGTCAGAGGAAAATTAAGCACCATCAAATGCAACAATCACATGTACATGAAACCTTGGAGCAACAGGAAAGAAATCCTTCTTCACTATCTATTTTCCAAATCCAACACAATAGTTATAATTCTTTGTGCATCTGCAAAGCCAAGCCTATCTTACTGTAAGGTAAAGGTAAAGGTAAAGGTTCCCCTTGCACATACATGCTAGTCGTTCCCAACTCTAGGAGGCGGTACTCATCTCCATTTCAAAGCTGAAGAGCCAGTGCTGTCCGAAGATGTCTCCGTGGTCATGTGGCCGGCATGACTAAACGCCAAAAGCGCACAGAACACTGTTACCTTCCCACCAAAGGTGGTCCCTATTTTTCTACTTGCCTTTTTTACGTGCTTTCGAACTGCTAGGTTGGCAGAAGCTGGGACAAGTAACGGGAGCTCACCCTGTTATGTGGCACTAGGGATTTGAACCGCTGACCTTTCGATCGACCAGCTCAGCGTCTTAGCCACTGAGCCACTACAGTAACTAACTGTAGTGGTAAATTAACTGGCATAGGATTGCAGTGCAATTCTCTTTCCAATCGCTGATTTTAGATTTGACCTTGCATTTTTGCAATTCTAATAAAAGCCTATAAATATCTAGTATTGTCCCGATGGCCGAAGACATTGAAACAAACATAAAAAATAAATTTGATTCTGCTGCTTTTTAATGACTGTCATCGCCCTTCAAATATGTTTAGCGTTTTATATTACATGATTTAAATGGTGCCTGACTGTCTAGATTTAAACTATTGATCGTATACTTGATCAAGCAAATTTCAAATGAATAGCAATAATTGAGAGTCGAAATATGAAATATTTGCGATCATAATTATTTTCTCCTATTGTGGGGGCAAGGTTTGCTCTATTGCTGTCCATTTTTCATTTCATTTTTAAACAAGTGTGTATGGTCATCCATCTGTCAGAAGGAATTTAACATAAACCAAGCCTGGAGAATAATGACTACCAATAACCTTTCGTTGCTTCAAGGGTAAAAATAAAAATAAAATGTATTACCATGAATATTTAAGGACTTTTTCACACCACTGCATAAAAGTTATTTCAGTAGCGCATGACTGCTTGGGAATATGCTGTTGCTGTTTCATCTGTCATTTATAAACTTAAAACAGTAGCGGTTAAGATTTTGATGAGCATGTAAATGACTTTCATTAGATCCACTGACTTTCGGTAAGAGACCAATGCTAGATTGGACTTCTACCATTCAAGTATTAATGAGTTCATTACAAGCTAATATTTAACAGACTGAAATGTGTCCTCAGGGCTAGGGGTAACCAAGGTTTGTCTTCTGAATTCTAGGATTGGCTGATTTCCTTGCTAATTTATAGAGAGACCAATAGAATATGGTCCACAATGAAGGACGCTTAAATTTCACCCCCAAATAAGAAACGAAATTACTGCTTCGTTTAATAGAGCGCCAGAAGCAGCTAAAACTACCTTGGATATGGTAGCTGATTTTATACCTACTTTGAATATACTTCGAGACGAAGTGCTGCAGCAAACAGGCTCCCAAAAACACCCTTCCTGCCAATCGTTGGTTAAGAGGTAAGGTTTTTATGTATTTCATTTCCAGCTCGGATAACAAGTCGTTCCTCATTTATGTTTGAAAATCTGTTCCCTATTTTGAAAACAGCTCATCCGTAACAAATAAAACTTTTTTAATGGGAAGAACGAGACCACGTTTTCACATTTAAAAAAAAAAATAATCCCAACAATCGAATTGGTAAGTGTAAGTTATACCAATCAACATCCTGAGAAAATGGCTTCACTTCACCTATATGCTGTTGCTAAAATACAATTTTTATCACGCTTAAATTTGCACCAGATGTTCAGAGACAAGCTGGATGTTCGAATATTCACACACGCTCTAGAAATATGAATGGGCACATTTGGGTGCTGTAGTAGGTTTGTAACAAGCAAACTGGTCTAAGTCTTATTTTCTTTCTTTTTTTTCCCCCCTGCTTGGATGTCAGATTAAAAAAATGACTGGTACCTCTTACATTTTTCTTCTCAACAATCTTCTGTTTCCAGCAGTTACTTACAGTCTTCAGTTTAATAGCTTAAAAGTCAGACATAAATTTCACTTTACAGAAGAATGTACAGTATAGAAGAAAATTAAATCTATTTTTAATTAAGAGCAGCAATAGAAACGCAGTGCAGAAAAACTGATAATCAAGCCATTTGCTACCAGAGTTCTTTGCTCTTTAAATTCCTTCCTAAATGGTTTTTTTCCCTTCAGAGCAGAGTTTCTTAAATATCTTATTTTTTTTTACCTCAGGACACATCCCCGCTTTTAAAAATATGGTGTACCCCAAAAGAGCTTTTCTTTGTGTGGGTTATGTTTATCGATATTTACCATATTAAACATTCAAATTGACCTATCCATTGCCATTACTGCTTCTCAGTAGTGTTTTAATACTGTATTTTTTTTCCAACCTAGGCTGGCAAATTATTTTGATTTAGAAGACCCCTGAGATGGCCCCCCAAAAGGTCCTAGACCATATTTTGCTCTAGAAATAAAAAGGGGGAAAGAGTCTCATGAAATATAGAGTAAGAATCATTTTGAATGGAAAAATGGATACTCGTTTCCTCTCATCACTTTATCACATCTTCTCTGTTTTAAGTTGTCAATAATAATTTTTGGGGGGGGAGGAATTAAGTTCATTACTTGTATTTGACTTTTAAAAAACCTGTAGTCTGGATAACCAGAGGGTGGGAGAGTTGCTGGATGGACAGGTGAACGGACGCTATTTCTGTTTTATATTAAATCAACATTAATTGATTTTTAAAACTGCTCCCCCAAAGTTTTAGACTTTCTTCTGGATTCATTCATAACCATTTACCGAACAATTTAGAAAGATCCAGATCACGAGAAGCTGAAAAACACAGCTGTTCTTTCCTCCTTCACCAATTTAACAACTATCATTTTAATAAAAAAATAACCAGGAGATCTTTGTAGGTTGTAACCTTGGTAGGTACAGATTGCTCTCAGCGAATGAGTACATTTGACTGACAAAATCAGCACAAGGTGGGAATCGCTAATGGGTACTAACTAACCCCTTGTCACTAAACCGAGACAGAAAATAGAAGGAAGTAATTTAGACAAAGAAGCACTGAAAAATTCTTCCCAATTACCACTTCCTGCCTTCTCTGTTTTAAACCTAAATCTACATTCCTTCCTGTAATACAAAATACTATTCCTCCCCATGCTATTTCTTCTAGTAAGTTTCCATTGGGGGGAAAAAAATTGTCCGTAAGAGAAAAATAAAGGAAAAGTAATATTTGGGTGAGAAATGCATAGTTCAGGTTCTTTCCTTTTTAAATATTACGGTGTTTTAGAAATTATTTTGGGATTGGAAGAAATAAATAACCCCTGAAATTAAAACTGCTCAAACATTAACTAAAGCCAGTGTTGAAGATCATACTGCTCTAAAAAACGTTGGTCCCCTCCTATTTTAATTGCTAATCATCTAATATTAAAAATACCAGAATGCTACCTGTTGACCAACATTGATCAGTAATGGATTTAGGCTTCATGTAGCGCACGGCGCAAACATCTTTAAAGCTTATTTCACCATCATTATAAAACGGGAACATAACAAGAAAGAAGTACAAAATGAGTTCTTGGTTTTAAAAACAGTCAGCAGCTGAAATTTTTCATAGTCATTTACCATTGTTGTTACCGATTATAATTTATCTTTAATTTATGAGCCGCGGTGGCGCAGTGGTTAGAGTGCAGACTGCCAGCTGACTGCAATTTGGCAGTTCAAATCTCACCAGGCTCAAGGTTGACTCAGCCTTCCATCCTTTTCGAAGTTGGTAAAATGAGGACCCAGATTGTTGGGGGCAAGAGGCTGACTCTGTAAACTGCTTAGAGAGGGCTGTAAAAGCACTGTAAAGCGGTATATAAGTCTAAGTGCTATTGCTATTGCTATCTTAATGTTTAGAGATAAATTAGCTCTTCTTTTTTTAAAAAAAAATTCCTGTATTTGAAGGCAGAGCGAACAGTTTACTTTCACCTACGGTACAGAACGTCTGCAGAAGTGTCCGCTAAGTGAATCACAAAAGATCATCTAGACAACCCTGCTGGGGAAAAAAAATCTGACAACACAGAACAGCAATATCGGTGAAATAAAAGACTGGTTATCCACAACTATGTCTATGAATAATTCTCCAAACGTATTTTTGGACCCACATTTGCATAGATTTCAGGTTAATGTCATTAATGAAAGCCACGAGAATTCAATTCAATCTCAGGGAGATCCTGATCCACAACGTTACGAAGAAACTTCGTTCGCTAAAGATGCCATTAAGAGACTCCACATCAGCTTCAGGTCTGGAACCCAAGAAACTTACGACCGTTTCTTCCAAAATGGCGACACTGCCAAGCCTGATGGAAGCTTTCATCCCTACGACACACAAAGTAACACCTATTATCTCAAAACCTTTGGACATAACACCATGGATGTGGTGCCAAAAATCGATTATTACCAGAACACTGGAAGCATCAAAGGAGCCAAAATGAACCGGCCAAGTCTGATGGATATTCACGAACACTTGGCAAAGGTATGTCAAAAGAAATGATTTGATTTGGTCCCTGCTGTTTTAGTCACTTTAGGGACTTTAGGGATGCGGTGGCTCAGTGGCTAACACGCTGAGCTTGTCGATCAAAAGGTCGGCAGTTCAGCGGTTCGAATCCCTAGTGCCGCATAATGGGGTGAGCTCCCGTTACTTGTCCCAGCTCCTTCCAACCTAGCAGTTCGAAAGCACGTAAAAAATGCAAGTAGAAAAATAGGGACCACCTTTGGTGGCAGGGTAACAGCGTTCCGTGCGCCTTTGGCATTTAGTCATGCCGGCCACATGACCACAGAGACATCTTCGGACAGCGCTGGCTCTTCGGCTTTGAAACAGAGATGAGCACCGCTCCCTAGAGTCGGGAACGACTAGCACATATATGCGAGGGGAACCTTTACCTTTACCTTTAAACAGCCAGAAGGAAAGGCATTCTTAGGAGTCCTAAAAATATGCAAAAACCTAAGGTTTCCTTCTTCTGGGATACTTGTAACTTGCACAAGTATAGTTATGGAACATAAACCATCTGAGATTGATTCCCCACCCCACCCCCCCCAAATATTTGCTGTAGTAATAAAGGAGAATATTTGTAGCTCAGGGTTGACATGAAGGATCTTGGAGCTCTCTGAGTTTGCTTGTTTTCTTGCAGTCATTTCATGAACCAAACTAGGTAACATCATCAGTGCTAGTAAGGAGTATGGTTTGCTGTCAGTTTATATTCTAGTGTCTTGCCCTGTTAGTGTTGCTTGGGGTGGTCTTAGCAATTCTTTGGTTGGGCTGTTTGCTGTTGGTTTCTTGATTGGGCTATAGCTTACTTAATTGTTGGTCTGATGTTAACCTTGGAGTTAATCTAAGCTGATCTGGGTGCTGATTGTTGCTGGAGAAGTCCTGGAGTCTTTTTGTTCTTTTTGGGCTGGTTGATTGTCTCTTTTGCATAGTCTATAGATGTTGTTAGAGGATACGGTGGCTCAGTGGCTAAGATGCTGAACTTGTCGATCGAAAGGTCGGCAGTTCAGCGGTTCGAATCCCTAGTGCCGCGTAACGGGGTGAGCTTCCGTTACTTGTCCCAGCTTCTGCCAACCTAGCAGTTCGAAAGCATGTAAAAAATGCAAGTAGAAAAATAGAGACCACCTTTGGTGGGAAGGTAACAGTGTTCTGTGCACCTTTGGCATTGAGTCATGCCAGCTACATGACCATGGAGATGTCTTTGGACAGTGCTGGCTCTTCAGCTTTGAAACGGAGATGAGCACCGCCCCCTAGAGTCAGGAACAACTAGCACATATATGCGAGAGGAACCTTTATCTTATAGATGTTATTAATGTCCATGTGTCTATCGATGGCTGATTTGTCAGAGTGTCCCAGGCTTCTAGAAATTTCCTGGCGTTTTTGGATTTGGATGGTCACATTTTTCCAATCCAAACTAGGGTGAAATCTGTCTATATGTTGTGAAATTAAATTAAACGATTTCACAACATATATATATAGAGAGAGACAGATTTAACCATAGCTTCAATGGGGAAAATGTGATCGTCCTAGAGAGATAGGGTTATGTCAGTTTAGCAGGACTTGAATTAGCAGTTTTTAGAATATGCCTGCTACATACTATAAACAATTAATATAATTGTTTGTATATGTGTGTATATAACCTGTTTCCCCCCAAATAAGACATCCCCTGATAATAATCCCAATCGGGCTTTTGAGCGCATGGCAATAAGGCCAAGCACTTATTTCAGGGTTCAAAAAATATAAGACAGGGTCTTATTTTCAGGGAAACATGGTACATGTATGTATGTGTGCAAACATATATATGCATATATGTGTGTCTGTGTGTTTATGTATCCAGTATATGTATGTATGTATAACTTTTCCTGCTGTTGTAGCTGCCCTTTGAGATGAGGTTGACCCAAAAGCTTTCAAACATTTGCTATTTATTTATCTATTTCCCACTTTTATTATTTTTACAAATAACTCAAGGAGGCAAACATCTCCTCTTATTTTCCCCACAACAACAACATCCCTGTGAGGTAGGTTGGGCTGAGAAAGAGTGACTGGCCCAAGATCACCCAGCTGGCTTTCAGGTCTAAGGCGAGACTAGAACTCGCAAATCTTCCAGTTTCTAGTCTTGTTGCAAACTGTTGGACATATGAACGGACACTGCTCATCTCTTCACACTTGAAGCATTTGAACCTAGCTGTTATTTTTTTAAAACAAAATGAAAAGAAATAATTTTACACTTGATACATTCTGCGGTTGTTCTGCTCTTATGTATTTCCCACCTACGCACGACAACACCATCCCTTTTTTATGAATTCCAGTAAAACAAGCTGTTTTGTTTAAAACTGTCTGATCAGAATATCACGGCGACTTCAGGTTCGGTGGACAAATTCAGCAAAGCAGATGGCAACGCAGAAGAAGCCGAATTCCGCAAGGAAGAAGAAACTAAAGGCATAGTGAAATTTGGATGGGTGAAGGGTGTCCTGGTAAGCAGCATTCATCTTGTGATTGTACAAGTACAGAACATCTGCTTCTAAAATTTTTAAAAAGTTGGTAGTGCAACCTGAGTAATTCCATACGGCAGAAAAATTAGGTAGATACTTCCACTGGTTGTTGTTGTTTTTTTAAATGAGATTTTCATGTTCATCCCCAGCAATGAATATGTATGAGGCTGATTTGAAGTAATCCTTTCCTATGACTAATTCTTCACATCTCTGTTCTAATTCTTTTTTTTAAAACACATTCAAATGTTAAGATTTTAAATTTTACATCGAAATTCCTACTACCAGACAATGACTGTTCTATCAGAACAATTCCTTTCTAAAGATATTTTATAGAATATGGGTTCTTTTAATGTCAAGCTGTTATAGCTTTAAACTTTAAACTTTTCAATGCAGTTTTTTTTTTCCCACTGTTTTTACCCATTTTAAACCTGTTGCATTCTGTGCTTATAGGTTGATACAATTATTTTTGTTTAATATTTAGGTGAGATGCATGTTGAACATCTGGGGTGTTATGCTATTTATTCGACGTTATTGGATGTTGAACATTTTCAATGCATTTAAACTTTTCAATGCATTTTTCAATGCATTTGTTTTTTTCACACAACTATTTTTAGTCATTTTAAACCTGTTGCATTCTGCAGTTATATGCTAATTATTTTTTATTAATATTTAGGTGAGGTGCATGCTCAACATCTGGGGTGTTATGCTATTTATTCGTCTTTCCTGGATCATTGGTCAAGCTGGAATTGGTAGGTTTTTTTAAAAACAAAAGTATGGTATAAATTTTTATTATGGTCAGGAGAAACATTAGTTACCTTAAATTGCCTACATGTTATAATCTTGAATAATAGCTACCATGGGGACTGAGGTTACTATTCTGTCTAGTTTATGCCTGGGCAAGTTCTAGAAAAGAATTTGTAAAATGTTAGCAAAAAGTATATGATAGATAGATAGATAGATAGATAGATAGATAGATAGATAGATAGATGAGAGAAAGAGAGATAGATGAGAGATGAGAGAGAGATAGGGAAGATAGATATAGATGATAGATGATAGATAGAAGATAGTTAGATGAGAGAGAGAGAGAGAGAGATGATAGATAGATAGATAGATAGATAGATAGATAGATAGATAGATAGATTTTAATGAATTGGACAGAAAACTTAGGGTTGTAGAATTGTGTATGCCTGCTCACATACATACATACATACATACATACATACATACATACATATATATGTATATTTGTTTTCTGAGGTTTTTGCGGGTGTTTGTATGTAGGTCTTTGGTTATTCGGGTTTTCTCCCGCGTAAAATTGGAGGTGTCTTGGCAACGTTTCGACGAAGTCTCATTCGTCATCTTCAAATCTGGCAGTTAAAAGGAAGAAACAGCTGCGATCACACACATTGCTCCTAGAAGCACGAAGCCGAAAATACCAGCCTGAAGATGACGAATGAGACTTCGTCGAAACGTTGCCAAGACACCTCCAATTTTACGCGGGAGAAAACCCAAATAACCAAAGACCTACATATATGTATATATATATATATATATTTGGGGTTCATATATATAAATATATGAAATTTATATTTCATTGATAAAGAAATAAGGGGAGACTAGTATAGAACTATTTCAAGCTATTTAGCTCTCATCAGCTAGCCATACCTTTACTTGGATTCGAACTTGGGTTGCTTGCATGTTAGGCAGTTGTATTAAACTCTGAGCCACAAGTTCTCCTCCCTTCATCAGCTTAAGCCAGGGGAGAGATTAAGTGTTTTTCTATCGATATATGACTATATATATGACTATTCCTGAAATCTAAAGGATTTTCACTATTTTTCTACCATAAAAATTGTATGAGAACTCTATGTGCTTTTGGCCTGTCTTCTGTCATCAATGCTTACTGGTTTTCAAACATAAAGGAAGAATCTTCTTAGTGATCCATCATTTTCCGAAATTCATCATAAAAATGGTCTGCTCAAAAACAGTTCTAGCAAAAACTAGCATCAGTGATACAGATATTCTCCTAAAATGAAAACAAGTTCATCAAAACCCTATTTAATTCCTCTCGCAAACAGCTTTTTTTTTTTTAATTTTACAGAGATTTTATAGATATTTTTTTTTCTTATAGTTCCTTGGAATTTTCCTGTGTCCCTAATCATGGAAACTTTAAAGGGCTATCCGTCCACTTTAGAGAACAAGGAACAGGCAGGAAATAAGCAGACGAGAAGTGGGAACTTTTGCCCATCAACACAACTTTACAAGTTTGGCAATACGCCCGACAATTGTGTGCTTAGGGAATTTATGAAGCATAGCAAATGAAGCTTTGCTGCTGGAAATCCATCGAAGTATGTGCCTTGCCATGCGATGCTGCATATTAACATTGCCAAGACTTTGCTCTGGGGTGTCATGCAAAATTGGGTTTTGGGGTTGTTGTTGTTTTTTAATGGTAGTTTAGTAACTTATTACCATCATCAAGGAGCATTACTTTGTTCTAAGGTATGAAAACAGCTAAGGGCGAGAGTAATTCATTTAAATGTTACTTAATGACCTTGCAACTGGGTTTTTAATCTAAACTTTAATCAGAGCTTAGCCTTAGCCGGTAACCAGAGTGGTTGCAATGAGCCAAAGTGGCACATTTTCATTCTGAAATTATGATTTGCTAGTCATCAAATTTTGAAATGCAGTCTCATCTTCTTGGGAATGGGGTGGAGAGGGAAAGGGAAAAAAAAGGCAAAATAGCTGTGTTTCCTTCCGTCCATATACTGTATTTTTCAGAGTATAAGACGCTCCAGACTATAAGACGCACCTACTTTCCTTTGGTGAGGAAAACAAGAAAAAGAAATCTGCCTCCCAGCAATTTTGCCTCGTTGCAGCAAACAGCCTGCTTTACTTTCATTTTCGTTTTCAGCATAGCTTGATTAGCACAAGAAAAAAAATAATCTGCTCCCAGCAATTTACCTCCTTGCAGCAAGCAGCAGAGGCCCGCTCAGCAATAGGCAATGGCAATCCCTGCAGCCTGAAACAGCTGATTTTGTGGGCTTTTTTCAGCCCATTTTGAGGCTTTTTTTGGCCTGTTTTTGAGGGTTTTTGCAGCCCTTTTGGGGGGCTTTTTTTGGCCCATTTTGGGGGCTTTTTTTCAGCCCGTTTTGAGGCTTTTTTTGGCCTGTTTTTGAGGTTTTTTTCAGCCCATTTTGGGGGCTTTTTTGGCCCGTTTTTGAGGCTTTTTTCCAGCCATTTTTGAGGCTTTTTTGGCCCGTTTTTTCCGGAAAAAACGGGCCAAAAAAAAGCTTTAAAAATGTGCTGGAAAAAAGCCCAAAAAATAGGTGGGAAAAAAAAGACCTGAAAAAGGCCGGGAAAAGGCTTGAAAATAGGGCATGCAGAGACCAAAAAACGGATGGCAGGTGGGCGGGGCTCCGGCAATCTTCGGTCTATAAGATGCACAGACATTTTCACCCCCTTTTGGGAGACAAAAAAGTGTGTTTTATAGTCCGAAAAATATGGTAAACCTCTGGTCCCAGTGACCGACCCAGCTTGGATTCTGCAACATTATCCCGGGAGACATATATTTTCCTTCATTCGATAAATATTCTGGTTTGCAGAGATGGCTCATTTCTATTACAATTTAGACATTTAATCCCAGCGTCCCAGTGCTCTGCAGACTATCAAGGCTCTTAATCCTTATCCCAGTAGCTTATTTAACATTTATATTACATGGATATAAATGGATCTACAGTAAAGGCAAGAAAGGAGTTCCTCCAGCAGCGGGGATAAAGATGCTTTCTGAGTGAAAAGTGGGATTCCTTCTCATTTAAACCGCTACCTCAGAGAACCATTTTGAAAAGCTGCAGACCATCAATTTTATATTTTGTCATCTTCTCCCTTGCTGACAGGTCTTGGAGTTATCATAATCCTTCTTGCTACCATGGTTACTTCCATTACTGGCTTATCAACTTCTGCAATAGCAACTAATGGTTTTGTCCGTGGAGGTAAAAAAAATAATAATAAATCTTTAGGGTTTTTCCCTTTTCCACAGTGCTCACAAACATCTGAATTAGTTCCCTGTTTTATTGTCTTGTAAATCAAAAGTTCTCCAACTGTCATAAGCAGCGTAGGTCATGGCCATCCCAAGAACCAACAGGTAAGTCATACCTGCCACACAATTAACCTTCTATAATTAATTAATTTGCAAACACAAAGCCGGGTTCAGTTCAAGAAAGTCTTGGACCAATGGAAGAAGGGAATCCATTTCTTTCCAGATTTTTCTTTCTTTTTAAAAGGAAATTAAATCAAATCAAAAATTACAGGGTGCATTTCCTGGAATGGACCGGACATGAAGACCAGATTATTCCTTTCCCGCTAACACTTATTCAAGTTCCCTAAAAGGTATTAATTCATTCTTCTGCTTTTTTTTTAAAAAAAAATTGTTTATTCACTATCCATGAGAAACAAGGCAGTCAGCTCCGATGGAAGCAGGATCCACAATTCTTGACAGGTATTTCTTTAATTGTGATGAATAGAGAGAGCGTGTCAGCTATTGTCAGCTCCCGGTCGACCTTCCCTTGAGTGATGGCTTCTTATCCAAGGATACCAGCTTCCTGTTCACGGATTTTAAAGTAAATGATATAACCAAGGTACTTGGGTCAAAGCTCTCTTTTGGCACTTTTTCAGGTCTTGGAGTCGTAGTCATTTGCCTGAGTGTGGTTGTTACAACCTTAACAGGTATTTCCATGTCTGCCATATGTACCAATGGAGTGGTGAGAGGAGGTAAGTCCAAATAAAAGAGAATATTTGTAGCTCAGGGTTGAAATGAGGGGGTTCTTGGTGGTCTCTGAGCTTGGTGGTTTTCTTGCAAATGTTTCATGACTCAAACATCATCAATGCTAGTCTGATCTTATCCAGTTTGGGAAATGAAATATCTGCAAGAAAATCACGAAGCTCAGAGAGCAGGAAAGTGAGTATTTGCTGTTGGGATAGAAAATATGGTTCTTTCTGGACAAACGATCATCCAATAAAAGAGTACAGAACTAAAATACAGCAGGAAGTACTCTGAGTCATAAAGAAACATTTCTGATATAAAGAAAAGGATGGCAAATTAGACAGCTTGTAGAAGAACAATACTTTTTTAAAAAATATTTTTAAAAAAGTATTTTTAAAAGCAAAAAAAAAAAAAAACCCTAATACTTTCCAAATCTTTAAGTGAGCTGAATCGGTGAGGGTTTAAACATCTGTTTAAAGTAATTGTGAAAATACTTTCCATTAGAAAAAAGCAAACTTGGATGAGGTAGCTAAATAATAGTCTTGATTTTGCAAGAGTTGAGAAATAAAATAAAGTGAGGGAAATTGCTCCTGTTTGAAGTGTACTGTATAGGAGGAGAATTAAGCTGCTTCCTTATCTCTTGCCCTCCTATAATTCTCATAATTTTTAATCAGCATGAACCAAGTGGGCACCAGCTTAAAGAAGATGCTCGAGCATTTAAATCCTGAGTGGCTACGACTTTCTTTAAAAGTTTTTCAACACTGTACTTCATGAAATCCAAAGAATCTGATCTGGCACGTTGCAAACGGAGGATTTGCACAGGAGATGGTCCTCCTGCAGACTCGGAGGGAATTCGTTTCTATCTCATCTCTTTGTGTTTTTAAAACTAGCGTGGTAATTCTACTGAATAGAAAGAGAATATTGTGAACAATTTACGTAGGGAAATTCTACAGAGCCACCTCGAGAAGGCAGGACAGCTTTCCTATGTTTTGACATATGTTCCCATTCATTTTCAAGCTCTTTATGCGTTATATGGAATAAGTTCAAATTAAAATAACAAAAACTTTTAAAAAGGCTTGGTAGAATGAAACAAAACCTTAACAGACGTTGCTAACTTTCAGCTTTTGTTTTTAGAAGAATCCATAACGCATCTCATAACCCAAAATATTGCTTTGTAACGCCATAGCAGACGATATCTTACCGTGTTTCCCCGAAAATAAGACCCTGTCTTATATTTTTTTGAACCCCGAAATAAGCACTTGGCCTTATTTTCGGGGAGGTCTTATTATTTTGGGGCACGTGGAGGAAACCAGAGGAAATGGCAGGGACTGGCTGCAAATGCGTTTAAATATTTTCAGGGGAGGGCTTATTTTAGTGCATGCGCTCAAAAGCCCAATTGGGCTTATTATTATTTATTTTATTATTTTATTCAATTTGTATACCGCCCTTCTCCTAGTGGACTCAGGACGGTGCACAGCCAGAACTAAAACGCATACCAATACAAAATTTAAAATTATGAAAAGAATTACATACTTTGGCCCAAATTTAAAACAATTCAAATTAAAACCCATTGACAAATTAAAAGCTAAAAAACTAAAAAACTTATTATCAGGGGATGTCTTATTTTAGGGAAGAGGGTAGTCACGTTCACTGTAAAGGAATCCTCGAATTACAACCACAATGATCCCGAAATTTCCATGGCTAAGTGAGACAGATGATAAGTTTTGCCCCATTTTTAAACCTTTCATGCCCCTGTTCTTAGGTGAATCGCTGCAGTTGCTCAGTTAGTAACATGGTTGTTAAGTGAATCCGGCTTCCCCACGGACTTTTTCAGACGGTTGCAAAGGGGGAAATCACAGGACCCCAGGACACTGCAGCCGTCATAAATAGAAGCTGGTTGCAAAGTGTCCAAATTTTGATCACGTGACCATGGGGATACCGCAATGGTTATATGTGGAAAATGATCATAAATCACTTTTTTCAGTGCTGTTGTCGATTCAAACGGTCATTAAAGAAATGGTTGTAAGTCGAGGACCAATCTGTATAGAACTAGTTCTGCATGCTTCAGTTTAGGCAAAAAAACTTGGGTTTTCCTTGGCTCATATACTGTCCAAGGAAAGAGTGATGCGGTGGCCTAGAGGTGGAGCTCTTGCCTCACAATCAGGAGGCTGTGAGTTCGATCCTAGGTAGAGGCAGATATTTCTCTCTCTCTGGGCACACTGAGAATAGATCTTCTGAACAAAACTCCACATCGGCAACAGTAAGGGCATCCGGCCATTAAAACAGCTCCATTCGGTTGCCCAGACTCCACCCTGCAAGGGATTATGGAGTCGTTAAAAGAAGATGATATACTGTCCTAGGAAAATGTAAGATCACACGCAGGTTTGTCCATAGGATGATACAAGTCTTTGTCATGCTGACAGGTGGAGCTTATTACCTCATCTCACGGAGCTTAGGTCCTGAATTCGGGGGTTCCATTGGTCTCATCTTTGCCTTTGCCAACGCTGTGGCAGTGGCCATGTACGTGGTTGGCTTTGCAGAAACAGTCGTGGAACTTCTCAAGGTGAGCATCCTTATTTGGATACAGCTGAATCAGGGGTGGGTTCTACTTACCTTTACTACCGGTTCGCAACGGGATCACTTCAGAATGATCTGCATGCGCAGATCGCCGATGACGACATCCGGGATGGTGGGTGGGGCCTCCCGCCAGTTTTATTACCGGTTCTTGCGAACCGGTCTGAACCGGGGACAACCCACCACTGGGCTGAATTTAAGGAAACCTGGTCCGTTTCTTGTTTTTTTTTGTACCGTAATGATCAGGAGTCTCATAAAACACAAAAGTTCACCAATTGGAGTTCCTTCACCACATTGTTTAGTCTATTAATTTGTAAAGTTTGGATTTCTTACCAGTGGATCAAAGAAATGTTTCTTATAAAGTACTGTAAAAGTTTAAAAAAAAAAAAACTACAGGTAGCCCTCGAGTGACGACCACAATTGAGCCCCAAAATTTATGTTGCTAAGGGAAACCTTTGTTAAGTGAGTTTGTCCCAGTTTATCACATTTCTTGCCACAGTTGTTAAGTAATTTGTTAAATTAGTAACATGGTTGTGATGTGAACCTGGCTCCCCCATTGCTGGTCAGAAGGTCACAAAAGCGGATCACATAACACCCCCCGGTCATAAATATGAAGCAGTTGCCAAGAATCTGAATTTTTATCATGTGACCCTGGGGATGCTGCAGTGGTCATAAGTGTGAAAAATGGCCATAAGTCACTTTTTTCAGTGCCGTTGTAACTTTGAACGGTCACTAAACTTGTTGTGGCCTGCCAGCGACCAGTAGAGCTGGCAGCAGATTCAGACAGTGAGGAGGTTGGGGAGGAATGTGGGCCAGTCCTGGAGTCTGGGGAAGGCTTGGACGATGGCTCTGAATCGGAGGCAGAGTGGGGGCCAAGGCCATCTGGTAGTTCTTTGCTGCCTCCGGAGTCTCAGGAGTCTGACATCAGCGAGGCAGAAGAACAGCGGGAGCCTGTTCCCAGTGTGCGTATGCACAGAACTGCCAGGAGACAGGAACAATTAAGAAAACAGGGTCGACTTGGGAGTAAGGCTTGGAGATGATTGGCCCCTCCCATAAGACATAAAAGAGAAGCGAACGGGATGTGAGCTTTTGCAGGAAGCAATCAGTTCATCTGGTCGGTAAAAGCTGTATAAAAGTTCTGTTTGACTCTGTGCTAAGTTTGGCCTTGTCCTGCGTGTGACAATTAGTTCTCTGGCAGCATTCCCAGGGAGATAAGTTGAGTGTTTGTAAACATTCCCAAGCAAGACTGTTTGAGAAGCCTTTCAGACTGGGAATGACAATAATTCACAGCCGTATGAATTAAAGAGGTTTGCTGGGACTAAGTTTGTGCTGTATATTTTCTAAGGCAGCCTAGGTCAGAACAAAACTAACTGTTGTAAGTCAAGGACTATGTCTACTAAAGGAAATTAGGGCTCTAATTAGGCAGCCAATAACCTTGACGGATGAGGTCCAGGCAGGATACGAAATGCAAAATTCAAAACTCATTACCCACAAAATTCCCTGGTATTTTACAAGGCTACTCGAACCGTTTTACAGAAAATATATTCTTAATAATCACTTTTCGCTGGGTTTTTTTTTTTTCCAGAACAGTAATGCCTTAATGGTTGATGTCACCAATGACATCAGGATAATTGGCGTCATCACCGTTGTAATTCTGTTGGGTATTTCGGTGGCTGGTATGGAATGGGAAGCAAAGGTAATTTTTTTTAAGGATAAGAGTTTAGAAAAACTCAAATATTTGGCCATTCTGTCTTGTAGCGGATTATATTGTTGCGTCTAACCATTTATTCTCATTTAACTTTTACTTGGGTGTATATAATTATTTAGTCAGGGCCTATATACTATATTTACTTTATATTATATAAAGGGACATGGTGGCTCAGTGGCAAAGATGCTGAGCTTGTTGATCGAAAGGTCGGCAGTTCAGCAGTTCGAATCCCTAGTGCCGCATAACAGAGTGAGCTCCCGTTACTTGTCCCAGCTTCTGCCAACCCAGCAGTTCGAAAGCATGTAAAAAATGCAAGTAGAAAAATAGGGACCATCTTTGGTGGGAAGGTAACAGCGCTCCGTGCACCTTTGGTGTTGAGTCATGCTGGCCACCTGACCACGGAGACGTCTTCAGACAGAACTGGCTCTTCGGCTTTGAAACGGAGATGAGCACCGCCCCCTAGAGTTGGGAACGACTAGCACCTATGTGCGAGGGGAACCTTTATCTTAAAGAATTATTTCAAATAAATCTATGATAAAAAGAAATGTTCTGTCTCTTTCCTTGCAGGCCCAAGTGATTCTTCTAATTATACTTCTGATCGCCATCGTAAATTTTTTCATTGGGACTGTTATTCCTAGCCATGCAGAAAAGAGGGCGAGAGGTTTTTTCAATTACCAAGGCAAGTGCTTCTTCTAGTGCTACAGGGCTTCGGATGTGAAAAATCTGTCACCGCTAAACAAGACTCGCATTATTACGAAGTGGCAAGCTGCAGGGGAGAGCTGCTGCAAATAGCAATAAGAAAAGCAAGCAGTTAGAGGATAAGTCCTTGACTTATGACCGATTGCTTAGTGACAGTTCAAAGTTACGTCGGATAAGATGCGTGGGGGTGGGGCACATGCACGGGGGGAGCTCGCATTGCATTTTGGGGATTCAGGCACACACGTGTATTCACCCCACTTGCATGCTTTGGGCACTCGGCACCAAAAAGGTTAACCATCACTGGTCTAGGGTCTCCTGCTTGAGCAGAGGGTTAGACTAGAAGACCTCCAAGGTCCCTTCCAACTCTGTTATTCTCTAGAACGGATTTTGGTGAAGCAGTCAGTAGAAGAGAGGGAGGGAGGGAAATATAAAGTCAGTCACCATGTTTAAGATCTCTGGCACAACTTGAAATGTTCACACCTTTCCTTATTTCTTGTACGCTTGGTTGCAGCATCTATATTTACAGAGAACTTCGGGCCAGAATTCCGAGGGGATGAAGGTTTTTTCTCGGTGTTTGCCATTTTTTTCCCAGCAGCCACTGGCATTCTGGCAGGAGCCAACATCTCTGGAGACTTAGAGGTGTGTACCTTGGAACAGTTAACCATAACAGCACAACACCTGTTGTGAAAATGTAGCCTTAGATAACCTAAGGTCCTTTGGGAAAACAGCAGCAGCGTTGAATATGAAAAAAAATATTTTTTAACACTGAAACAAAGAGCAAGTTTCAAAGAAATCCTATCTGCAAGGAGAACATTTCGTATCGATTGGGAAAATGCTTTTTGCAAGAACTTGTCAAGTGTATAATTAGTAGCTGTCGCTGGAGAAAAACTTTGGGATGTAGTTCCTATCCTTTTAGCTAATTTATTAGTTTATGTTCCTTTCTTGCTTTTCAACAGTCAGGACTCGATTGTAGAGGTAGGTAATCTGTGGACATCCAGACATGGTTGAGCTCCCAATCCATTATAATAATAGTAAAGGATGATGGGATTTGGAGTCCAACACCTGAACTAGAGGTGCAGAACCAGTGTCCCCAATGCAATAAGCAGTGGTGGGCTGCTGGGGGTTTGCAGGGGTTTGAGAGAACCTCTAAGATTCTGTGCAGTTCAGAGAACCCCCAAATCCCACTCCTGGCAAGCCCTGCCCTGCCCATCTCGCCCTGCCCTTCCAGGAGTCCTCACGCAGCCTGTTTTGGGTGCAGATAAGTGCAGAGCATGAGTGGAGGCTCGGGGAAGTTCAGGAAGGCCAGAAATGGACCCCTTTCCAGCCTCCAGAGGGCCTCCAGAGCCTGGGGAGGCCGTTTTCACCCTCCCGGAGGCTCAAAAAAAGCCCCCGGAGCCTGGGGAGGAATGCACACCAAGGCTACGCCCACCCAGCAATCGGGCAGAGAACCCCTTGCTAAATTTTTTGAAGCCCACCCCTGGCTATAAGCGTCCACCAAAAATTCTGAACCTGGCTCAAAGCTCTTCTAAAAATTACCACCACGTTACAACGGGAAGTCAAAGGGATTAAATAGCTGAAAAGTAAACATTCGAATTAAATATAAATTGCATTACATTCAATCTTGTCTTTCTCCTAACCTTCTCTTCTGTTCTGGCCATGGCTACAATCACCATAATTTATTTATTTTTTTACTGTAATATTCCAGGATCCACAAGATGCTATACCCAAAGGAACAATGCTTGCCATTCTGCTCACAACTATTGCTTACATCGGAGTTGCACTCTGTGCAGGTAAGAAGACATCCTCACTCAAGTTCAGAGTGCTACTGTCAACGTATTTTAAAATCCTTAACAGCCATCAATCTCATTACAGGTAGTCACTGTTTTTTTAATGACTGTTCGAAATTACGACAATGAAAAAAAGGGGAATGGTTAATTGGAGAATGTGATTTATGACATGGCCAGGGAGGAGGGGAGAGACAGGGTCATAGGGGAACGTAAATCTACGTGGGATTAGTTCTAACTGCGTCCAAATATTGCCAAAATGGTGCTCCTAATAAATGACTGTATTTCTTTTGAAGTTTGGCTCATGGCTCATGAATTAATTAGGGCATCTTTCGGAAACTTCACAGCAGGATTTCCTGCTTTCTAGCTATTTTAAATCACGCGGCATAGCTGATCCTCGGAAATACCAGTTCGGAGAAACCAGTTAGCCCAAACCGGTAGTTTTTATCACTACCGGTTCGCCCAAACTGGTGCGAACCAGTAGGATTTCACCTCTGAATTGTCCCAAGGTTACACAATCCCCTTTTGCAACCTTCTGATAAGCAAAGTCAATGGGGAGGCCAGGGTTCACTTAACAACCATGTTACTAACTTAACAACTGCAGTGATTCACTTAACAACGGTGGCAAGAAAGCAGAGGTAATATACCGCCCCCAGTGCATTTCAGAATTCTAATTTATTTGATTCCCTGCCAATAATCAGAAACACCAAACAAAAATACCCCCAATCTTGGTGACATGTAGCCCTACTACAGAGCAGTGGTGGGTTGCCCCCAGTTTGGACCAGTTCGCAAGAACCGGTAGTAAAACAGGTGGGAGGCCCCGCCCACCGCCCCGGATGTCATCGGCGATCTACACACACAGAGAAGCTTCTGCGCATGCACAGAAACAAGGTGTGCGGGCAAGTGAAGCGAGCGCGCATATGTGATCCCGTTGCAAACCGATAGTAAAGGCAAGTAGAACCCACCCCTGCTACAGAGGCACGGTTTCCTCTACTTCAGAGTTTTTCAAAGTGGAAGGATGTGGAAGGATGGGAGTCCAGGTTGTTGTTACTGTTCGCGGCAACAATTAAAGTAATATTCGTGAAATTGTTTTTATATGATAAATGCTTGGGGATTGATAAACAATCAGGAACTTTATGAATTAAAGAGTTTGGGGAGCCCTGCTCTACTTTATCAACAATGCTTTATTATTGTTCGAGGTGTGGTTGGGTCTCTACTGACTTATTCTCATATTAAGTAAGGCGCTTTAGGTTTAATCTGTTTTCAGCGGCACGTTTTTTGTACGTTCTCGTTTGTTAAATCGGACAGTAAACCACGGTTGGCTTGCTACCGGTTTGCCTCGGTTCAGGCTCCACCCACCAGCCCAGACGTCATCAAAAATGCTCTGTGCATGCGCAGAAGTGATGCGCACTTGCAAAGCAAGCACGCGCACCCGCCCGCTCCCGATAGCGAACCGGAAGCGCCAGGATTTGAATCTTACTACTGCAGTAAACTCAGTAGAACCATCAAATAATTTTAACCAATGGCCCCATTATTTCCAACTTACACGGCCTCGGGATAACAGGCAGAAATGCACGTAGAACATCGGCCAGCTGAAATATAAAGGAGCCCAGCGATATTATCATGTTGTCAGAAGGAAGAGAAGTAATCATACCCTGTTATTTCCACAGCTGCTTGCGTCGTGCGCGATGCTACAGGGAATGTCAACGATACCGTGGTATCCGGAATGAATTGCAACGGATCATCAGCTTGTGCCCTGGGCTATGATTTCTCCAGCTGTAAAATCCAGACATGTGATTACGGGCTGATGAATAATTTCCAGGTTCAAAAGCATGCTAATTATCCAATTTGTATAACTGCGTGTCTGTCTGTGTGTTATACTGTGTAGTGTACATAATAGTGTGAACTACTATTCACATAAGCGTACGGCACATAGTGGCTATTGGTTGACTTTTCAAGACTTCTACTGAGTCTAGAGCCAGAGGGTGGAGTAGTTACATATGCATGCAAAGTGAAATGAAAGAATGGGGTGCTTGGTAGCCTCTGAGCTTGGTTTTCTTGCAGGCATTTCCTTACCCAGCTAAGTAACATCATCAGTGCTAGGAGAGAGTGAAGTTTGTTCTCCATTTATATACAAGTGACTTGCCTTGTCAGCCTTGGTGGGAGCATTCTGAAATGAAAGAGCTTTGATAGAGTGTATCAGAGGTGGGTTTCAGCAGGTTCTGACCAGTTTTGGAGAACCGGTAGCGGAAATTTTGAGTAGTTCGGAGAACCGGTAGTAAAAATTCTGACTGGCCCCGCCCCCATCTATTATCTGCCTCCCAAGTCCCAGCTGATTGGGAGGAAATGGGGATTTTGCAGTATCCTTCCCCTGGAGTGGGGAGGAAATGGGGATTTTGCAGTATCCTTCCCCTGGATTGGGGAGGGAATGGAGATTTTACAGTATCCTTCCCTTGCCACGCCCACCAAGCCATGCCACGCTCACCAAGCCACACCCACAGAACCAGTAGTAAAAAAAAATTGAAACCCACCACTGGAGTGTACCCAAACTATATTTTACTTTCCTCCTCATCCAAATGATCATGAGCTATGGCTTTAAGGAGCGAGACATCTCAGGAGGACAGCATAAGTTTTCCGCATGAAAAATGTCATACGTAGCTTGCACCTCATAGCTCCAGTTAAGATCAAGAGAAATAGGAAAAGCCCTTTTTAAGAGGATCTTCTATTAGGCAACAGACAATAGTTTAACCAGGGATAAGTCGGTTTGTGTTCCTAAGTTTCTGCAAAATAACATTTTGTTAAATGAACGGAATGAGAATATGGACTTCCTACAGTTCATGACCTAAACTGGAACTCCATCAAAACTTTAAACTGGAGTAATTAATTTGCAAAATGCACAGTCCAATTAAATGCTAAGTGATAGAAAACGTTTAATCAAGCCACACCATGAAAGATTGTGGGAACTTGGACGTTTACTTTTTTAGACACTATTTTTTAAAAGTGTATATAGAATAGAATAGAATAGAATAGAATAGAATAGAATAGAAAAGAATAGAATAGAATAGAATAGAATAGAATAGAATAGAATAGAATAGAATAGAATAGAATAGAATAGAATAGAATAGAATAGAATAGAATAGAATAGAATAGAATAGAATTCTTCATTGGCCAAGTGTGATTGGACACACAAGGAATTTGTCTTTGGTGCATAGGCTCTCAGTGAACATAAAAGAAAAGATACGTTCATCAAGAATCATAAGATACAACACTTAATGATAGTCATAGGATACAAATAAGCAATCAAATCATACTAGGAAACAATCAATAAAGATCGTAAGGATACAGCAACAGTTACAGTCATGCAGTCACAAGTGGGAGGAGATGGGTGATAGGAACGATGAGAAGATTAATAGTAATGCAGCCTTAGTGAATAGTTTGACAGTGTTGAGGGAATTAGTTGTTTAGCAGAGTGATGGCATTTGGGAAAAAACTGTCCTTGTGTCTAGTTGTTCTGGTGTGCAGTGCTCTATAGCGTCGTTTTGAGGGTAAGAGTTGAAACAGTTTATGTCCAGGATGCGAGGCGTCTGTAAATATTTTCACAGCCCTCTTTTTGACTCGTGCAGTATACAGGTCCTCGATGGAAAGCAGGTTGGTAGCCATTATTTTTTTCTGCAATTCTAATTATCCTCTGAAGTCTGTGTCTGTCTTGTTGGGTTGCAGAATCTACTGGAAATACATACAATTTATCGATGATTTATATTTCCATCAATGAAATGTCCCACAAAAGGTCTCTCTTCGTTATCTAGGCTCTGCGGTAACTTTCCCAGATGCTAGTTCAATGAAATTGTTGATAGAACTTTTCTTAAGTAGACGATACAATAACATATCTATTTACATACATGCCTGGATTGGAGATCGTTACACACGCAAATTCTCTTTTCCCGATTCAAAGATTGCTTCCTCCTTAAGCCATACGTCCCTTGCTTTTTACGGCCTCTTGTTCCTAATACGAGTCTCTTCGGAAAGGCATCATTTGCAGAAGAAATAAAAAATTATGCCTTTGGCTTCAAAAGGAACAAAACACGATTCAATTAAAGAACAATCTTCTCTATGATAAGCAAACTAGTTTTTCTTTTTTTTTTGGACAACAAAAAGTAATTTGCTGTGCTGAAGGAGTCTCCCTGACAAGCCGTTAATGGATGACTTAAAAGATAATAGAGAAGAGCCAGAATAACAATGCACGTGGTTATAAATTTAACAATCCGGAGGGATTTGCAAATTCGGTTTATAGACAACTTGTACAGATTTAATGGCTTGCTTTTATTATATATATATGTATGTATGTATGTATGTATGTATGTATGTATGTATGTATTTTTCCTTCCCAAAGGTGATGAGCATGGTTTCAGGATTTGGCCCCTTAATCACCGCTGGGATATTTTCTGCTACGCTGTCCTCAGCATTAGCTTCGCTTGTGAGCGCGCCAAAGGTTTTCCAGGTACAGGGGGCAATAAGGTGACTTTGTATAAATATACAAAAGTATGAAGGCTATTGCTTAACGCATTGTAAGCCGCCCTGAGTCTCCGGAGAAGGGCGGCATATAAATCAAATTTTAAAAAAAAAAAGATACGTATAAGCCAAATATCCCACATAAGGGTGCAGATGGAGTTATGACATCTTTCATGTGCCCTCACAGGGTCTCTGTGCTCTCAATGTTATCAGATTAATGTGAGAAGAGGATGTGCTAAGCAATTTCCCATTCATAATGATGTAAAAACCAAGACTTTAATGATACCCATGTTTCCCCCCCCAAAAGACCAGGTCTTATATTATTTTTCGCTCCAAAAGATGCATTAGGGCTTATTTTCCAGGTAAGTCTTATTTTCAGGGAAATACGTCTGGCTGACAATCTTAACTGGGGCTTATTTTTTTGAGTTGGGCTTATATTACCAGTGTCAGCGTTCCAGAAAGTCCCCAACTCCAAGTAAAAACTCTGAGGCAGGCATTTTCTCAAAGTTCCATTTATTAGAGAAGGTAAACTGGCACATCTAGGAAAACCCAAATCTGAAGGTTCCAGTTTTCCCCTCAGTAAATCAAAACCCCAAATCCAGCCCCTGCACCCATAAGTCTGTCACATGGGCCAATCACCATCCGTCCCAACTTGAGCCATCCCTGCAACCACTCCTCCTCCAGATGCAGGAACACCGTGACCTTGACCGAAGGGAAGAATGCTATTATGTCTAACTACAATCACTCCTCTAAATCCCCACCCTCCCACTTTCCCAAGTGCAAGAAGTTGGCAGCGGGGAAGGGTCTGTGGCTTCCATAGCTGACAACAAGCATCCTGGGAAAAAAGCATGCTAGGCTTATTTCACAGTTGGGTCTTATTTTTGGGGGGAAACAGGGTACATCTCTTACAGTGAAGGGCTTATTGTCTTCTGACAATAAGTAAGAGACCAAGAAACTAAGAATTAGATTTCTTAACCAGAATTTGCTCTTTTGACAGGCTCTCTGCAAGGATAACATCTATCGAGCACTCCACTTTTTTGCCAAAGGATATGGGAAAAATAACGAACCCATCCGAGGATACATTCTGACTTTCTTCATTGCTCTGGCCTTCATTCTGATTGGTGGGTACAACTCAGCGAGTGCTGGCTTGGTGTTTGCAATGGGAAGACATACAGCAGTCTAGGTCTAAAATATCCCCGAACACATTTTTTTTAAAATTTAGTTTTATTTATTCCATTTCTATAGCCGCCCGACTCAACCAAGTGACCAGGAAAATGAAGAAACAATAATTCTGATGGAAATGTATCATAAAAGGCCCATCTAAATTCTGATCAACAAAAATTAGATGATGTAAAACTTCTAGTAAGGTAAAGGTTCCCCTCGCACATATGTGCTAGTCGTTCCCAACTCTAGGGGGCAGTGCTCCTCTCCGTTTCAAAGCCGAAAAGCCCGCGCTATCTCAAGATGTCACCATGGTCATGTGGCCGGCATGATTAAACACCAAAGGCGCACGGAACGCTGTTACCTTCCCACCAAAGGTGGTCCCTATTTTTCTACTTGCATTTTTACATGCTTTCGAACTGCTAGGTTGGCAGAAGCTGGGACAAATAACAGGAACTCACCCCGTTACCTGGCACTAGGGATTCGAACCGCTGAACTGCCGACCTTTCAATCGATAAGCTCAGCGTCTTAGCCACTAAACCACCACCTCCCTAAAGTGACTAAAACAGCAGGGACCAAATCAAAAGCTGCCCAGAATCACTTTAGATAGTGAGATGGGTGGCCTATAAATGTAATAAATAATTTTTTAAAAGAAAATATGTCATTCACTGAATGACTGAGTGACCAAGTTTAAGTATCAGGCTAATGTGTTAACGCTTGTGCTTTGTATCTTGCCTTGTGTCACTCAAGCCATGATGGTTAAGCATGGGGCATCATGGTTGCACAAGGTATGTGTTCTGATCCAGCTCCCCAAACACGACAAACCCTCTGTATTTAAATCGATGATTCCTTTATTAGGAGCGCCAGCAGCCCCGGCAAAAAGTTTCTCTCTCACTGCACGCTAACAAGTCCGGCTGGCCAGAAGATGAATAGTTGTCTGCCACATCTATTCATCTCCTTCCCCTGCCTTTTATCCCCAGAACTAAGGTGGGGCTTCACTAGCAGCCGTAGCTCTTCCATCCCAAGGACCGGCCCATAGATTTCCACTGCTCTCCTTTCCTCTGCCTTTTGTGCATCTGCGCATCAGGCACTGGACCCAGCTGTTCCTCCTCTTCCTCATCAGCCACCTCCAGACCTGGGGGCTGTTGACTCTCCATCTGAGGGCTGACGGCCGGCCCAGGCTCCACCTCTGTCTCTCTCTCTCCGCCAGCTCCATTCCCTCTTCCCCCTCAGAGCTCTCAGGTTGCCTTGATACTGGCTCTGACTCCCACGCCTCCTCCTCCTCCTCCTCTGATTCGGCTGTTGGAGGAGCTGGCAGCCGACAGGCCACAATAGTATGAGAGTGGTTGACTCAATGGAAGCTTTGCTCTTCCAAAAGATTTGGCTACAGATACTCATGTAGTACATATGCATCTTGCTCAGTTCCTTAAGAAATCTACCCACTGCTTTTTGAAGTCATCTTCTTCGGGGTCTTTCAATTTTAGCGTGAAGTCTGTTTTCTTTTTTTCTTTTCTTTTCTTTTCAAATGTCTGCAAAAATCAAAGGTGTGCTGTTGCAAACCACCAGCACAGTGTATTCTACCTGCTTTCATAATAGGTTCACAGCGCTGATCCCCGAGAGATTTCTGCTAGGAACATTCCCATTTGATCATCCTTTCTTTCATCTTACGCTGTTTAAAATTCCTTTGTGATTTCCTATTTGGAATACACACAAAGATTTGTCACTTTTTACAATACAAGCTTTTTGGCTTTGGCATCTACTCCATTCTAAAGAGGAGGAGGAGGAGAAGAAGAAGAAGAAGAAGAAGAAGAAGAAGAAGAAGAAGAAGAAGAAGAAGAAGAAGAAGAAGAAGAAGAAGAAGAAGAAGAAGAAGAAGAAGAAGAAGAAATGTTTGATCATTTTTGTTATCTTTTCTTTTTAAGAAACGATTACAGGTAGTCCTCCACTTATAACAGTTTGTTTAGTAACCGAAGTGACAACATCACTGAAAAAACAGGGCTGTTTTCACACTTAAAACCGTCGCAGCGTTCCTATGGCCACACGATTAAAATTCAGACGCTTGGCAACTGATTCATATTTATGACAATCATAATGTTCCAGGGTCATGTGTTCACTTTTTGTGACCTTCTGACCCCCCCAAAAAAAGGAAATGCAGTGTTACTAACTTAACAATTGCAGTGATTCACTTAACAACAGTGTCAAGAAAGGTTGTAAAATGGAGCAAAGAGAACTTAACCAAGTTAAGCCACTTAGCTGCAGAAATTTTGGGCCTCGATTGCGGTCGTTAAGTCGAGGGCTGCCTGGATACTTTAATGAAGTATTTCTGTGACCAAAGTTAAATCAGGTTAATTTTATTTATACCTGGCTTTGAAATGATCCACGAGTCCAAACGCAACACGAACGAAATACAAAATATAACGCAATCCATCACCTCACCTCTCCCTTCGTAGACACAATCCATCACCCAAATATTTTGTCATTTTCTTTTGTTTTATAGCCGAGCTGAATACCATCGCTCCTATCATCTCCAACTTCTTCCTGGCTTCCTACGCGCTCATCAATTTCTCTTGTTTCCACGCGTCGTATGCAAAATCTCCAGGTTTGTTTTTCATTGCGGATTTTCACTCGCACCTAGAGGGTATCTGGGAACTCACTTTTTTTTTAGACCTCGTCCAACAGCAAATAATTCCAAGAGGCTTAAGCAGGAATAGGGACTTTTAACGTTAAGGGGACGCGAGGACTGCAAATCTTGCATAACAAGCCGAAGAACAACTGTGCTTTACTCCTTGGTGGCTTGCCTGTTATATTGTGCGGCCTATGTTTTATTGGGCAACAATTGTGTTTTATTAGATGCAGAGAAATGACTGAGGGTAGTAAATATATATTGGGGGGGTAAGGCAAGCTGGATCCTAACAAGTGAAATAAATCCAAACAGCCCTGTGGTGTCAGCTGCCAAGTGCTTTGAAGAACTCTCTCCTTTTTATTATTTTTGCGACTTTACCAAATCCGTAGACGCTCAAAACAAAAATCATGTAAACAACAACAACAACAAAAAAGCCACGGTTTAAAACCTGCCTGGCAACTCCAATTCCCAACACTGGCAGTAATGCTTATTGAACAGAGGAAGACAGAGGAAGGAACAGAGGAAGGAATAGCGATAGCACTCAGACTTATATAGCGCTTCGTAGTGCTTTTACAGCCCTCTCTAAGCGGTTTACAGAATCAGCCTGTGGCCCCCAACAATCTGAGTCCTCATTTTACTGACCGCGGATGGATGGAAGCCTGAGTCCACCTTGAGCCGGTCAGGATCGAACTGCTGGCGGTTGGCAGAGTTAGCCTGCAATACTGCATTGTAACTACTGCGCCACCACGGCTCTTCCAATAACAAGAGTTGGAAGGGACCTTGGAGGTCTATAGGGCAGAAGACCCTATACCACCCAAGGCAAATGGTTGTTCAATCTATTCTTGAAAACCTCCAGTGACCGAGTACCCACAACTCCATTCTGATCACAACCGTTGCTAGATCGTATGGGGCAATACCAGTGGCGAAATCCTCCGAGGTTTGGCACTGGTTCGCTGCGTGCGCATGCGCAGTGCATGCCAAATGCATGCTGTGCACACATGCACAGTGCACATGAAATGCACACTGCGTGCGCATGCATGTGCAATGCATGCCAAACGCACACTGCGCATGGATGTGCACCACAGGCGCTACCACGCGGTGCGGAAAAAGGAGGCTTAAGAAGGTATGTAGAACAGCGAGGGGGAGAACAGCTGTACTGAGCAATTTAGATTAGCTAGAAAGCAGGATTTCCTGTTTTCTAGTGAATATAAATCACGCGGCACAGCTGATCATCGGAAATACAGATTCAGACGAATCGGTAGCATTTTTTTACTACCGATTTGCCTGAACTGGTAGCTTTTATTACTACCAGTTCGCTTGAACCGGTGCGAACTGGTAGCATTTCAGCCCTGGGCAATACTATACTGTACATTTACTCAATCCATCCATCAGTTCTCTCTATCTGGCTGATTACGAATTGACCCACTTTTTCTGACTCCCACAGGCTGGAGACCTGCCTTTAGGTATTACAACATGTGGGTGTCCCTTTTTGGAGCTGTTCTGTGCTGTGGCGTCATGTTTGTCATTAACTGGAGGGCGGCTCTCATCACATACGCAATTGAGTTCTTTCTTTATATTTATGTGACCTACAAGAAGCCAGGTAAGGCTCAGAATGAATGAATGAATGAATGAATGAATGAATGAATGAATGAATGAATGAATGAATGAATTGCTCAGGGTGGGGGGAGAAAATTTCAGTAGAGTCTATAGCAGTGGTGAGATTCAGCCGGTTCTGTCCGGGTCACACGAACTGGTAGCGGCGACTGCGGGAGGCTCTGCCCACCCACCCGGATGTAATGTGTGACTACTGAGTCTCTCTAGGAGTCTGGGGAGGGTGAAAACGGCCTCCCCACCCCCCCGCAGAGGCCCTCTGGAGGCCAAAAACGGCCCGCTTGCCAACTTCCGGAATAGAATAGAATAGAATAGAATAGAATAGAATAGAATAGAATAGAATAGAATAGAATAGAATAGAATAGAATAAGAAAGGATATAGGATAGGATGGGATGGGATGGGATGGGATGGGATGGGATGGGATGGGATGGGAATAGGAATAGGAATAGGAATAGGAATAGGAATAGGAATAGGAATAGGAATAGGAATAGGAATAGGAATAGGAATAGGAATAGAATAAGAATTACAGAGTTGGAAGGGACCTTGGAGGGGACCAGCCCCCTGCTCAAGTAGGAGAACCTATACAATCTCAGACAAATGACGGACCAGGATGATGATGATGATGATGATGATGATGATGATGATGATGATGATGATAATGATAATAATTTGTCCCGATTGTAATTGGAGCCCTTGGAGCAATACCCAAAGGGCTACCCCGCTATTTAGAAATTCTAAATTTACCAGACTTGAACATTTTGACTCTACAAAAAACCACCTTACTCGGAACAGCTTACATCCTCCGACGATACCTTAACAGTTCCTAGGTCCTTGGTTAGGACTCGAGCTGCTGAGCTATTAACCAGCCTCAAAGGCTGTGAATCTCACTAAAGATTAACCAATAACAACAACAACAACAACAACAACAACTGGTACTTGGTTGATACCTAGGACGTTGGCAGCAACCCATATCAACCATTAGCACCAGTCAATGGTATTTGTGATGCATTTTTGTATGTTCAGTTGACTAAGGTTCATGTTTAATGAATAAAGTTAATCATCATCATCATCATCCTTGCTGGAACTACACCTTAACCAATCTGGCAGTTTGACACAGACAAAACAAGCAGAAGTAACCAAACACACACACACACACACATACACAAAACAGACAAAAGCCGTAGGGTAATTCACAGTTGGTTTTCTTTTTGTTTTTCTTTCTGACGGGCATGTGAGACTTGGAGAGGTCCATATCGAAATCCATCAACCTTTCACTGCCCCGTCTAATTTAGTTACCAGGGGGGCTGTTCCTAGAGGAATCATTTTAAAAAAGAACATTCCGATTTCAATTTTTCCTTTCTTCGTTCTTCTGCTTCTCCCTAGGGTGCTTTTTGATGCGGCTCGGTGGAAAAGATTTCAAAACAGCCGTATATTTTGTCTTCTCCCCCGCACCCCTTAAGAACGCCGTGTATTCACATCCCTGATAGCTAATCCTTTCTATCAAATGACTGCTGCCATTTTAATCTCTTTCCTGTTAGGGAAAGAAAAAAAAAATTCTCTGGAGGGATCTCCAAAGGTAGCTTTTGAAAAATGGTTTCTTTGAAGACTACCAACACATTGCTAGTAATGAGGTTTTTATGAGTTCTGTAGAGCAGCCTCTTGTAGCTTTTCTACACAGAGCACGGGAATTAACCGGAAACCTTGTCTTGCTCGCTGGCTTCCTTGCTTGTTTTTATTATTACTATTTAGAAGTCTAAGAGCTACGCCATCACATTCACTTTCTGGCAATCCCCTCATCCAAAGTAAACAATATTTCTTCAGCTCGTATCAACGTCGTGCAAGCTTAAAGCATGTGTTGGCTTCTTCTGCTTTTTTTTTTTATTTAAGGAGCCTCTTCTCTATAAAATACTATATTATAAGCTAAGTGGTTTTCAAAAGGAGTGGAAAAGCCTTATTGTCAAGTTGTGGTTCGCATAAATAGACATCACGGTTTGCTTTTGAAAGGTTGCTCTCTCTCTCTCTGTCTCTCTCTGTCTCTCTGTCTCTCTCTTTTTTTTTTTTAACTTCATAGTGAAATTTGGCAGCAGGTTGTTCAGAAGCCAAGCAAGACTTTTTAAAAGTAAGACAGCGGTGTCTTCAATTCTAGGGGAAAAAAATCTCCTAAATTGCACAGAGACAAATAAGCTTGAAAGGGATGCAAATAGCCAACATCACCGCAAATGATCGTGATGAACTTTCAGGATTGAGAATGTTGAAGGCACCGAGATAACAAAAATGTTTAGAAGCTCACCTGAATATCTTTTATTTTCACTACGTTGCATAGAACCAAGAGACAATAGATTATTTTCAGCCAACGTGAATTTTTATCTGGTAAAACAGGTTAGAAAAAGAGTCGGGTGGGAGAGATATAAAGAAAGATAGACAGATGACTTTGGGCTAGGAGTAAGAGAATTGTTAAAGAAGGAGAAATGCAGGGGTGGGCTTCAAAAAATTTTACCAAGGGGTTCTCTGCCTGGTTGCTGGGTCGGCATGGCCATGGTGGGCATGGCCTAGTCGGCTTCCTGCACCATGGTGGGGGGGTGCCCTCCCCGGGCTCTGGAGGCTTTCATCGAGCCTCTAGGAGGGTGAAAATGGCCTCCCCAGGATCCCCAGGCCCTCTGGAGGGCAGAAACGGGCCCATTTCCAGCCTTCTTGAACTTCCATTAGGCCCTTTTTTCACCCTCCCCGAGCCTCCGTGCACGCCCTGCACTTACAGTACCTGCATCCAAAACGTGCGGTGGGGGGACTCCTGGGGGGGGGGGAGGGGAGGGGGGGCAGGGCCACCAGGACTGGGATTTGGGGGGTTCTCCAAACTGCACAGAATCTTAGCTAGGGGTTCTCCCGAACTCCTGCGAACCCCCAGCAGCCCACCCCTGGAGAAATGCCAACTTTATCCTGAGAAAGTGGAAAGCATGAGAAAGAAACTCAATATAACGATCAAATAATCCACAATCAATGTCTTGTTTAGGTAGCTTTGATAGGCTTACAAATAGCGGTGGGCAATTAATTTTCCCAAGGAGCCACATGAGAAACTGGGACTGCTGTGAAGGGCCAAATTGATAGAGCTGTGAAGATGGTTGTTGGCTTCAAAATAGAAGCAATCCATGAGGACCAGACAGGAACAGCCAAAGGGCCAGATGTGGTCCTGGGGACCGTAAAATCCCCAGATCTGATTTACAAGATTCGGTTATTATACCCTACAACAACAAAAAGTAATTTTCCTGGAATCTCAGCAATCTCTCTCTCTTGATCTAGCCTACCCTGAAGGGTTGAAAAGAAGGCAGGAATTCTATTTATAGTCAAGAGGGAAAACCTGGTGACCAATTTGAAGGAGTCTGCATATATATTGTCAGAGTAGATTAAAAATGCAGTAAGGTTTACTTCCACTAGCTGGGCGTAAGATGATAGTTTGCATTTGGCATTTCACATATGAAAACTAAATACAACCCATTTACTTGGACTTCAGTAAAGCATTTGATAAAGTAGACCATAACCTACTACTAGATAAAGTAGAGAAATGTGTGTTAGACAGCATCACCACCAGATGGATTCGTAACTGGCTGACCAACCGCACTCAACGTGTAGTCCTCAATGGAACTGCATCTATATGGAGGGAAGTATGCAGTGGAGTACTCCAGGGCTCTGTTTTAGGCTCTTCAACATCTTCATCAATGACTTGGACAAGGGGATAGATGGGGAACTCATCAAATTTGCAGATGACACCAAGCTGGCGGGAATAGCCAACACTCCAGAAGATAGGCTCAAGATACAGAAGGATCTTGACAGACTTGAACATTGGGCGCTATTTAACAAAATGAAATTCAACAGTGAAAAAAGCAAGGTTTTACATTTAGGGAAGAAAAACAAAATGCACAGGTACCGTATATGAGGTACCTTGCTCAATAGTAGTAACTGCGAGAGAGATCTTGGAGTCCTAGTGGACAATCATTTAGATATGAGCCAGCCGTGTGCAGCAGCTGCCAAAAAAAGCCAACACAGTTCCAGGCTGCATAAACAGAGGGATAGAATCAAGATCATGTGAAGTGTTAATGCCATTTTATAATGCCTTGGAAAGGCCACACTTGGAATATTGCTTTCAGTTTTGGTCGCCACGATGTAAAAAAGATGTGGAGACTCTAGAAAGAGTGCAGAGAAGAGCAACAAAGATGATTAGGGACTGGAGGCTAAAACATATGAAGAACGGTTGCAGGAACTGGGCATGGCTAGTCTGATGAAAAAAAGGACTAGGGGAGACATGAAAGCAGTCTTCCAATATCTCAGGGGCTGCCCCAAAGAAGAGGGAGTCAAGCTATTCTCCAAAGCACCTGAGGGCAGGACAAGAAGCAAAGGGTGGAAACTAATCAAGGAGACAAGCAACTTAGAACGAAGGAGAAATTTCCTGACAGTTAGAACAATTTATCAGTGGAACAACTTGCCTGCAGAAGTTGTGAATGCTCCAACACTGGAAATTTTTAAGAAGATGTTGGATAACCTTTTGTCTGAAGTGGTGTAGGGTTTCCTGCCTGGGCAGGGGGTTGGATTAGAAGACCTCCAAGGTCCCTTCCAACTCTGTTCTTCTATTCTATTCTATTCTATTCTATTCTATTCTATTCTATTCTATTCTATTCTATTCTATTCTATTCTATTCCACTTATATTACAAGCATTCTGAAAATCATACTATGAAGTATGAAGGCTATTGCTTAACGCATTGTAAGCCGCCCTGAGTTTCCGGAAAAGGGCGGCATATAAATTGAACCAATAAATAAATAAATAAATAAATAAATAAATAAATAAATAAATAAATAAATAAATAAATAAATAAATAAATACTAGGGCTTATTTTCCAGTTGGGTCTTATTTTTGGGGAAACACAGTACTTCTTGTTACAAGGGATCAAAAATATGGTATCTGTAAAATGACTTTTGTTAAATATAAAAGCTAAAATTGATGTGGGTTTTTTGTTGTTGTTTTTGTTTTTTTGCTTGTACCACAGAAATAAACTGGGGGTCATCTGCCCAGGCCCTATACTATATTAATGCTGTTGAGAGTGCCCTGGAACTAGCAACAGTGGATGACCACGTGAAAAACTTCCGGTAGGTTGTTGTAGGAACCAATTCAATGATTGGGTTGTATAAACAGAGGCATACTGTAGAATCAAGTTCACATGAAGTATTAGCGCAAAATTAGTTACAAAACCCTGGTAAGACCACACCTGGAAGACTGTAACCAATTTTGGTCGCCATACTACAAAAAAAAAAAAAGATGTTGAGACTTTGGAAAAAGTTCAGAGAAGAGCAACTAAGATGAGCAAAGGCCTGGAGACTAAAACCATACGAAGAACGGCTGCAGGTTTGGGCTCTGGCTAGTCTAAAGAAAAGAAGAATTAGGGGCGACATGATAGCAGTCTTTCAGTATTTGAGGGGCTGCCATAAAGAAGAGGGGGTCAAATTATTCTCCAAAGCACCAGAGGGCAGGACAAGAAGTAATGGTTGGAAACTAACCAAAGAGAGAAGCAACTTGGAATTAAGGAGAAACTTCCTAACAGTGAGGACAATTAACCAGTGGAACAGCTTTGCCTCCAGAAGTTGTGGATGCTCCATCACTGGAGGTTTTAAAAAGAGACTGGACAGCCTCTTCTCTTCTCTTCTCTTCTCTTCTCTTCTCTTCTCTTCTCTTCTCTTCTCTTCTCTTCTCTTCTCTCTTCTCTTCCATGTTCTCATTCTGTTCTATTCTATTCTATTCTATTCTATTCTATTCTATTCTATTCTATTCTATTCTATCTACTCTACTCTACTCTACTCTACTCTATTCTCCATTCCATTCCATGTTCTATTCTATTCTATTCTATTCTATTCTATTCTATTCTATTCTATTCTATTCTATTCTATTCTATTCTATTCTACTCTATTCTACTCTATTCTACTCTACTCTACTCTATTCTATTCTCCATTCCATTCCATGTTCTATTCTATTCTATTCTATTCTATTCTATTCTATTCTACTCTACTCTACTCTACTCTTACTCTACTCTACTCTACTCTACTCTACTCTACTCTACTCTACTCTATTCTCAGATGTAAATGCACCATCAGATATAATGCATCTCCTCCCATCTTTTGCAGGCCTCAGTGCATCGTTTTGACAGGAGGACCTATGATAAGACCAGCTTTGTTAGACATCGCTCATTCATTCACGAAGAACAACGGTCTCTGCCTCTGCTGCGAAGTGTTCATGGTAAGTTTGTATGTGATTCACAAAAAAATGGCTCTCTCGTTAGAGCAACTGGAAACTGCAGGTTTTCTACACGGAAAGCTGAGTCACAGACAAATCTCTACAGAAGCTTCTTCCGTAGGCAGGTAGCTTACCACCATACATTTAGTGACTGTTTGAAGTCGACTGAGAAAAGGGAATTAAAACCGGTTTTCACACTTACGACCGTTGCAAGATCCCCCACAGTCACATGGTCAAAATTTGGACCCTTGACAACTGACTCGTATTTGTGACGGGGTCATGTGACCCCCTTTTGCGACCTTCCAACAGGTAAAGCGAGATTCACTTAACAACTGTGTTACTAACTTAATAACTGCAGCGATTCACTTAGCAGCCGTGGCAAGAAAGGTCATAAAATGGGGCCCAACTCCCATAACAATTGTCTTGCTTAGCAGCGGAAATCTGGGCCTCAACTGGGGTGGTAGGTCACAAGCTACTTGTATAAAATAAACTTATTTTTACAAGTGACTCTTCCAAATAATTAAAAACAGCACAATTCAATAAAGGGTTTTGGGTTTTTTTTGCCCCATTAATTTATAAAGCGAAGTTTTACTCCTTATTCCAGTGGGTATTTTATTCCAGTCTATAAAAGCTTTGGACAGAAAAGGTTTCCAATTTTTTTTTAACTTATTGGTTTCTAGTTTTATACGTCTGCGGATATTTTATATAGCGTGCCGTTATATATGGTTTAGGTATTTTAATTTCCTCCTCTAAAAAGTTAATAACGTTTAGTTTTATTGACTAATAAAAATTGGCATAATGAACTGTTGTAAGCTATTTAACTGGGAAAAATAAGAGAATGATGAGATAGCTATCGGCTGTCAGCTATCAATACGACGCCCGTTAAGATTCTAAATGATTCTTACTTATATCCATTAATGCTTTCTTTAGTTTACATTCAGCTGATGCACGGGTCTAAATTTGGGTAGCCATTGGGAAAAACTATGGTTAAGTACCTGTTTTTATTTATTTTTTAATTGCTGTAGAGAATGCTGTTTCTACGAATGAAGGAGAACGTTTGTAGCTCAGGGTTGACATGAGGGGGTCCTTGGTGCTCTCTGAGTTTGCTGGTTTTTCTTGCAGACGTTTTATTAGCCAAACTAAATAACATCATCCATGCTAGTAAGGAGTAGGGTTTTCTAGTGGCTTGCCTGTCGTTGTTGGCAGAATATAAACTGACAGCCTAAACCCCACTCCTTACTAGCGCGGATGATGTTACCTAATTTGGTAATGAAATGTCTGCAAGAAAAACAACGAAGTTCTGACAGCACCAAGTGCCTTTTATCCTAAGCCTCGGAAACAATGCAGCCAAACTACATGAGGCAATAGACAATATACAAATTCAAAACTCGACTTTGTTGACTTATTCCGTATCTGTCAGGTATGCCTCCTTTCAATACTCAAGAAAGAAAAAACCCCGACTCCATTTTCATAGAGAAAGGTACTTGTACTGAGTATAAATTGAAGGCAACGAAAGAAAAGTAAGGTCTGAGGCAATAGGCGCGAAAATCACATAGAGAAAGCGTCCTTAAAACCCTCCCCCCCCCGCAATGGTCCAGTCAGGATTATCCAATCCACATCCTCCCAAGGGATCATGTGGGGTGCAGCTTCCGATGGCGTCCATCCAACCAGGACGGTTGACCTTGACTGGTTATCAGCGCGCCTCCCAGCTGCAGAGAAACGCTGAGGAAAACTTTCTCCAGTTCACTCCGCCAGCTCACTTTCCACCTCCCAACTATCCAGGCAGCTCCCCACTCCCCCTGTTTAAAATGGCAGCTGTACCAAGCAAGAAATATAAGGATAAGGATAAGGATAAGGATAAGGATAAGGATAAGGATAAGGATAAGGATAATTTTATTTCTATACCGCCCCTCTCCCGAAGGACTCGGGGCGGTGTTCAGCCAGGTAAAAACACAATACAAATATCACAATTTAAATTTAAAAAATTATTAAAAGTATTACATTTAAGGCCAATTAACTAAAAAAACCCAAAAATTTAAGAATTCCAAATTTAAAACTCAATTTATGAAGCTAGCCCTGCCTGTCGGAAGAGCAGGGTCTTAAGAGCACAGCGGAAAACTCGGAGGTCAGAGATCTTGCGTATGTCCGGGGGCAGTTCATCCCAAAGGGCAGGGGCTCCCACAGAGAAGGCTCTCCCCCTGGGTGTCGCCAGCCGACATAATTTGGCCAACGGCACCCTGAGGAGTCCCTCTCTGTGGGAGCGAGCTGGACAGTGGGAGGCTATCAGTGGCAGAAGGCAGTCTTGTAGGTAGCCAGGTCCTGAGCCATGGAGCGCTTTAAAGGTGGTAACCAACACCTTGAATTGCACCCGGAAGACCACTGGGAGCCAGTGCAGCTCGCGCAGGAAAGGTGTTACATGGGCGCAACGGGTTGCACCCATAATTACCCGCGCAGCCGCATTCTGGACTAGTTGGAGCCTCCGAGTGCTCTTCAAGGGGAGCCCCATGTAGAGAGCATTACAGAAGTCCAGCCAGGAGGTAACAAGGGCGTGAGTGACTGTGTGCAAGGTGTCCCGTTCCAGAAAGGGATGCAACTGGTGAATCAGGCGAACATTAGCATTAGGATCAGGGATGGTATTCACTTACTTTCTCTACCGGTTCGCAAATGTGAGCGTGCGTGCATGCACCCTTTGCTCGCACGGGCCCCATCCACGCATGCATCCGGCCTTCCGTGCATGCGATTTGCTGGCACATGCACCTTCCGCGCATGCACCTGGCCAGAAAAACGTGCCTAAATAGGATGGCATAGAGCCGGGGCAGGGCAGGTGGGCCCATCCACGATTTCCGCTACTGGTTCGGGCGAACCGGCTGAATATCACTTCTGATTAGGATCCTCTGCAGAAGGCTTCAGCAGTTCAACTGATGCTGACACAGGTAGTCCTGTACTTACCACAGTTCATCTGGTGACCATTCAAAGTCACAGCCGCACTGAAAAAAAGTGACTTACGACCGTTTTTCACACTTACGACCATTGCAGCATCCTCATGGTCATGTGATCAAAATCATATTTAGGACGGTTGCAGTGTCACCCGGGGATCACCTGATCCCCCTTTTGCGACCTTCTGACAAGCAAAGTCCATGGAGAATCCAGATTCACTCGAGAACCATATTACTAACGGAACAACTGCAGTGTTTCGCTTAACACCTGTGGCAAGGAAGGTTGTAAAAAGGGGCAAAACTCACTTACACAAACGTCTCGCTTAGCAACAGAAATTGTGGTGGTAGGTCGAGGACTACGTGTATGAAGCTTTAGCAATCCAGTCCTTGAGTCCAGCCCGTTATTTTCAGCATATCTTAGCCCTTTCGAAGCAGACATGCCGCCTTAATCACAAACGACAAAAGAAACCTTTTTCACGACGGCTTCCAATTCATATTTTGCATAGCCAGACTGGAAAGCACTGCCATTACACGGTCAACAGACTTGTAAGCTGCCACATGTCAAAACTGGGATTTATCGGCATATGTTTGTTTACATAAAGCATCTCCTCTCCGCTTCTAAATGTTGACAAAACATTTTGGGCAGCCAACAGTAATAAAACTCTCCAAGAAGTTCCAAAGCGAATCTAATTTGAAACAAAATAATTGCCAAGCAAAACGCGCGGGGGGGGGGTGTTTAAAAAAAATTAGACTGTCTATGTGACATCAGGTGAAATTGGTAGCCAGTTATCGCCGAAGGGAATTGCAAATTGTCTTCTCCAGGGGGAAAAAAAAAATACCCTCCACAATTTAGAATGCCCTTTCTTTGGTCCTCATCTGCTGCTATATTCTTTTATGCAAAAACGCCGTACCTAAATCCCGAGCTTAGGGAGGCTTTCAAATGGAAACTATGAACTATGAACATTATTTTTTAAATAATCTCCGTAGTTCATAGTGTAAAGGTAAAGGTTCCCCTCGCACATATGTGCTAGTCACTCCCGACTCTAGGGGGCAGTGCTCATCTCTGTTTCAAAGCCGAGGAGCCAGCGCTGTCCGAAGACGTCTCCGTGGTCATGTGGCTGGCATGACTCAACGCCAAAGGCGCACGGAACGCTGTTACCTTCCCACCAAAGGTGGTCCCTATTTTTCTACTTGCATTTTTTACGTGCTTTTGAACTGCTAGGAACTGCTAGGTACTTGTTCAGAGTGCAGTTCATAGTTATTTTTTAAAAAATAACGGTGAATACAGTACTTGGAGTCCAATTACCATTGAGCTCCTCTGCTAATCCTTCATGATTATTTCACCGTTAATTAAAACTCTCCCAGAGCTGAATTTTCAAAACGGGCCTTTTCTAGCGATCACAAAAACTTAAGCGGCTCACACAGACTGAACGGAAAAAAAATGAACAATTTGGACCAGCAAGCTTCTTTTCAAAAGATTGAATCTCTGCAAAAAAAAATTAAAAATCTTTTGTGGGGATCTAAATTTTTTTTTTTTTCTTCCCTTGACTCACATCGCAGTCTTGATTCGGTCCCTCCCTCCAAATCACGCTATTGTGCTGGGCATAATGCAGAGCTCCTCTCTAATGCATGATCGTGTCACACAGGGCCCACGCAAGCTGTGCGTTACAGAGATGAACAGTGGCATGACAACGAAGCAGGCCTGGCTGGTGAAGAATAAAAGGAAAGCTTTTTACGCTGCGGTGGCGGCCGACAGCTTTCGAGACGGAGTCAGAAGTCTTCTTCAGGTGAGCTGCTTGAAGTGCGGCTTCGAAGCAGCCTCCGGTACCCAAGAATGTTGGTTTATTCATTAAGGTTTAAGTTCTGAAAGCATCACAGAAATGCAGAGGGTATCTTGGGGATGTTGCTCTTGGCATTTTAACTAACTTCGGGAATAACTCTACTTTGAGACAATGGATCCATGGGGCGGGAAAATGAATCGATTCCATATTCTAGTCCCAAAGCAAAGGTGCTTTTTCAGGAGGCAACTGGACTTCCTTGCGGTTTTTTTTTTAAATTTTATTTTGGAGACGTTTCGCTTCTCATCCAAGCAGCTTCTTCAGCTCCGACTGGATGGTGAGAAGAAGCTTCTTGATGAGAAGTGAAATGTCTTCAAAGAAAAAAACAACAACAAGAAAATCCAGTTGCCTCCTGAAAAAGCAACCTTTAGGACAATCATGACCTGGATGACTGAGAATCTCTATAGATTTCCGTATTTCTAGTGTTTCTCACCTTAGTAGCTTGAAGATGGGTGAACTTCAACTCCCAGAATTCCCCAGCTATCATAATTTGAAAGTGTGTAGATTTCAACTTCTGGAATTCCCCAGCCAGCATGGGAGTTGAAGTCCATCCATCTTGCAAATTGCTAAGGTTAAGAAACATCATATTCTGGCTGGGGAATTCTGGGAGTTGAAGTCTACCCATCTTCAAATTGCCAAGGTTGAAAAACATTGTCATAGTCAATGAACAATATCCTCTGTTAAACAGACCTGTTTTAGAGGAACTTACCGTATTTTTCAGAGTATAAGACGCACCTTTTCCCCCCAAAAAAGAGGGTGAAAATTTGGGTGCGTCTTATACTCCGAATGTAGCCTCGCTGAGCTTCTCAAAAGGAGGTTTCAGAGGCTGAAAAAAGCAGCAGAAACAAAGCTTCAGAAAAGAAGCCCCCAATGAGAGCTTCAGAGGCTTTTTTTTAAAAGCTCTGTTTCGGAGGTTTTCAGAGGCAGAAAAGAACTTTTTTTCTGAAACAGGGTTTCAGAAGTTTCAGAGGCAGAAAAACAAAACAAAACAAAAAAAAAAGCAAGGTACAGAGCTCACCACCAAGGAACCTGTTGCTAAAATTCACCTCTGGGAACAGATGATTGGGGGTATTCCGGGAGGCCGATCCACCTGCCAATCAGCTTTTTTCTTATTTTCCTCCCCAAAAACTAAGGTGCGTCTTATACTCCGAAAAATACGGTAAATGTCTCAGACTACTCGGGCAATTGCCTACACTCAGTGGTGGGATTCAGCCAGTTCACATCTATTTGGGAGAACCGGCTGTTAATTTTCTAAGCAGTTCGGAGAACCAGTTGTTGGAAGAAATCTTATTTTGTTTTTTTCCCACTTTACAGGGCTAATCCTGTAAGGAAGGCAGGAAGGAAACATTCTGGTGTTGTTTCTAGCCTAATCTTTATTGCCCTGCTTACAGAAACTGCCTCTATGGTTAACCTTTATTACATTGTAACAGTTAAGGCGAAGCGCCTGTCGACATGAGTGATATTGAGTTGGTCACACCCACATGGTCACATGACCACCGAGCCACGCCTACCCAGCTGGTCATTAGGGCAGAGAACCGGTTGTTAAATTACTTGAATCCCACCACCGCCTACACTTATGTAATAGTACCAGTGTTTTATACTGGATCACAAAAGATATTTTATACAGTGAAATTAACACTTCATCTTCTAGCATTTCACATTGATTTCACAGGGGAAAAGAAGCTCGTTATCATACAAGCAACCAGATGTTCTAATTGCTGTGAAATTAAACAATGAGTTTATGATCAGAGTATTAATTTGATTGCTACACCATCGGATATAATGAGCGCACTAATGCTTCTGAAACAAGAGGCCTCTGTATTTTCATTTTTTTAAAAAAAAAATTGGTAGGCTGCCTTTTCAATCAGAAAGCACTCACGATTTCCAGGGGGTGGGAAAATCTAAAGAAGTGAAGTGGAAGATGTGCTTGTTCTAAAAAAAAAAACCCCAAAAACCCAACTGTATTCAAAAAAGGTTTACTCTAATATAAGATTGAGAGTATCTTGAATGTAGTAGCTGTCCTTTAAAAGGCACTTGCACAATGTTATGGCTCTTTAAACATATAAACATCATCCTTGCTTTATATTAAGGGCACTGGAAACCCTGGCATGGATTGTGTTAAAAGCAATCACACAACCAGTAGCCTGAAAATTATGTTGATCTAATTTTCAAAGTTTGATTTTTGAATCCAAAGGAATGCAAATGGATAGTACTGTAATCATTTCTTGCCGTTTAAAAATCATTTTATAGCTCAGATGATTTAGAACTAATCTTTACACGTGCTGCTTGGGTACAAGCATGAAGGACACTTGCCAGATAGATTTTAATCTTAAATCCCTCCAGAACATCACTGTACTCCCATTATATTTCTGCATCACTTCTAATTTTAGATAAACCTTGCACATGTCTTGTTTTTAAACACGGTATTTTATACTGGCAGGCCTCCGGTTTGGGAAGAATGAAACCTAACACTTTGGTGCTTGGATTTAAAAAAGATTGGAGACATGCCACTGCAATGCAAGTTGAAAACTACACAGGTGCCCTACAGTAAGTATGAATTTGGAAGTATATTATGCTGCTAGGAATTAGAAGCAACAGCTTGTTTTTTCTTTAAAAAAAGGGCTGATTTACAAAATTATTTTTGAACTTGCACTTCAAGATTCCAAACATATCTTGAAGACAAAAATGGTTATTATTGCTTTCTATGCTCGTGGCTCACTGGAGAAGAACCTAATGCTGGGAACGATTGAGGGCAAAAGAAGAAAGGGGCGACAGAGAATGAGGTGGCTGGATGGAGTCACTGAAGCAGATTAAATGGACTCCGGGGGATGGAAGACAGTGGTGGAATCCAATTTTTTTTACTACCGGTTCTGTGGGTGTGGCTTAGTGGGCGTGGTGTGGCTTGGTGGGCGTGGCAGAGGACGGATTCTGCAAAATCCCCATTCCCACCCCACTCCTGGGGGGAAGGATACTGCAAAATCTCCATTCCCATCCTACTCCTGGGAGAAGGATATTGCAAAATCTCCATTCCCACCCCACTCCGGGGCCAGCCAGAGGTGGCATTTGCCAATTCTCTGAACTACTCAAAATTTCCGCTACCAGTTCTCCAGAACCTGTCAGAACCTGCTGGATTTCACCCCTGATGGTAGAGGACAGGAAAGCCTGGAGGAACGTTGTCCATGGGGTTACAGTGGGTCAGACACAACTTTGCAACTAACAACAACAATGCTTATGAAACAAAATAATGCTTGTATGCAAAAAGAGACTACAGTATGTCCTAGAGGTTTGCACAGTTTGAAAATGATTTAGAAATATTTCCAATTTCTTGAAAACACAGTACCTTGCATTACATCATTAAAGCAGGCAGGATTTTTTTTTTCCAGGCTTCCTTGCAGGTTCAAAGTATGTTTTGGCAAACATTTTTGAAGCAGACACTGATGTATTATATGCCTGCATTATTTTTATTGTCATGTTATAAGTTTGATTCAAGTTAAAATTTACTTAACAGACATGGCTTTATAGTAACTTGTTACTATTTCAATCTGGGTCACTCAATACTTTTTAAATATGTTTTTTAATGTAAACTTTATTCCAGTGATGCGTTCGACTTTGAATTTGGCGTGATAATTGTTCGAACGAGTCAAGGGTTCGATATATCGCAAGTCCTTCAGGTTCAAGGTATGTCAAGACTCGGGAAAATTTCGGACCATTCCTATGATAGTTATGCTTTCTGGGAACAAAAATATCCCCCTAATAACTGTACTAATTTCTAAACACATGGATACAAATTTCTTCCTTGAAAAGGATGGCGGAGGAATTCTTGGAATGGAAATTCAGACATCTTAATATTGCCAAATTTGAAAAACACTGCTTTAATAGAATTGGTACAGAATGCAGTTCTGCTAATAGGTAGAAGCAGAGAGTCACCAGTAGTGTGTGAGCTGCTGTCGTTGCCAGCTGATTTTCTGGCTCCATCCCAAGAACTGGTCATAACCTTACAAAGCCCTTTATGTCTTGATTTCCTCTGCCATTGGACATGCTAGACGAGGGATTCTGGGAGTTGAAGTCCACATATCTTAACGGTGCCAAGTTTGAAGAACATTGAACTATAGCTTCTAATGCCACCTTCAAGAGCAGCCTAAGATAAAGCAAACTGTAGCAACTTACTTGGGAAATGAAAAAAAAACATGCTTCCTTTCTAACTTCCTAACTAAGGGATATCATTGTATCTTCTGTGCAACCCATTATTTGACAATCATATCCCCATCGCTATCTTGTCCTTTCTGCGGTTGGTTTGAAAAAAAAAAAAAATTACCAGGAGGAATTACATGGGGAGAACAGCAAAATGAAATTTAGCCTATGGAATAGGTCATTTTCTATACTGTTCTTGCTTTAAAATCTTTAAATAGAATTTGACTTTTACCAAATGAACTAAGAATAACCCATGATTTGTACTTCAGATATGTCAAACCTTAGCTAAAGGGAAACCAGAATTCATAAACTATTTTCAAGCTAAAGTTCCCACATTTGGGGCTTATTAAGAAAATAAAATTACCTAAGGCTAATCCAGATGTTCAGGAAAAATATAATAAGCAAACTCAAGCCTATTCTTAATGCCATGTATAGACCAGGCCATTAAGTATGTATTTATGACTTTGTTTTTGCTTAAAATCAATGTGTGAGGTAGCCTTCATAAAAAAAAAATGGTAACCCTCTGCTGCCACCTGCTGTCTCTTTTCTGCGTTTCCATACAATTGATATTCCCACCGTTTCCAAAATACCATGAAACAAACTGCAGAAGTCAAATATTTGTGCCCGATGCGTGCATGTTTTCAATCTAAAAATGCATTTATGGATGTTTTGAGGCAGAAATTCATTACAGAATAAAAAATGCTGAAGAAGCAGTGGCGTCTTCATTCAAGGGTATCTTGACAGGAGGCAATCATTAACAGGCAAAAAGGAAACAGAAAAGCTGAGAGCTCAGGTTCAGTGATGAAACAGTAATTGAATCCTATCCCTGTTTTTCTTGGACGATTTCTAAGTAGTCACACCACGAGTCTTTCTTTTGGTTAACAGAGGAACTGAAGAAGATGGAGCAGGAGAGAGAAGCCCTAGAAGCAGCTCTTAAAGATAACGAATTTGAAGAACAAAATTATGGCATCCGTAGATTCTTTAGAAGAGCCACCAAGCTCAACTTTACAAAGACGATGCCCAAAAAAGGTATATGCTTAAAAATAATGTGTGCATAAGATCTGCCTGTAAGCTTTTTTTTTTCCTGAAGAGCTACTTCGAGAACAGACTGCCATTCACAGTCACATTTAGTCTATTATAACAAAATTAACAATATTCTAGAAGCAATTTAAAAAGCAGATTGATGGAAACCCGAGCTGACAAACTATCAAAAAAAGAAGAAATAGTTTAGCAAAAAAAAAAAAAAACAGATTTGCAAATTTTATGCTAGTCACATTGGCGATGTGATGTTTTCATAGAGAAGCAAACTGGGAAATAAGTGCTAGAATCAAAAAAAAAGAAAGAAAGAAACACCATGTATCTTACCATAGTGCAGAAAATTCTTTTGCTGGGTGAATCTTCTGGCCCATTGCAAACTGCTGAAGTCTCTCTTACTAATATTCTCCACATGGTAGTAGGCATGGTTTTTCAACAGTTTCTCCACTTATGAAGCAGTCTTTGAGAGGTAAATCCCAAATAGAACAAAATAGCAAAGATGATGAGTTACCAAATCATGTGTGTTTGTAATGTATGGATGTTCATGGATTCCAGTCTTTTGATGATTGGTTCTCATCACCTTTTGAGTGATATTTTAAACTCCAAGAATTTGTTTTTAACATTATTTACATAACCAAAACAAAAGATGTCTAAAACTATTATTAAAGCTAACTAATCGCTCATTTCTCTCACTTCAGATTGCAGCATTAGCACAATCTCTTCAGTACATGTTGGGGAATTCAATCAACGGCTCCTTGAAGCTAGCGTTCAGTTTAAAAAGAAGCAAGGAAAAGGTTCCATTGACGTGTGGTGGCTTTTTGATGATGGAGGTAAGCCCCCCAAAACCCATCACCCACCTTAGGTACCAGGATTATGTAAGATCTTACAACCCTATGTGAGATGTGCAAAACAACTAACCAAAAAATGTAATTAAAAAAAAATATTTTTAAAGTCAACAACCATCCATTTTCAATATTAGTGGGGGCGGGGGAATACTTTCTTCTTAATTATGCAGTGTTCTGACTTGATTCACTGGTGTGAACAAATAACTTGATCTAATTTTTTTCACCTAGGGTTAATCCTCCTAATTCCCTACATTCTGACACTCCGGAAAAAGTGGAAGGATTGCAAACTGAAGATCTTTACTGGTGGAAAAGTTACTCGCCTTGAAGAAGAAAAGTTGATGTAAGAAAATCCATCTCCTTACGCCAAGAATAAACTTTTCCTGCTTCTTTGGCATTCTGTGATTCTTCCAGATTTCTTTATTGTTCCTCATCTGAAGACAGAATCTTGATGAACTCAAATATACTACTACCCCCATAAAGGAATTGTTAGGGAGGGGACATCTTCACCTTCACTCTTACACAAACTATCTGAACTGAGTTGCATCTTGCTCCTTTGGAATGCAGTCCCTTTCCTCCTGGGATTCTGGAGTAAATTCCGTCACATTTCCAAAACTATTTGCATATACAGGAAGAAAGGAAGAAAATGATGTAGGCAAAGCGGCTTGAAATATCTAAAGCACTGTGTAACCATTAGGTAGTAGAAGTAAAACTTGGATAGCTTATTGTATTGCAGAATTCCTTTTTAGAAACTTTCATTGTCCATGTTTCAGCTCCATGCCCTGCTAAAAGGTATTCTGGATTCTCTTTTATGTAGGCAGACAGAATGTGGTCTTGGAAGAACTGCATTTTATACATTAGACTGCAATCTTAGCACACTAACTTACTTCACTCTAAACAGGTTGCATTTTGTAATCCAGTGCAAAGGATTATCTATCAAAATATTGTATCCCATGCATACTGACCATAAGGTATCACAAGTCAAGCTTTCTGAATTTTGGAATGAAAAGAGATTCCCTTTTTTTTAATTTTTCAGGATGGCTTCACTATTAAGTAAGTTCAGAATAAAATTTGCCGACATTAATATAATTGGAGACATCAACATGAAACCCAATAAAGAAAGGTAAGCTTCAGCAAGTGTCTAAGAAATTGTGCAATTTTTTAAAAAGGGAATGTCTAAAAATGGAATATGTAAAACCTGCTCTTGTGGCTGGTTAAGTCTTATTTTTCTATTTAGGAAAAAAATACCAAGCTAAATCATGGGTGTTCATTCTATTACTGCAGAGAAGGTAGCAAACTGCCAAAGAAAAATGGATTTTTAAAGTATTATTGGAATAGCTGGGCATTCTTGAAGTAGATGTCAGGCAACCATTGACATCCACTTTCTGTTAAAGGATAATATGCTTATTACCTAAATAACTATAATTTGTTTTATTTCATTTGTACACACGCGCATACACACAAAATAACTTTAACCACTGTTGTTCTGTGAGGTCATTTGGATGAATTGAAAGATACTTTATTCTGTTTTGAATTGTGGCTAATCATATGGCTATAAAGGCTATAATTTGTTTAGTAAATGTTAAATGAACGCTGGAATTGTAGTTTATTATCCCAAATGCAAGGGTAAGTACATGATTTGAACCCTGCCTGGCTATACTGCTGAGATTTTTCAGAGGCTTAAATATGCTATCAAAGTGCACTTTATCAGAAATCAAGGTAGAGTGCAAGTTAAAATCTATTGTATCACATTCAAATCTTTCTAATGCCATTATTTAGAAAGTCCAGACAAGCTTAGTATTAGTTATCTAGATGTAGCCAATTAACTTCAACATTATATTTATTGGAAGTAATTTCCAGAGATATCTTTGTTACCTCTGTAGCAACAAAGAAACATGGTGTGGCACCTTTGTTTTTATATGAAATAATTTCATTTATGTTCAATGGAATGGAGTTTGAAACTTACAATTAACAGTAATAAAAAATAAAGCTAGCGTTATGGTATAATACAAGCAGACATTTTCCCAAAAAAAGTTGTTTCTCATGTACACAACTATGAATATACTCTGCAGTACTGTGAAATGAAATATTATGTATAACTTTATAATAAATTCAATCTGGAATATAAATTTGACAGCAATGTCAAATATAAACTGGGGAAGTGTTACTATGCTGCAATGGCTATGCCCACGCTTAAAACCTGATAAATACAGTTTAAAGATTTTTATAGAATTCAGCTATCATTCCACAGCCAAAAGCTTGTCCGATCTTAAGAATATCTGTAAAATGAAGAGTTAGAGTCCTGCTGTGAAGTCTCTTTATAATTTCTGTTCCAGCTGGAAATTCTTTGAAGAAATGATTGAACCATACCGCCTTCATGAAAGCTGCAAAGATTTAACAACTGCTGAGAAATTAAAGAGAGAAGCACCATGGAAAATCACTGATGCAGAACTGGAAGCATTCAAGGAAAAGGTAACCAGGCATACCTTTAGTTACCTTTGACACTATAAAAGGAGCTATTTGAAAGAGAAGGCAGGGCATATAGATTACCACCAGGTGTGGGGGGGAATCCATAATATCCATGGTTTATATCACCTGCTCTTTCTAACCAAATTTTACGCATAATCGTTTTAAAGTCATAACTTTGATCAAGATTATTCGTTTTATTAACACAAGAAACTCCTTTACTTGGAGAGAGCTTTGGAGTTGGCAAAAACTTTGCTTCAAACCTTAGAGCAGTGTGTCTCAATCCTGGCAGTTTAGATAGTGAATTTCAACTCCCCAAATTGCCCAGACGGCAGTCTGGGAGGTGAACTCCACCCATCTTCGAGCTGCCAAGGATGAGGAACACTAACTTAGAAGAGAAGGCAATGTTTCAGTGGTGGGATTCAAATTTTTTTACTACTGGTTCTGTGGGCGTGGCGTGGTGGGCATGGCATGGCGTGGTGGGCATGGCTTGGTGGATGTGGCAGGGGAAGGATACAGTAAAATCTCCATTCCCTCCCTACTCCAGGGGAAGGTTACTGCAAAATCCTCATTTCCTCCTGATCAGCTGGGACTCGGGAGGCAGAGAATAGATGAGGGCGGGGCCAGTCAGAGGTGGTATTTACCGGTTCTCCAAACTACTCAAACTTTCTGCTACCGGTTCTCCAGAACTGGTCAGGACCTGCCGAATACCACCTCTGCAACGTTTCTTTAATTGCCCTATAGCATATGCTTTCCAAAATCTGTACAAGTAGTCCTCATTTAACAATCCTAATTGGGACCGGAATTTGTGGTCTTTAGGTCAGGACCACTTAGCAACAATAATTTCTGTGGTCCTTGTTCCTCAGTAGAACTCAGTCTCCTAGTTTCTAGGCCAGCACCTGAACAAATACAACACCTGAACTGGGATTCACTCTTCAGGAGGTGGATGGAGAGAACATCCAATACAAGAGATACATAATCCAGTACTGAATTCTGCAACAATTTCCATCATCCCACATCAAAGCGTTTGTGGAAAACATTTAACCCTGAGCCTTTTCTTTGCACTGCTCAAGCTCCAATAGTGAATGTTAATTTGGGACATACAGTATATTATCTGAATGGGAACAGTACATACTGTATGACACTTAAGCTTCATTGTATATTCTCTCAACATTAAGGATAGCATTGTCTGGGATAGATGCCAAAGTAGGATGAGAGTAGGATTCAGTAGGATCATTGATCTGAGCACAAGACTAATTGTACATTTAAAAAATCCTTCCAACTCTTAATTTCTTTAAATAAATTTATGTTCATAGTTATTATATTCTGTAGCCATGAGTATTTCATTAAAGAGGTAAGATAAGTATGGATTCATATTGATTTAATAAGAGAAAATAATTATCCAACAAAGCTGTTTCTTGTTTCCAATTTGCAAGTTACATACTTTAATTTGCAAAAATCATATTTCAGTCAACAGATTTATCCAAAGACAGGCAGAATTGTACATGAACTCATTTCAAAGTTATTCATAAAGAAGGATGTCTGGAACGTAATTTAGGCTAAGGATGATAGAAAAAATAATTTCTAATGTAATAAACCTTTGATTTTAAACAGAGCTACCGTCAGGTCCGTTTGAATGAACTCTTACAGGAGCACTCTCGAGCTGCTAATCTAATTATTGTGTAAGTTATACATTTTTAATTTGTTGTCCCTACCGAGACTTTGGGGCAAGATTGTAAATTGAAATGTAGTCATCTACAGTTCGAATTAAGAGTTTTCTGTATCTGTTTGCTTCCATCTGGTAACCTAGCCTAGGAGACAATTTACTGTATTTTTCGGACTATAAGACGCACTTCCACCTACCCACCCCCAAGTGGGTGGAAATGTCTGTGTGTCTTATAGAGTGAATATTGCAGCAGGGGAGAGGGGGGTTGGTGTGGTGCTGATCAGTGTTCTAGGCGGTGGGGATCACCACCACCCATTCACAGCAATCGGCAGAAAATGGGCCGCGGTGGCAGTGAGCATGCTGTAGCAAACAGGCGTTGGCAGCAAACGGACAGCAGAGGCAGATTGTTTTTCCTTGTTTTCTTCCTCTAAAGCTAATGTGCGTCTTATAGTCCGGAGTGTCTATAGTCCAAAAAATACGGTATATACCAGCAATGAGTATTACTAATATTTCCTCCTATTTAATTCAACAGGAGCCTACCAGTGGCAAGAAAAGGAATTATATCAGATTACCTCTACATGGCTTGGCTAGAAATCCTCTCTAAGAACCTACCTCCAGTTTTGCTCATTCGAGGCAACCACAAAAATGTACTAACGTTTTACTCGTAACTCACCACCACCCCCCAGAGTCCATTACATGCATTCTGGACATAGCAATGGACAATATATCAAATAGACTCCCAACAGGATATTTTGCTATCTCAGAGTAAAAAAACAAATCATATCTGCAAAAAGGGAAGAAATGGAAAACCAAGATTGACAGGGCAAAGTAAAATGGAAGAGAGTACCTTGGAAAGATAAAAAAGATCTGCATTCCACATTTCAAATCCCACTTTAAAAGTCTAGCTTTCATCACAAAGAAAGTCCCCTTGATGTCAGAATATACACTAACTTCCATTTGTATTATGAACATATTACGTTTAATTACTGCAGTCCTGTGGTCCAGAGTACCGTACAATTCTAGCTATGCAAAAACTTCCATTCTCCTCCATAGAATCCAAAATGTATGATTCTATGTTCAATGCTGTACCTGCTTACATAACTTCAAAGTTTTGTGTTCCATAAATAAATAAAAATTTCTATTCATGAGTGTAACTGGGGAGCAAAATGTCATGATTTATAAGGCGTAATATATAATTTCAAATTATCACCTCAAGATAAACTGAAATCATATTCAATCAACACTTAAGACAACTTTGAAAGCAAAAATATGTGTACTAACCTAAATTTTTTAAAAATTCATAATGATATTGATTTCTTTAGAACTATAAATGGAAGTAAACTAGCACAGTGCTTTGGCACAACTTAGAAATGCTTTTTAATAAATTGTAATCTTTTTCTGACTGGTAAGAATATTTGAACTTGTATATTAATTTAATATGTTAACAATAAAAATGAATCAAGGGTTTATCCCTATTGCATACTTTGATTTATTGATTTTGTTTCCATGTGAAAAAATTTCAGAGGCATCTTTATTAAATTTGTTGCAACACAAGCTGCACTGAACATTAGAAAAACTAACACATTCATCACAAATTTTTCTATACTAAAATTCCTATTATCCAAAACATCATAAACTGGCAACAAAAATACATGGTTTGTCATAATTCAAGTGATATTACTAGCCATTCATAACATTTGACACACAATGATCTTAGAATAGTTAGATTTCATCTAAATAATCAGAGATATTTTTGAGTTTTGATTAGACATAATTTATTAGATAAGATTTGTGTTACTGATACAGCATCACCAAACAATATTAGTTTTATAGAAACATTCTTGAGAGCAGAAACTATTGGCTTTGTAATAAGAGACAGGAATGGATATAAATCCATTTACTCTTCTTGAAAAATACAGTAGCTCAGCATAATATACAGGATTGTAAGTATACAAAAGCAAAATTATCAAAGGATATTTAACTAGTTTTGGGGGAAGTAGCGAGAGAAAGTATTGACAAAAGACATCAGAATTCAAAATGAGACAGCACATGGGAAACAAGTGTTATTTTAATCAACCTTTCTCGACCCAGTAAAACTAGAGTTCCAAGAATTATCGGGCAAGTCATAATTCAACATTTTGAAATTGCCTTTTGCAAGATGCAAGGATAGGAATTCAGTTTGCTGGCATGAATATAGAGTTTGTTTCTGTGTACTGCTAGCGATCTTTTAAAAAAAGGTAGAGACTAATCCATACAGGATAGCTCAGCCAATACTGTAACATTAAGAATACCCTTCATGTTGCCAATAGTGTGCTTTTCAGGGGATTTACAGAAACAGAGCAGAGCCAGCTCAAGACCAATTTAGGCTGACCTGTTTTCAGGGGTTCTCCTTCAACTGGACTTACTTCAGGTGACTTACAAGGATGCATCCTTGCAATTTTGCCAGACTGATATGGGAGCCCACTGCATTTCTCCCCCAAATGCCGCTAAGTTTGTTAGATTGCCCACTCTCTCCTACACCCATAGCCTGTCCAGGACAGCTATAACCATGGCAAGCCCATATCAGCTTCTAAAACCAACCAAGGCTGTGAAGAGGCTCAAGATAAAAGAAGCCTCCAACTGAGATGTTTGAATGTTTAAATAATGGAAATTCAAATGATGTCTTGGTCATGGGTGCCTTTTTTGTTTAGGGAGGCTGGCTTAAAAAAAATATCAGATTTTCCAAACTTGGAATGGCCTCCTACCGAACAGAACCCCCTCTGAACAGAAAAAGGAGATTGATCTTCCAGAAATCTATTAAAACATGGTTTTTCCAACAGGCTTGAGGATCCCATGGAAATAGAGATCTACCCAGAATCATCTTGCAGGGGAGATAGGCAGCATAAAAGTTTAATAAATCAAATTTAAAAAGGGAGCCCACAAAGTTACACTGGGTGTAGGATAGTGGTCCATTGATTGTATTTACATCTGTTATATTTACATCTATTTTTAATGGCTTGTTTCTCATGTGTGAGATAGGTGACTATATAATCTTGATAAACAGAGTTCCGAAGATGAGCAGTTATACAGGTAGTCCTCTACTTATGGCCACAATCGAGCCCAAATGTATGTTAAGTGAGAAATTTGTGAGTTTGCTCCATTTTACAACTTTTCTTGCCACCATTAAGTGAATCACTGCAAATGTTAAGTCATTAACATGGCGGTTAAGTGAATCTGGTTTCCCCCATTGACATCGTCAGAAGGTTGCAAAACGAGGGATTACATGACCCCGGGACGCTGCAACGTTCATGAATACGAGTCAGTTGACAAGCGGCTCGATTTTGATCCCATGACCATGGGGAATGCTGAAATGGTTGCAAGTGTGAAAAATGGTCATAAGTCACTTTTTTCAATGCCGTTGTAACTTTGTGGGAGCTGCGGTAGCACAGTGGTTAGAATGAGGTACTGCAGGCCACTTCTGCTGACTGCCGGCTGCCAGACGTTTGGCACTTCGAATCTCACCAGATTGAAGATTGACTCAGCCTTCCATCCTTTCAAGGTCGGTAAAATGAGAACCCAGATTGTTGATGAACCCAGCAACAGGCCAGGGGTGAAATCCAGTAAACTGCTGCCTCTGTAAACTGCTTAGAGAGGGCTGTAGAGCACGGTATATAAGTCTAAGTGCTATTGCTATTGCTCTCTCATCCATCCATCCATCCATCATCTATCCTTCCTCGAGGCCACTGAGCCTCAGTGGCACAGTAGTTAGAGTGCAGTACTGAAGTCTACTTCTGCTGACTGTCGGCTGCCTGCAATTTGGCAGATCGAATCTCACCAGGCTCAAGGTTGATTCAGCCTCCCATCCTTCCAAGGTGGGTAAAATGAGAACCCAGATTGTTGATGAACCCAGCAACAGGCCAGGGGTGAAATCCAGCAGGTTCTGACAGGTTCCAGAGAACCAGTAGTGGAAATTTTGAGCAGTTCGGAGAACCGGCAAATACCACCTCTGGCTGGCCCCAGAGTGGGGTGGGAATGGAGATTTTGCAATATCCTTCTCCTGCCATGCCCACCAAGCCACGCCCATGGAACTGGTAGGGAAAAATTTCGGATTTCACCCCTGCAACAGGCTGACTCTGTCAACCGCTTAGAGAGGGCTGTAAAGCCCCATGAAGCGGTATATAAAGTCTTAAGTGCTATTGCTATTTGAACGGTCATTAAATGAACTGTTGTTAAATCAAGGACTACCCTGTTTCCCCCCCAAAATAAGCCATCCCCTTGATAATAAGCCCAATCGGGCTTTTGAGCGCATGGCAATAAGGCCCAGTGCTCATTTCAGGGTTCAAAAAAAATAATAAAAAAAATAAGACAAGTGTCTTATTTTCGGGGAAACACGGTAACTGAATAAAAAGGGCTTTTAAAAAAGTATTACCCATAAGTTACGGATGGAAAACAGAGGGCGAGAGATGATTGCCCTGCCTAGGGCTAATTAATGAACTTGTGACAGAATGGAAATTTGATCTGGGAATTGATTAGCTCATTTATGGCTCTAAAATAGGACTAATTCTAGGTCAGACTTGAAGCATTAAATCAGGGGTCTTCAACCTTGGCAACTTTTAAGACTTGTGGACTTCAACTCCCAGAATTCCTCAGCCAGCTTTGCTGGGAGTTGAAGTCCACAAGTCTTAAAAGTTGCCAAGGTTGAAGACCCCTGCATTAAATGAATAAACACATACACAGATATCATCTATGTCTCTGGGCAGATCAGGGTGGTTCGTTCCTAGCCCTCCATTCGTGGAACTGAAGACAATTAGGCTCATTAATTCAGGGAATCCCACCTGAGCATCCTTCCTAAAAGGGCCCCTTTTCTCCCTCAAGAGGCAAAGTCACCCTCGGGAAGCCAAGCGAGGCCTCTGCTCGCCCCAAGGTCTCTGAAGCCAAACCCTGGTGAGAAGGCGCCTCGTGTGAACGCAGCTTTCCTGACTTCTCCTGCCCGAGGAGGAGGAGGAGGCTTGGGGAGGGGGGATAAAAAAGACAAGGCTGCCATCTTAGCTTCCTCCCGGCCTACCAGAAACGACGACTTTTCTTTCCGCCCTCTGCGGTCTCGGCGGAGGAGGAGGCGGCGGCAAAAAGAGCGAGCAACACCAGGCCGAAAAAGGCCCTTCAGGCGCTGCCATGGCTCCCCTGCGCTACCTCAAGAACAGTAAGGACAAAGCTTTCATTTCTTTCTCTCCCCCCCTCCTTTGAGGAAGGTGGACTCTTCCATAAGGAGTTGTACGGCCCTCTCGGCCTCGCCGAGAACCGTTGGGCAAAACCATTCCTATACGCGGGGGGGGGATGAGGAGCCGGTTCCGCCCTAAAAGGAAGACGGGGAAATAAGTAGCTCAGTTTAAACAGCCTCATTCGTTGGTTGTTGTTTTTTTTTTTTTTTGGCCTCCCGCAAGAAAAGCAGCCGCCATTTTATTTACCTGACTGAAATTAGCAAACCAAGCCCCCTCAGTCGGGATGAAACCCCCACAGACATACCTATATACACACAAACCTGGCATTCCTGGCTACCGTTCTTGTGGAAGAGGCAGAAAAAAACTGCCTAAATCCGAAGTGAAATCCCCTTCCCGCCCGCACCCGACATTCCTTAATAAAATACCGATTCGGACGACGGCGCGCGCTAAATTATTATTATTATTTTTCACCCCCATCCCCCCCCCATGCTGACAGACAGCAAATCCCGCCTCCGCCGCGCGCCCATTGGTTTACGGGGTCCTCGCGCGCCCATTGGCTTGCGTCAAATTATTATTATTATTTCCCCCCCCCTTATGCTGACAAAACAGGGCAAATCCCGCCTCCGCCGCGCACCCATTGGCTTGCGGGGTCCTCGCGCGCCCATTGGCCGCCGTTGCCGCGCGCGCGCGCCCATTGGCCGTTGTTGCCGCAGGCGGGTCCCATTCAAAAAAAAACAAAAAAAAAAGCGCGGGCTTTCCGGAGCATCTCTCACTCTCTCTCCGTCTTCTTTTTTTTCCCCCCCTCAGAATTAGCCGCCCTTTTTCGCGCCGTCGCTATGCCAGTCTCCACGGCAATCCCCGGGGAACCTTCCAGCGCCAGCCTGAATATTCCCAACGGGGACACGACTTCCCAGAGCCTGCGCTTCGTCAAGCTGACCGATAACGCTTTTGCGCCTTCTAAAGGATCTTCCCGGGCGGCGGGCTACGATTTGTACAGGTAAGAAAGAAGGACAGGGTCTTGTGTGGAGATTTCGGGCCACAATTGTCCCAAAGTAGTAGTAGTAGTTGTTGTTGTTGTTGTTTCCCCAAAAGGCAGCTGGATTTTCTTGGTCTTTTCTTTGAAAATGTTAATTCAGAGAGATTATGGAGTCTGTCATCTGCACCTTCATAACTGTCTGGTTTGGTTCTGCAACCCTACAAGACAGACACAGACTTCAGAGGATAATTAGAACTGCAGAAAAAAACAATGGCTCCCAACCTGCCTTCCATTGAGGACCTGTATACTACACGAGTCAAAAAAAGGGCTGTGAAAATGTTTACAGACCCCTCGCATCCTGGACATTAATTGTTTCAAATCCTACCCTCAATAGAATAGGATAGAATACTTTATTGTCCAAGTTGCCTCTTGGAAAAAAAGGACAACCATGACTGAGAATCTCCATAGACACTAATTGACTTCAGTTCCATGAATGGAGGACTTGAACTGAACTGAATTGAATTCTTTATTGGCCAAGTGTGATTGGACACACAAGGAATTCGTCTTTGGTGCATAAGCTCTCGGTGTACATAAAAAGACAAGATACGTTCATCAAGAATCATTGAATTGAATTGAATTGAATTGAATTCTTTACTGGCCAAGTGTGATTGGACACACAAGGAATTCATCTTGGTGCATAGGTTCTCGGTGTACATAAAAAGACAAGATACATTTGTCAAGAATCATAAGGTACAACACTTAATGACAGTCCTAGGGTACAAATAAGCAATCAAATCATACTAGGAAACCATCAATATAAATCGTAAGGATACCAGCAACAAGGTTAGAAAACAACGCTATAGAGTACTGCACACCAAGACAACTAGACACAGGACAGTTTTTTCCCGAACGCCATCACTCTGCTAAATAAGTAATTTCCTCAACAATCAAACTATTCACTAAGGCTGCATTACTATTACTGTTAGTCTTTTCATCGTTCCTATCACCCAGCTCCTCCCACTTATGGCGGCATGACTGTAACTTTGTTGCTTGTATCCTTACCATTTATATTGATACTGTTTCCTAGTATGATTCAATTGCTTATTTGTACCCTATGATTATCTTTAAATGTTGTACCTTATGATTCTTGATGAATGTATCTTTTCTTTTTATGTACACTGAGAGCATATGCACCAAAGACAAATTCCTTGTGTATCCAATCACACTTGGCCAATAAAGAATTCTATTCTCATCCAAGAAATTTCTTCAAATGAACTGAGGAAGCTTCTTGGAAGAGAAGAGAAATGAAACATTTTCAAAGAAAGTCCACCTGCCTTTTGGGGGGGTGGGGAAAAAAACCACATTTGAGACAAGGAGCAGGGTGGACTTCTTACAGCTTAAAACTGATCTTAATCAAAGAATTAGCAATTGCTGCATTGTTTTTTTTAATGGTGGGCTGTCAGTATGTGTGAAATGGACGGCTATATGGATTTGAATAATATTGTTGAGCAGTTTGTCGTTCAGACGGCTTTTTTCAGAGTATTCTGTTCTAACCAATAAACCAATTCCTTTTCCAAGCAAATAACACTGTACTGGTACAATAAAACAATAATTCATTCATTTGAATCCAAGATCCACCCGTAACTCCAATCTGCAGATAGTTCTCACTTAACAACCTCAAATTGGGACCAGCAGCTCTGTTGCTAAGCAATGGCGCCGTTAAATGAGACATGTGACGGCAAGGACAGTTTGCTATTTTATTGGTGACTTCTCCATTGGTTTTCCTCATTGGAAGCCAGTTGTGAGCATGCAAATGGCAATTGTGTAGCTGTGGATCAATACAACAATCATAAATCCTCACCAACCTCATTAAACAATAAGCCGTGGTGGCGCAGTGGTTAGAGGGCAGTACTTCAGGCTACCTCTGCTGACTGCCGGCTGCCTGCAATTTGGCAGTTCAAATCTCACCTGGGTCAAGGTTGACTCAGCCTTCCATTCTTCCGAGGTTGGTAAAATGAGGTTCCAGATTGTTGGGGCCAATAGGCTGACTCTGTAAATCACTTAGAGAGGGCTGTAAAATGGTATTTGCTATTGGTATTGCTATTGCAGTGATTCACTTAATTGGTGAGAAAAGTCATAAAATGAGAGAAAGCTCACTTAACAATTGTCTTGCTTAGCAACATACGTTTTGGGCTCAATTGTGGTCATAAGTTAAGGACTACCTGTGTATTAAAAAAGTGTATAAAAAGAAATGATTTCTGCATACAATTTGAACTTACTGATTTTTTTTCTTAGATATTTATTTTTTGTTTGTTTTGTTTGTTTGGTAGTGCATATGATTGTGAGGTCCCTGCTGTAGGGAAAGCTGTTGTGAAAACAGATATTCAGGTTGCCCTTCCTACAGGTTGCTATGGTCGAGTAGGTAAGTTGTTAAACAGAAAAATTGTAATCTTATAGGTTTGCTAAACTTTTATTTGAAAATTAGAAAGTGTGTCATATTTAACACTTTTTTCTTTCTTTGATTTAAGCTCCTCGATCTGGATTAGCTGTAAATCATTTCATTGATGTTGGTGGTGAGTAATTGTTTCTGAATGCAATTATATCAGTATATGCATTTAGCTGCTGCAACATAAAGTGCATATTTCATTATTCTTAATTTAGAAAAAAATATTCTTAATGAAATAAATTGACAGGCTCCAAAATGTGGTTTTGCTTATTTACATTAATTTGCATATTTAATAAGATGGCAGTACTGTACTCTTACGTTCTGGGAACAGAAGTATTGAAAGATGAAATGTGAGTTTTCTTTATTACATAAACAAGCTCCCTATAATTTTAGGGAAGCTAAACAATGGAACATATGTTCTTTGCAATAATTTATGATCAACTTAATTAAAGCACATCTGCTAAAGAAATTGACCGTGAACTAAGCTCTGCAGAAGTATATGCTAGCAGTTGGCTAGATACATTTATCCACTGCATATATTTATTTCAATTAAGCAATGTTTGGAAACAAACATTTTCAAACTTTATTTTTAAGGAATCCACACACATATCAAAAAAAAGTGTAGTCTTCGCTTAAATTCCTGTGCAAATGGTGAAATAATCTTTTGCGCAGTAGACCATAACCTGGTTGTTTTGAGGCTTGCCAGCATAGCTAACTTGGTTGATGTGTGTGTATAATATCTGTGTGTGTGTGTATTTTGTGTGTGTGTGTGTGTATCAAACATACAGTGAAACATCTACACTGTTGCATCCTTTTTTCTTTTTTTTAACAGCTGGAGTAATTGATGAGGACTACAGGGGAAATGTTGGTGTTGTATTGTTTAACTTTGGAAAGGAACCATTTAAAGGTAAAAAAAAAAATAAAGTTAATGTTAAGCTGATACTTTCCTTAAATTTCCTGCTTTTAAATTAGAATATACATGTAAAAGGTGAGTGCCGATCAGTTTTGGCAGAGCAACTGAGGGAGCTTCAGGACAATTCTCTCTTGATGGAGACACGTATACTGCCTTGCAAATATGGCATTAATCAAAACATCCCAACTCTTCAGCTCACCAACCCCTCTATAAAATTTTAGATTGTTCTTTGACCTCCAAACATTTAGTATATGAAAATAAATACTACCAAGAGCACTGCCACTGGTAGCAAAAACAATAAAGGATAGTCCAATTGACCCTTGCAGAATATTGACCACACTGGGCAAGCCTAGCGTGAATAATATGTATCCAGCTGGACTTTATAAGCGGTCATCCAATCTCCCAAGAGGAGAAACAAGTCATTTCCTTACATTGTCCTTAGTTTAATTGCACAGTATTGTTCTGGCATTTTCCTTACACTGATGTGATAATGTGTTGTTGTTTTTTTAAACAATGTCACTTTTTAAATTCCTTTTTTTTTTTTTAAGTTAAAAAGGGTGACAGGATCGCTCAACTAATCTGTGAGCGCATCTACTATCCGGTTCTTGAAGAAGTCAAGGTAAGAAATGGGAAAGAAATAACTGCTAACTCAGGTATCTTACCGTTAATAAAATATAGGAATTAAATGGATTTATTTAATGTAGGGGATAAGGGTGAAATCTATTCGGTTCACATTTACTTCAGAATCTCCATTTTTGTCTCAACTGCAGAGTTGAGTTTTTAGCAATATAACGAATTGCTTTTGAAAATAGATTAGTTATGGATGATTATAAGAAACCTGGGCTGTCATTTATTGGAATGTTTAGGATGTTTATATATATATGAATATAGAGGTAGACTGTTCAGTGACCATATGAACTTACAACAACACTAAGAAAAGATTTACCACATCGTTGACTGAACTTGCACCCATCGCAGTGTCCCCAAAGTCACATAATTGTGGTTTGGCAACTGGTGCATATTTATGCCGGCCACAGCATCCCATAGTCATTATTTGTGCATTTCATAGCAAGTTTCCAACAAGCAGAAGTTAGTGAAGAAGTGGGTGGCAAGTCAGGGTCACATGATGCTATAAGTCTGGCACAGTCACCCAGTGTTTTGACCTAAGCTTCCTGAGTCATGAAAACACATGAGTAGTCCCAAAGACCTCTTTTATCGCAACAGCTGTGAATTCTGTTCATTCACAGAGGAGTCCCAATTAGTTATAAAGAGTCCTTTGGGATAATCACCCACCTTTATCTCCCTTGACACGCTGCCAAAGACAGCGTGTTGTCAGAGCCACACGGAGTCCAGAATCAAACAGAACTTCAGGCTTTAAGCTGAATCGAATGAACAAACGTTGCTTCCTGCAAAGGCCCACGTGCCTTTGCTCCTCTTTTAAGTCTTATGGGAGGGGCCAATCATCTCCCAGCCCTACTCCCGAGTCGTCCCTTTTGTTTTAGCTGTTCTTGCCTTCTGGCAGCTCTGCACATGCGTTCAGTGAGAACAGGCTCCCCCTGTTCCTCTACCTCGCTGAGGTCCAACTCTGGAGGCTCCGGAGGCAGCATGTACCTCCCAGATGGCCCTTTCTCTGCCTTGGACCACAACACCCAATGTTACACTTTATGACTGTGCCACTTAGTGACAGTCGGCAATCCCAAATTGTGGTTAGTGAGGATTACAATTGGGATTTCATGTGTGCACTTTTTTTCTTTCACACCTTTTTTTTTTCTGTTATTCAATTAAACGAATTGCTTCTATTTTTCAGGTTTTGGATGAAACAGAACGTGGCTCAGGCGGTTTTGGATCAACTGGGCAGAAATAAAGGAAACTTTTATACAGTATATTTTTATACACCTTTTAAAAATGTAAATAAACTTTGATAGAAAATTGTGGGATTTCTATTTTTTTTCTTATAAAGGAGAGACGGGTTTAAAAATATTACTGCAAGGAAAAGAACATAGATCACTACAGGCTGTGTTTACTTAGTGCTGTTGTAGGGAGAGGAATCTGCCAAAGATAACTTTCAGAGACTACTTAAAACCTGCCCCAAAACCCTTGTTCGCAATCATAATCTTCCAATCAAATTTTAACTGGAATTGTTTTAAAAACAAGTTACAATTAAAAAGGACCCTTGGAATCAGTTATAGATAGTCTTCGCCTAATATCCACATTCCATGACTGAAGTTAAGACTGTACAGAGCAAGGAGGGCTTACAACGAGTCCTTGTAATTGTGGGTGTCACACCATCCCCACACTTTCATGGTCTCAATTTGGGCACTTGGCAACGCAATGACATTTCAGTGTCCTGCAGTCTGAAAATGTGTCTAGTTAACTGAGTTGAATGGAATCCACACGGCATTGCAAGTACAGTACTAGAGAACCTATTCAAATTGCAATCCTGATCTGGCAAGACCATAGTAAAGAGCTCATCAAAGCTAGAAAATTGCTGCTGCATTAGTGTGACACAACTTAAGCAAGCCTTATCTAATTCTACTTGTTTTAAACAAAATTTAAACTGGCATTTGGAACCCTGTTTTTCAGCCGCTGAAATTCTTACATGTTTCTTCTCTCTGCAAATATTTATACAAATGTAATATTAAGTATATTTTAAAAAATCACAAGAGCAAGAAGCTCACTACCATAAAGCGAAAAAGTTGACCAGGCAAGCATGTGACATGCCCAACGATCAATACTTTTGTTCCCTGTCAAATATATTGAACCAAAGATAGACTGAGGGGTGAAGGATTACAATCATTTCCACTTTAGCAAATAAGCCACTAGATGGCACTTGAAAATAGCCTTTTCCTATTTTTTTTTTCCTCCCTTTCCTCAAAAATGCCTAGGTCTGTAACTAATCAATAGCCCTTCCCATGAGATTATGTTGGTGGAAAGCAACAGCAATGCTTGAGAGAGAACTGGCAAAAAGATGTCATGGCATGGAGAGAAACAGAATCTACAACTGAAAAGATTTTGGAAGGCTGGCCTGTTTGCACAATTGTTCCTGGCTTACAAACACACACACACAAAAAAACCTTTCCCCAGCTTGGTTTTTCAACAAGAATGGAAAAATATAGCGAAGGGAAACATTCCTCTTCTTAATTATTTTTCTTTCTCAGTCCATCAACTTTCATCTCAGTTCAAACTTGATTCTTGCAAGTATGTTCGGTGCTTTGCATTTTAGTGCGTGGCACTCTCAAAACAGCAGGATTTTGTGGTCCTTTAACACCATTCCTCTATTTCTGCCTTGGCTGGGACCCTAGGAATCATTCAGAAAGATAAGTGTCTGCCATTGTCCTTCGGCTTCAAGGTCATTGAATAAGCTCCAGTATAAACTGACCTGCTAATTTGCCTTAGCAAATCATTCCCTGCAAGAATAATTCCTTTTATTCAATGGGAGTTAAAAACTTTTTGGGGGGAGGGCTCAGCTTTGCAATTTTCAACTTGGATACAGCTGTGACCTTGGATGAAGCCATTTTTGCTTCATTGCTTCCCACTGGTGTGAATGCGATACACACTCAATAAATTGTTAGTTGCAAAGTCGTGTCCAACCTATTGCAACCCCATGGACAATGTTCCTCCAGGCCTTTCTGTCCTCTACCATCCTCTGGAGTCCATTTAAGCTCATGCTGACTGCTTCAGTGACTCCATCCAGCCCCCTCGTTCTCTGCCATCCCATTCTTCTTTTGCCCTCCATCGTTCCCAGCATTAGGCTCTTCTCCAGGGAGTCCTTCCTTCTCATTAGGTGGCCCAAGGATTTGAGTTTCATCTTCAGGATCTGGCCTTCTAAAGAGCAGTCAGGATTGATCTCCTCTAGGACTGACCGGTTGGATCGCCTTGCAGTCCAAGGGACTCGCAGGAGTCTTCTCCAGCACCAGAATTCAAAGGCCTCCATTCTTTGGTGCTCAGCCTTTCTTATGGTCCAACTTCCACAGCCATCCATTGCAACTGGGAAAACCATAGCTTTGACTACATGCACTTTGCGTATTCAATACATAGAGTTCGCTAAATATGGAGATTCTCAGTCATCCAGGTCATGATTGTCCCAAAGGTGCTTTTTCAAGAGGCAACTGGACTTTCTGGTTTTTCTAGAGAGCTGAAGTAGCTTCTTGAATAAGAAGCAAAATGTCTTCAAAGAAAAACCAGAAAGTCCCGTTGCCTCTTGAAAAAGCAACTCTGGGACAATAAATAGAGATGTTCTTGTTACAGACTTTCCAAAATAGGTAGGCACCACTAGCTCACAAACCATCCCATTAATGGGAGGAAGGGAAGGGGAAAAAACATTTGCTTGTTCTTTCAAGCAAAGATTTCTGCTTGAAAGAGCAAAAATGTGAGTTTTGGAGAATGCTCTAAAATTTTATTTGGGATGACTATGTGGCAAGGAACACCTTTGAGTGTAATTTCTTTTCTGTACTCTTTTTCCAGCACTTGTCAGAAATGTTACTGTTAATTAATCAGGTGCCTATTTTGTATGTCTTTAACAAAGTTAATTATCCATGTTTTGGAAGAACAGCTAAATAATAGCCACCCAAATGTGTTCCAAAATCCAGCAAATATTTCCTTTGACTACTAATTGCGATAAGACAATTAAATAAATCTATATATTCGTCATTGAAAACAGCTCTCCAAAACGAAATCGCTTTTAACTTTAATGTGAACATTTTATGCTTTAGAGTCTGGACAGCACAGCACAGAAACAAAGAACAAAAAAAAAGAAGAAGATAATAATTGAGATTAACTCCAATTGTCCAGGACAAAATTACTACAAGATGTCATAATTGGACAAAAAACCAGTCTTCTTTCTTTTCCAACTAAACCGAGCCAACCAGATGTCTTCAGGCCTCATTTTTGCCACCTGCAGAGATCATAGCACTGAAAATTCCTCCTATACCCGAGAGAAGGATGGCTTCCGAAAAATGTAAATTATAGATGTTAACATCTCCTCATCTGACCCTTTCAAAAAGAAAGAGGGGGAAAAAAGGCCATGAATCAGCCTTTCCTTAATCTGCTATCCTCTAAATATATTGTATTATTATTGTGGCTTGATTATCTAACCATCATAATTATAATCGTCCTGTCTTAATTCAGAGACGCTGCTGTACAGTGATGGAGCATGTTAGGTTCAGCTTGTAGCTTACTCCTAACTTGTTGGTCAGGCAATATATCTGTTTCTTTAAGAAACAACTGAGCCACGTAATCAGGGCTTGCTGAACCCTGTAATTAGGCTACAGTGCATAAATAAGCAGCGCAGAGAAGCGTTCTTTGTTCCTGAATGTTCCTGTTGCTTCCTGCATCTTTCTGCTGATTGATGTTAGACTGAATTGCTATATGGTACTGTATACCAAGAGTTACTAAAGTCTGTTTGCTTTGGTAAGGGAAGATACTTACTGGACTGATATTACTGTTTATGACCTTGGACTGTTTTACCTACACCGAGACTGCTTCTTATCTTGTATATAAAGTATTTTTCTCACACGAGCTGCACGTTTATCTCCTTCCCTGTGTGTTTCTGCTCTGCTCGTTGCACAAGCAACAAATACTTTTTACACACACCCTAACAGAGCAAATGCTTAAGGCTTCCCGGTCGGTCTTTCACCATGTTCATATCGGGAGATTATTTATTATTAATGCACAAAAGGCTTGTCAATCAGGAAGCATGGATATGCAAGAACACAAAGCAGTAACATCATAGCGGGAAATCTGTGCGCATTATGGTATTTGGGAATAGCCTCGAAAGACAAGGTGAGGAAATACTGCTTAGGGAAGGGTCAGATAAAAGGGGACATAGCCCACAGAGCCATAGGGAGCAGAGCAAGATGCTCAGGAGAGACCCTCTCCGAATGATCAGGCTGTAAAAGTGATGGTGGGAAGAACTGTACTTTAAGACAGGGGTCCCCAACCTTTCGGACCTCAGGGACCACTAAATTCATAATTTTAAATCCCGCGGACCATTAATATGATCTGCCTAATGACCGGCTGGGCAGGCGTGGCTAGGTGATCATGTGACTTGGTGGGCGTGGCCAACTCGATGTCACTCATGTTGAGGGGTGCCTCGCCAGCCTCTACTCGCGCCTCCCCTCCCAGCCACTCCTCGCCTCCCCGCCCGGGCTCCTTAGGGCCCCAACAGGAAGCAGTTGTTGGAGCTAAGCAGCCACCACGAGAAAGAGTTGGCAAAACAGCTCAGTTCAAATTGGATCTGGCCGAGAAGGAGGCTCAGCAGAAGCAGCTCACTGAGGACTAGGAGCATAGGCTTTCCAAGCAGAGGGAAGACCTGCGGGAGTGCAAGGCCAGGGACCTGTGCCTGGAGGCTCAGCGGGCTGAGATGGTCAGCCAATTCCAGGCCATGAGGCAGTCCCATTGGAACAAGGCCCTTTGGCTCTTCGCCACCAGCGGCATTTCCCTCCAGCCTTCGCCCAAAGCCCTGCACCAGGAGGCTGAAGCAGACCCCAAGTTGGAATTTCTACCCCCCTCCAACCCACACAAAAAGACCCAAAGGGAGAGACTCTCTGCAGCAACACAAATGTTCATTGCATATATCCGGTCCAGGGGTCGTAGTTTGAGGACCCCTGATTTAGTGCAAGATAAAAAATGCAAATAATTTTTCTGCGGACCACCAAAAGTTTCTCGCAGACCACCAGTGGTCCACGGACCACCAGTCGGTGACCGCTGCTTTAAGAAGTACAAGATTCTGTTAATGTAGCCTTACAATCAAGTAAATTAGCTCATCGGCTGTTTTTTTCCTGTGTACCTGGGAAGGCTGACAGAACCCCGTCCAGTCAACCGAACGACAATTTTCAGGCACTGCTGCATGCAAAAAGCATCGCAACGAAGGAATCCAGAAAATGGTAATTCAACATTTAAGAGAGCTACGGTTTCCCACCTCCGCTCGAAAC